TAATGTCAATTCATTAAATTCCTTTTAGCTTTATTAGAAGTTACTTGCGGGTGCCTGGATGGCTCAGTCAGGCGTCTTCCTTTGGCTCGGGTCATGATCCCAGGGTCCTGGGATCGAGTCCTGCATTGGGCTGCTTCTCCCTCTGCCTCTCTGTCTCTCTCTCTGTCTCTCATGAATGGGTAAATAAATTCTTAAAAAAAAAATTAAAGTTACTTCCTTGCTAGAACAAAAATCCCTTCAAGGAGATGCAAGTGTTCAGGAGTACAGCCCAAACACATAGGAAAGGTTCTGTTGTTAGGATGCTATTCTGTATGTGTGTTTGTCTCTCTATGTCTGTTTCTGTATGTCTTGGTTTGCCTCAGTGCTGTGTGTTCTCTCATTTCTGTTCTGCGTCTCTCTTCTGTTTTCCTTTCCGTTTATCTTCATTGTCAGACTGTGTTTGAACAAAATGGCCGGTGGCATCGCAAGCCACTAATCAGTTAGAACTCATATGCTAGTGCCCATCAGCCTCTGTGTCCCCAAGTTAGATTGCCAGGAGGGAAACTTTGATTTGCCCATCCTGGTCCAAGTAGATGTGACAGGGCACAGTTGTGTCTTTCTGTAGAATCTGAAGATGAGGGCAAAGTTTCAAAATAGGGTATGTGAACCAAGAGTGGTTCAACTAGTACAACTTCACTAGTACAACTTTTGGATTGGGTTTGGTAGTAAACACCAAATGTTTTGGTAACCTGATACTTTCTTTCGCTGAGGAAAGTCTGTTTAGAAACTAAAAACATTGATCACACCAGAATTCAACATTATACAGAAGATAGATGCTTAACTGACTGAGCCACGCACGTGCCCCTGTGGGGTCGATTCTTAACATAAAGCTTCTCATTAAGCACTTCTGGAGCTTGTAACTCAAATGGTGAGAACTCAGTGTTTGCATTTTTAGGGGCCCAATAAAACACCCTTTTCCCCCATTCAAATTGAGCCACTTGAGAGAAATAAAGGGAATCAGGCAAATAGAGATCCAAATAAGTATCATCTTATCACTGAGAAGAAGCTGTGTTGGAGGTTGTTGCTTAGACATGTAGCAGTGTTGGGCTTTTTATAGTCTCTTTCCCTTAAATGTCAACCTTGGAAGTGCCCACCAAGGGAAGAATTGTGTCTGCAGAGCATGTCCCCAAGGCCATTGCCTCATTTGTTATTGTACCATTCATTTTTTCTGAATGACATACTATATGATAAAGATAATTTATCTCAGTTTATGTTCCACAGCCTCAGGAGGTCTGCCCTAAAGTTTGGCCATTTGTCTGAGTGAGTCTGTGATGCCAGGGACTCTGAACAACAAAAGATTAATTGAAGCAGAACTCTGTAATTAATTAATTTAGCTGGCATCTCATTGGGAAAGTTTCTACTTACCTGGTTATTATTTGTTGTTATTCAAGTAGAGGTGCTTTGAATTAGTTTCCAGGGCCCTTGGAGTCCTTGTCTCTTGTGTTCTTTTCTAAGTTTTGTTGGAAGCCTTGTGAGCTGCACATGGTATCTTTAAATGTGCCTGTTTTTGATTTTCTAGCATCCCCGCTCATCAGTATGATCATATTGGGGTCTTAATGCATCCTCTATTCTTGTATGTCCCCTCTTGTTTTGAACCCATGAACCTAATGAAGTCATGTTTCTCTGGATTTTGTGGGAACATCTCTGCTTGGAATATCTCTGCCTCTCCCATCCTTGTGTTTGAAAATACTGGAACTGATTTCTGATCACAAACTTGTAGGGTCCCAAAATAGTTTTCTTGTGGTCTTCTAACCCCCGGTTGTTTCTTCTGCAGTGCGTGGGGGACGTCCTCAAGGTCCGATGGCTGCTAGTATTCTTAGTGCAGCTGCTGCTGCTTCATAAGTAAGTGGATAGTCTGGCCAGTGTGGTCCTCCCTTAATGTGACCCTGAGCTTTGAGTACCTATCCTTAGACCAACCACAGGCATGAAGATACTCCATTGCTGGCGGTAGAATCTCAAACCCATTTAGGGATCTGAAATAATCACTGACTTCTAAGTGCAAGAGTGTGTGGTATCACTGAATACATAATCATTATTGGGGCTTCTTGACCTTCTCACAACATGGTTGCAGATGTGCAGAGTTGTGCCGTTTTAGCCAAATCATAAACTGCTTTATATTGCCAGGTCTTCCTCACCTGTTTTAACTATTATTCTTAATGTGCCTGGCTTGCTCTGCTTAACAGAAATTTTTCTGTAAATGTTTATGGGTGCACAAACTCAGCATGCCCTGAGTATATAACCATCCTACCTGGATTACAGGTTCTTGTAATTTGTTTCAGGGGGTAATGGTTTGAGGACAGAATCCTTTGGGCAGTGGTTGTTACTGACCTGCCCTTACAAAATCTTTTTACAAGGTAGGTAGGTTAGATTGGTGGCATGCCTGGATATGGTTATGCAGTCTTGTTACCAAGTTTTCAGTACTCCAAGTAACTGACAGGTTGGACCCTAATTCATCACTACACTGCTCTGGAGTATGGGGTCTATGCCACATGTGTCTTCTCTCCTCCATGGGTTTAGGTTAACTCAGTAGCTGTAATATGACATTTCCTTTAAGGTACCATCTTACTTTGAACTGCATCCCAATTTTAGAGATACTTAACTTTTTTCCCCCCAGTTTTATTGAGAAAAATGGACAAATACATCGCTGTGTAAATTTAAGGTGTAGAGCATGATGGTTTGATTTACAAATATTGTGAAATGCTTACCAAAGTAGATTTAGTTAATATTCATCATCCATATATTATAAGCTTTTAAAATGTATGTTTGGGGATGGTTGAGGTGTAGTTTTAAGATTAGCACTAGAGATGAAAGATTAAAGGGCTCCTTAGCATTTGTAACTGAGTAATTTTGTCACCACTGCTGGTCTGTCGTACATGTGTTGGGGCATGAATTCACTGCAGAATCTTGCTGGTCTACGTCACGGCCAGATTCACTTGACTTTTGTACAATCTACTGCTTTTCCTCTAATATACTTAATTTCAGGGGTGGCATTGTCATCTGATCCAGTTATACCATTCAAATATTTAGAATTAATCTTGCCCTTTTTAGTATTCCTCCTCTCTCTCCCCTCCCCCAGCCTGGTTAATTCCTGATCAGTTTTGCTACAGAACTGTCCATGCTCATTTGTCAGCTTTCCCCTGTGAATTTAATTCTGTTTAAGTATGTCTTTTAGTGGTACTGCCCCAAAGCTATTCACTTAAATGCAGATCTTTAAAGTCTGTTACTAAAGACTCCGTTTTGCTAACCTCTCTGGGTATACCATAACCTTGGGAGCAGTTGAGGTTGAGACATAATATTTCATCCTCTGCTAGCAAATGTGAGTTTTTCAGTACTGTTCATCCGGAATTTCCAGGCTTGTAGACAGAGACAGGGTGTGGTACTGTCCACATGCATTACTGCTTCACGAGGTGTGTTCTGTTGTTTACAGTTTGTAAAGGCTTACCTGGGAGCTTAAGCTCCATGTCCAGGTCAGTAGAAGCCAGATATCTGTAACTTTGATTTCATGTGGAATCCATTCCCAGGCTTCGCAGGACTTAAGTTGGCATGGATACACAGACCATGGATTTTACCTAACCTCTGTAACTTACTGGTCTCACTAACCATGTCGCTAAACCTCTGACAGTCTTATTTTAAAAGATTTTATTTATCTGAGAGGGTGAGAGAGCACAAGCAGGGGAAGGGGCAGAGGGAGAGGGAGAAGCAGGTTCCCCGTGGCAGTCTTATTTTAATCAGACCCCTACCATTTATTAAGTTTAAAAGTATTCTCTCAAATCCAGTCAGTTTTTGCTTCCCCTGCCTCATATTTAAATTGGCCTCTTTAAACCGATATTTTGTTTGTTCCTTTGTGGCTCCCTTAATCTAGATTCTCACTTTCCCAAAGCCTTTTCCCTCAGGAGTGGTAGTTTCATTAGGCTAATTTAAGTCCCTGTGTCAATAGTGGAATCCCATGGACCTTGATGGTTGGTCAGTTATCTTCTGATACACAGGGTGACCACTGTGACCTGGCAAAGTACCAAGATTGACCTTGAGAGAATGACAGAATCAAGGGGCTAGGTTCCCCCCCCACCCCCAATCCTAGGCCATCCGTTCTTCAGAGAATGTTCTTCACAGGATCAATTAGCCTGCTCTCTCTCCTACCAAGATTATATGTTACCTTGTTCTGAGAACCCAAGTTCTGCTTTTTCCTGAGTTGGATAGTTTAAATTAGTAGATGGCAGACTTCATGGCTTCATATTTTGGAGAACTCCAGTTATTCACTGAAAAAGTGCCCAGACTTCATCTGGTTGATTTGAGTATCCCCAGATCTCTAGGTGTCTGTCAGTCTCATTCTGTCTGGTTGTTCTTCCACCTTGGATGTTGCCCTTAAATGTCTCTTGGGGGTGGGAGGGTGGGGAGGGGCAATCTGATCACTTTACAATGCTTGTTACTCGAACTTTAGGCATGGGCCCTCATAAATTTCCTAATATATTCTAAAATTAGCTTGTGTTTTTATACTCAAAAAGCATTGAATGAATGATTTTTTAATTCTCTGTGAGGCCACAGTGGACTAGATTGTTTTTCCTGAACTTTTTAAACTTGCCCACACGTACTAATAATAAACCGCTATCATCAGGGGTTAACTGAGTGAATGAGCCCAGGTCCTTGCAATCTGAAAGAGCCTCCTAAACATGGAACTTAATGAAGAATGAAAGACATTATCTTTTTAAACCTCTGACTTCCAAAGTTATTTATCTGCATATAAGGATTAGTGGTGAAAAGACAACAAACACCTGAAAAATCTATATTAGTAATGTATAATAACTAATTTTTTTAGTATTTTATTTAAAATTATAATTATGAAAAGATATGAAAGGTAAAAGGCACCAAAAATAACTTTGGCTAAGGATATTTCTATTTTTGAGTCTGAATTCAAAGTAAATTAGCTATTTTGTTTTCTCTCCCCCCTCCCTTCTTTTAACTAGGGTTACACATCATTTTGGAATGACTGTATATCATCTGGATTACGTGGCTGTATGTTAATTGAATTAGCACTGAGAGGAAGGTTACAACTAGAGGCTTGTGGAATGAGACGTAAAAGTCTGTTAACAAGAAAGGTAAGAGGAGTGTTGAATAACATATCCTTTTTAAAGAGTTTGTGCTGACTAAAAATGGAAGTTTCTATTAATAGATTTAAAGAATTAAAGAGGAAGTTGATTTTAAAGTTAAGACTTTATTGGAAATCATGTTTTCATGTCTTTTTTGCATTCTTTGTTTCTTGGTTCTTGGTACATAATGACTAATGTAATTAATTCATTGTTAGACTCACTGGCCCCTGCATCTTGCATATTCAGAAAGACTCCAAACTTCATTTGCTGCTTCTGAAAGCCATACTTTGGAAAGACTTGACATAACTTTGTTTTAAAATTCAGAGGTGTTACCGTGCAAGTTAACTATCTATAGGCTGTTGGACTTTTTTAGCAGAATATGAATACTTTTTAGAGCTCTACCTTCTCTACTGTAAAAGTCTGTGTAAATAGTTATTTTTTAGAATTTTTAACTTCAGCCTCCATCTCAGATATTCAAGACTGTTTCTCTTCTAGTCTGTCATTGTGTTTCTTGGGGCCATGGTGTTTCAAAACTGTTTTTTCCTTTAATACAGCATCTTAATGAAATCTACAAAGTTTTAGGTCAGAACTGAACATTTTTTGCTTGATATGCCATAATCCTATAGGAAAGAAAGCCACATTAATGGCTTTCTTGAAAGTTCTATGCAGAATAAACATTGTATAGCAGAATGTACTCCTCATGCGATTTTTTTTTTTTTTTTAAGATTTTATTTATTTGACAGAGAGAGCGAGCACAAGCAGGGGGAGCGGCGGGCAGAGGCAGAGCGAGAAGCAGGCTCCCTGCTGAGCAGGGATCCCGACGGTGGGGCTCGATCCCAGGACCCTGGGATCTTATGACCTAAGCCGAAGGCAGATGCTTAACCAACTGAGCCACCCAAGCACCCCTCTTTTTTTTTTCTTAGAGTTTTAATAATTTTCTTTTTAAAAAATGTTTTCTCTGTGCCTTTTTTTTCTTATATGCTCCCTCAGAAAAAAACTAGCATTATTAATTTTCAAATGTTCAAATACATTAAGTAACTCCATTAGAATCTGCCTTGTGCTTCAGTCTGGACTGGTTATGGTTTGGTTTTATTGGGACTTCTTGTCTCATTTTACTGCTTTCAACCTCCTGTTTCTAGATCTAATATTTTTTTCCATCCTTGTGGCAGGAAAATGTTTTGATATTTTGCATGCCTGAAAATTTCTTTACTGTACCTCATTTTCATTTGACAGTTTGGGAATAGAATGTTAGATTTAAATTATTTTCCCACAGAATTTTGAAGTCATTTCCCCATTGCCCTCTAGTATATACAAAGTTGCTATTAAAGTCTGGTGCCCTTTTGATATTCATTCTTTGTGTGATACCTGTTTTCCTATCTGGAAGCATTTCAGATCTTCTGTTTATTCCTGATATTGTACGATATACCTTGATGTGGGTCTTTTAAAAATCATTATTCTGTGCTTGCTTTGGCAGCACATATATTAAAATTCATTATGCATGGGTTCTTTCAATCTAGAAATGTTTAGTTTTGGTTTTATCAGTTTTCTTCTATTTCTTATATCTTTGCTCTATTTTCTAGAACTTTAAGTTTGATGTGGACCTTTTGACTAGTCTTTTTTCTTTCTTAGTTTCTTAGCTTTATTCAGATATAATTGGCATTGGCTTGGCCTCCCTTACCTTTTTTAACATGTTATTTTATTTATTTTTTTAAGATTTTATTTATTTGACCAGAGAGACATAGCGAGAGAGGGAACACAAGCAGGGGGCATGGGAGAGGGAGAAGCAGGCTTTCCGCGAAGCAGGGAGCCTGATGTGGGGCTCGATCCCAGGACTCTGGGATTATGACCTGAGCCGAAGGCAGACACGTTAACGACTGAGCCACCCAGGTGCCCCTAAGATTTTATTTTTAAGTAACCTCTACACCCATCTTGTGGCTTGAACTTAAAACCCCAAGATCAAGAGTCACATGCTCTGTCAACTGAGCCAACCAGGCCCCCCTGGTTATCTCTTGATAAATCACTTTGAAATGCTATTTACTTTCTATTAGAAAAGATGAGGAAAAAAAAAAAGTTGAACATTTGGCTCTCTTAATACCACTTACCTCCACCCCCAAAGTTCCTGATAGAGTTACGTCATAATTTTTTGAAAAACCATAACAATTGTTTTATATTATTACAATTATGTTAGCCCTGCAGAGTTTGGTTATATCCTATGATATTTTCCTTCCTTCTTTTTTTTTTTTTTTTTAAAGATTTTATTTATTTATTTGACAGAGCGTGCACAAGGCAGTATAAGCTCATTTAGAAATATGGACGTAAATGCCAAAAGAAATAACTATAGAGAGCTATAGCAAGCTGAATAGTGGTCCCCAAGAGGTGTTCAGGTCCTAACCCCTGGAACCTAATCCCCAGTAAATCTTTGTAGATGAGATTACATTAAATTAGATACGGAGATGATGGGGCACCTCAATGGCTCATTCGGTTAGACGTCCGACTCTTGATTTTGGCTCAGGTCATGATCTCAGGGTCAGGCTTCACACTCGGTGGGGAGTCTGCCTCTCTCCCTCTGCTTCCTCCCCCCCTCCCCCCAAAGCACACGCTCTTCCTCTCTTTCTCTCAAATAAATTCATTATGCATGGGTTCTTTCAATCTAGAAATGTTTAGTTTTGGTTTTATCAAGTTTTCTTCTATTTCTTATATCTTTGCTCTATTTTCTAGAACTTTAAGTTTGATGTGGACCTCTTGACTAGTCTTTTTAGTTTCTTAGCTTTATTGAGAAATAATTGGCATTGGCTTGGCCTCCCTTACCTTTTTTTAACCCTCTTTTGAGTTTTTTTAAAATGTGGTTCTAATGTTTTTGATTTCCAGGAGCCTTTTCTTGTGTTTTGTTTTTGTTTTATCACGATCTCTTGTTTCATGGATATAATATCTTCTTTTAAATCACTAAGAATATTATCCCTCTTTGGAAAATTTCTTTTTTATGTTTCTTCAAGTTTTTACTTTCTGTCTTTTGGTTTCTTTGATGTTGAAGGTTTTCTTTTAGTATCTTGTCATTCTTGGTTAACTGTTCATATTTAAGAATGAGGCTCCCCTCTAAGGTGCAATATACTGAATAGAAATTAAAGGTGTGGGCAGAGCATATTTATTAGTGGGCCACAGATTGCTGAATTTCGTTAAGGGGTTTAGAACTACCCTGAGGCATTGAAGAGTTTTAAGCAGAAACTGAAATAACATGGTAAGACTTGCCTTTTAAAAAGATCAGTGAGGAGAATGGATTGAAACTAGTTTGGGAAAACTAGTTAGGAAACTTAATCCAAGTGAAAGATAACTAGATTGAGTGGAGTAATTGCAGAGGTGATGGAGAAGAGTAGTCCCAGCTGGGAGAGATTGAGGGGACAGAATTTCATGAGAAAAACGATCCACCCGTACCCAGGTTATTGTGACCTGATATAAGACGCATCTCAGAGGGTGGGCATGAGGTGGGTGTTGAAGCCAGATTGCAGTGAATTTAAGGAATAGTGGGAGGTCAGAAGTGGTGGCATGACCACATTGTATAAACAAACAACTTTTTTCTGCCATGGCTCTCCTTTTTTCGTACTCTCTCTGACCCCTTACAAAAAGCATGGTCCAGAGTAGTACTGTCTAGTAGAACTTTCTGTGATGATGAAAATGTTCTGTATCTGCCAATACCATAGCCACCGGCCACATGGGTCTGTGAGCCAGACACTTGAAATGTGGCTAGTGAGAGATTCAGGCATGTTGTAAATAAAAACACACTGGATTTTTGAAAACTTACCTTGAAAAAAGAAGAATGTAAAATATCTCAATTTAAAAATATTTATTACATGTTAATATTTCGACTATAGTGGGTTAAGTAAAATATATTAAAATTTCACCTGTTTCTTTTCCTTTTTTAATATAACTACAAAAATTTAAAAGCTTTATGGCTTGCATTTGTCATTCTAATTCTATTTCTGTTGGGTCACGCTGTCTCACAAATAGCCTTTTAGAAGATTGAGCAGAAAGGTAAAGGACACATGTTGTTGAAGACAAGTTTAAGGGAGAACTGCATTTAGAAAATAATGTTTTAAAATTGTATGACATTTTAATAGCTAACATAAAGTAATATAACAGATTAACATTTGGTGTTACGGAATTTCAACTAGAAATTTGTTGCTTAGCCAAGAACTCAGTGAAGGCTGCAGAAATCTAATAGTTGGCTAAAGCAGTATATAGCATTTTCTTTTTCTTTTCTTTTTTTTAAAGATTTTATTTATTTATTTGACAGAGAGCACAAGCTGGGAAAACAGCAGGCAGAGGGAGAGGGAGAAGCAGGCTCCCTGGTGAGCAAGGAGCCTCATAATGGGGCTCCATCCCAGGACCTTGGGATCATGACCTGACCTGAAGGCAGACGCTTAATTGATCTGAGCCACCCAGGTGCCCCTATAGCATTTTTTTCCCTCATTCCCTGGCTTTGTATTTTTCCACTTTTAGATGGATTCTCTATCTTAGCTTTAAAAAGTTTTGTAGTGTTTAAAAATTTTGTTACCAAACCTATTGGTATTTTCAAGGTTTCTGCTAGTTGCCACAATTTTGAAAAAAGCTTTCTCACCCCTAAATTATATTTCATATTTAAATCTTTATCTTTCGTTGTGGTATAAGCTCTGAGGAGCCAAGTCTTACTGAACTTTTAATTCTAATTGGTTAGCCAGTTGTTTCAATAACATTCAATAACATTGAAAAATTCATTTCTCCACTGCTCTAAAATGCCACCTTTATCATACTGAATTGAGTATATAATTGTATATAATTGAGTTTGTTTCCGTAACTTAGAAATGTTTAAAAAATGAATTTCTTGATTAAATAGCCCAAGGTTTAGCAGTGAAAAGAATTAACAGTGAGTAAAAACTGTTCTAGCCTTTTGCTTTACTAATTCTTGCACAGTAACTTTATTTGCATTCATGATTGTGGCTAATCTGGTTAGGTTTAAATGTTGGGTATCTTTTTTTTTTTTTCCAATGTTGGATTTCTTAATAGAGAATTAATTTAAAATTTGAACCTTGACACTGCATGAACACACTAGGGACTTTAAGTATAATGAACTATTTGTATAATTGTTTAAGTTTTTCATCTAAAGAGATGGTCAGAAGAAAGAATTAGTGGATTATTTGATTCTTACTGCTTACATTTTAGGTGATCTGTAAGTCAGATGCTCCAACAGGGGATGTTCTTCTTGATGAAGCTCTAAAGCATGTTAAGGAGACTCAACCTCCAGAAACGGTCCAGAACTGGATTGAATTACTTAGTGGTAAGCTTTTGTGTATAAACTAAAAGCTGAATTCTGTCTAAAAGATTTTTGTAAAAGCTTAAAATTCTTTTGAGAGGAACTTACACAAAATGGCCAAAAGCTTGTGTTATATAGGCAGACTTGAAAGTTATTAGTCACTGAATGGGGAAAATAGTGGTTTTAAAAATTTCACCCCCTCTTAATAAGACTGAGCAGATAGATGTTCAATGAAACATAATCTTCTTCCTTAGAGTTTCCACCTTCTTTATCAAAATTACCTCATGCTACCTTACCACAGGGTAGACTAAGTTAAGCTGTGATAACAGACAACCCCCAAACCTCCGTGGCTTTAAACAACAGATGACTTTTCACTCATGTTACAAGTAGTCACAGGCCACTTCATTCTCACTTTGGCAGCCAGGCAGGCAGATAGAGCTGCCACCATCTGGAGCACTGTCTGTCACTGTCATAAAGGGAAGATGAGTATAGCCAATCATTCAGGCTTGGAAGTTTCTGTTCAGAAAGGACATGTGGTTCCGGTTTCATTGGTCAGAGCAAGTCACGTGGCCTCCCCTAACTTTAAGGAGACAGGAAAGTGCAGTGGTAGGAAGGAGAACCTGAAATACTTGGTTGACAGCACTGGTGACTATTGCATTTACATTAAAGTTATTTGTGTATTTGTCTAATCTAGATAGAGAGCTTTGAGTATAGGACCTAAGTGTAGAGTATAGGCCGAAAGTTCTCTTGCTGTTCCTCTTTACTGTTACATAAAACATTGCTTCTGTGTACATGTATTATTTCAGTTCATGTTCAAACATACTGCTCTTTAACTTTTAAAAGCATTTGGGTGTTGTTAGATTGGTAATTAACATGTAATTTTTTTCTCACTTGTAGTTTTTTTTAACTTACAGTTTCTAAAAATAACCCTATTATTCTCTCAGTAAAAGATTTTGAGTTTTGCATCTTTGTTTATGTAAAAATTGAATACACATATTCCGTTGTTAGCGAATAGGCAACGGTGGCACTTTACACTTAGGGCAGTGTTCATTCTGTTTGTTACTGATGGAAAACAGACTTACTCACAAGGTAGTTTTGATGAATTTTGCAGTTTCTCTCTTTTGACCATCCTCTTGTCAATCTTCTAATAAAGGTTCTTTTTACTTCCATAAGGAGAAACTTTAACTCAACCCTCTTTCCCGCTTGGTGCTATGTCCAATTATAATTTCTTCTGCAGGAATCTTTTAAAATTACTTTGCCCATTTGATCAGAGTTTGTTTGGTTAAAACTAGATTGCTTAGCACCTACTAATACTGTATGTCACATGGCCCAGCATGTTGTCAACCCTCTTTGAGTTAGCCTTCCACTTAATGCCTGTTGGTGATACATGGCCATTTAACAGAGACTCAGTGAGGGCTTTAACGTTAACTCCATATGTTAAATATTAGCAAATATTTTTTCAGATAAAAGTAGAAGTGCTAAAAATTTCTCACTGTCCCCTGATGGATCATTTTGTACTTTTTCTGGAGATCACCTAAGCAGTCTTTGGGTCATGCTCATGTTGGCCCATTACCACTTCTGGTCGGGCAAATTGGAATTTGTAGTTATGTTCTCAGCTGGCTAAAAGCAGGGTTTTTCTAAGTTGTAGTTAATTTTTTTGGCAGGTAGGTCAGAGCAGTGGTCTTTTATGGAATGTGGTTGGGTCTTGGGTTAACGTTATTGATACCCATTTTGGTACCACTCAGCGCTGTGGAGATGTTCTCAGGGCCCTCTGTCCGTCGGCGATCTCTGTACAAGCGTACGTCGGACATGCTAATAGCACGTTGGGATTTGGTTTACTAATCTGTCTTAGACAACCAGATTTCCTTGGACGGTTTATGTATCTGTCACGCAGGTATGGCATGCAGGAAGGTTGACTCTCAGCGTATAAGGTGGCTGTAACTGGTCCAGTACGTGATACAAATGCTAATTGAACCAAGTTGGGTTGGTTGTCTGTTTGAAGAGCAGAAAGATGGCACAAGTCTATAAGATTTTCTCAGAAGTATTTAAATGCACTTAAGAGTTTGTGAAACAAAATCTTTGTCAAAAGTTATCTCATGCTCCCCTATCCTGAGTAGGCTATGTTAAGCTGTGGAAACAGGCAACCCCAAAGCCTCAGAAGCCTTAGGACTTCTCACTCATGCTGTGAGTCCGTCACAGGCCACTTTGTTCTCAGTAAATGATTCTGAGTGTCCATTTGGATTGGGAATTTGGGTAAACTGCGAGGCTAATTGCTCAGAACAGTTTTTTAAAAAAAGCAATATCCTGTCAAGTTTGGGATGGCCGTCAACGCTCGAATATCGCCTGTAGCACCTTAGTCATGTGTTCCTGACATACATTAGGAATGACCTGTAATTTTAGCCTAAAAGTAGGGAATTCAGAATGAGAGAAGGAGAAAAAAAGCACATTTCTTTTAAATTAAGAAAGCATCTACTTCCCGCCTAATGAAAGTACTGATAGCTTGGTTGATTTTTCTTAAAAAAGCATTTTTTTGGGGAGGGGGGTAAAACGTAACACTTACCACTTTGACTTTTTAAATGTTCACTTTTGCAGCCAGCTTGTTAAATTTTAAATTCTTAAAATGTTGCTCCCAGGTAATGATTAATATCAGATACCAGTTACAGCAGCTTTACTGACGTAGGTGCTGTAAGACTTGAGGTCTTTCCTCTACTGAAAGCATCCATCTTAAAGTCCGCTTGGGGAACAGTTGTGTATTTCTTTTTTTTCTTTTAAGATTTTATTTATTTGTCAGAGCGAGACACAGCGAGAGAGGGAACACAAGCAGGGGGAGTGGGAGAGGGAGAAGCAGGCTTCCCGCTGAGCAGGGAGCCCGATGTGGGGCTCCATCCCAGGACCCCGGATCATGACCTGAGCCGAAGGCAGACGCTTAATGACTGAGCCGCCCAGTTTTAATTTGCTTGTAGAACTTATAAAATCTTTTCACATTGTGAATAATTTAGGAGCTGTTGAATAACAATATGGATCACAGTAACATCTTTTAATCTTAGAGTTTTAAACACTTAAGTAATCATGCATTTATTACAAAGTATTTAAAAGGTATCTGAGGGCGCCTGGGTGGCTCAGTCGTTAAGCATCTGCCTTCGGCTCAGGTCATGGTTCCAGGGTCCTGGGATCGAGTCCCGCATCGGGCTCCCTGCTCCGGGGGAAGCCTGCTTCTCCCTCTCCCACTCCCCCTGCTTGTGTTCCTGCTCTTGCTATCTCTCTCTCTGTCAAATAAATAAAATCTTTAAAAAAAAAAAAAGGTATCTGATATTCTGCTTAAATTGAAGCAGCGAAATCTTTAGTAGCTGTGATAGTTTAAACATTTATTGTATATTCACTCATCCAGCTACCCCCCCATCCCAATTCATACTGGTGTCTTAAGTGTGCTAATTTCAGGGGTGACTTTATTCTTTTGATTTAGCTTAATTATTTTTTTTATTACTTTTATTATTATTTTTTAAAGATTTTATTTATTTATTTGACGAGATAGAACCAAGTAGGCAGAGAGGCAGGCAGAGGGAGAGGGAGAAGCAGGCTCCCCACTGAGCAGGGAGCCCAATGCGGGGCTCGATCCCAGGACCCTGGGATCATGACCTGAGCCGAAGGCAGCCGCTTAACCGACTGAGCCACCCAGGCGCCCCTCTTTTTTTTAAAACAAAAGGCAGGAATGTTAGGATGCCAAGATACTTTCACCACTCAGTTATTTCATTGTACCTTTTTTTAGGGTGCCAAGAATAGTATTAAACAACATTTGCATTTTACCCACACTGTTTCAGCCTTCTGCGTATGAGATTTCTTCATTTTTTCAAATATCTGAGGAAGTCTGAATAACATTTGTACTGGAGTGAGCAGGCGAGATTTGCCCGCTTTGAGGGAGTTACTGCGAAGGGAGATGATGTCTGAGCCCCTTTTTATTACTTCCTTTGGGGCAGAAACTATAGCCCATAAGAAGGTCCACTCATAAATGGAACACCTTATTTGAAGGTGGGCCTGTGTTTAGGCTCTTCTCATTTTTAGTAGCAACACTAAATTGTACCATATTTTGGAATTGAGAAATTTCTCATAGGAACTTTGTAACCATTATTTTGTTCCATTGGTTGTAATATATAAGATTTAATTGTGAATAAAGTAGGTAAACCTTAGTATGACTTCAGCACAATAAACAGTAAGTTATAAATTGCTAATCCCATTCATTTCCCATGAGAAAAGAAAATCATTGTATAGCAGCATTAGAGGGATTTTGTGTTTTTAGGTCTGCAAAGAGATGCTTAACTGTGGACTTCTCAGAATAATCCTGATCCTCCCCCCCTCCCCCATTTTTTGAACTAGATAGCCAAGATATTCTCTGAGGCATGCAATACCCTTCTGTTTGATTAGTGAGTTGCCAGGGAAAAGTACTACTTTGATAATTGACAAATTATTATAAGCATAGTTAGTTAATTTTAAAGTTGAACTATTATTTATGGGCTTCTACATAAATTTGGCCATTGGTTATTTTATGTTTATTTTAATTTCCAAAAGTGAGAAGAAGGTCAGAAAACACAACCTAGCCAATTCTAGCCTAGTGTATTAGGCTGCCTACCACAAGCCAGTGATATTAGAAAACACAAACCCCAAACTGTCTGGTGAAAGGTACAGCAGGCAGGCACTTGTTGGGGAGATAATGGCTTGGTACAAACTTAAAAAGTGGAAATTGTAGCACCTGTGAAAGATGTGTGACTCCATTCCAGGGCTCATTATATTCTGCATATAATTACTGCCTATCCACTCTATTGTTTCTTTTGCCTGTAACGCAGGCTCCTCTTTTCTTTCTTTCTTTTCCTTTCTTTCTTCCTTCCTTCCTTCCTTCCTTCCTTCCTTCCTTCCTTCCTTATTTATTTGAGGGAGAGAATGGGAGTGCGAGGGGGGAGGAGGGGCAGAGGGAGAAGCAGACTCCCCAGTTGAGCAGGGAACCTGACGCGTTGGGGCTTGATCCCAGGACCCTGAGATCATGACCTGAGCTGAAGGTGGGCACTTAACCTCCTGAGCCACTGAGGCACCCCTCCGCTTTCTTTCATAGGATGTTGATTCCTGAGGGACTTCAAGATTTAGTTTGACAGTTCTTTCTCCTGTAACTCCATGGAAATGCCCCTACATCAAACCCAAATAATTTCTTACTCCCTCTGGGCTCCTTATTACACAGTCTTTATGATCCTACACATCTTATTCTTGCCAGGATAATTATATTATGGGTGTTTCTTTTATGTTTGTGTTCTTAGTACCTAATATATTTTAGGCATTTAAGTCTTTCTGTCAGAGTGCTGATTCTGCACATAATAGCTAACATTTGTTGAGTGTTAACTGTATACCAGGCTCTGTTCTAAGAACTTGATATGTCTTTAGCTCATTTAATCCTCCCTGATGAGGTTGGTAGAGTTGTTATCTTGACTTTACAGATGAGGAAACAGAGGAATGTAGAAGTTAAGAAACCTTGCCCAGGGTTGCACAGCTAGAAAATGACCAAGTTGGAATTCAAATCTAACCAGTCTGGCTCTAGAGCTTGCCTGTTATAACCGGTTATGCGATAATGCTTCATCAAGTAACTTTTAATCATTTCTTAACATTAAATGTAGGTATAGGCTTGTTTAACACTAGAAATTGCAATAAGTAGAATTTTATTTATTATTGAGTTACATTTTTCTTTTTTATGATTAGGTTTTTTTTTTTTTTAAAGATTTTATTTATTTATTTGAGAGAGAGAGAATGAGAGAGAGCACATGAGAGGGGGGAGGGTCAGAGGGAGAAGCAGACTCCCCGCCGAGCAGGGAGCCAGCCCGATGCGGGACTCGATCCAGGGACTCGAGGATCATGACCCGAGCTGAAGGCAGCCGCTTAACCAACTGAGCCACCCAGGCACCCCTTATGATTAGGTTTTAAAATCTAATAGGGCCCCAAATATATTTCTTTTCCTTTTTAAGGTTACCAAGGAAATTGAATGCAATGATCATTTTTCTTTTGTGGACGCTGATTTGCTAGGGTTTTTATGGAAAATATTATTATTACTGTTTAATGCAGGAAGTGACTTCAGTTTACTAATAATTCATGGTACCAGCCTTTCATTATTTGACAGTTTTCTTTCAAGTCCCTAGTTTTACAGAGTGAATCACAAAATGCAAAATGGCACTTCCAGATCATTTATTTATTTATTTTTTAAGATTTATTTATTTATTTGACAGAGACACAGCAAGAGAGGGAACACAAGCAGGGGGAGTGGGAGAGGGAGAAGCAGAGTCCCCACTGAGCAGGGAGCCCGATGTAGGGCTCAATCCCAGGACCCTGGGATCATGACCTGAGCTGAAGGCAGACACTTATGACTGAGCCACCCAGGTGCCCCCCAGATCATTTATTCTTTAAAAAAAACTGTTATTTTCTCTTCATTGCAGTCATGTTTTCCTTTAAATTACTTAGATGTTTATAATAGCTGTTTTAAAATCTTTGCTAATTCCCTCATATATGTCATTTCTGGGTCATGTCTGATTTGGTTCACTCTGGCTGTTGAATTTTCCCCCCCTTGGTTTGGGTCACAATTTTACAGGGCTACTAATTTTTATTCATTGCTGAACATTGTGTGTGCTACGTTGTTGAGTGCTGGATTCTGTTGTTTTTCTTTAAAGAGTGTTGAAATTTGTTTTGGTAGGCAATTAAGTTACTTGTGGATCACTTTGTTTTTAAGCTTTATTAGGCCAGATCTAGAACAGTCTTTTCTCAAGGACTGGTTTAGGCCTACTATTAAGGTGTGATCCTTCTGGAGTCCCTTCTGAATGTCCTGGGTGTTCAGTGAGATCTTTCTACTCAGTCTGCTTGGCACTCAAATTTGCCCCAGCCCCATGTGAACCCTTAGAATTGTTCAGCTTACAGCTTTCGGATAGTTTTTCTTTGTCTAGCTTTGCAGAGTTTCTCACCTTAACTTGTGTGGCTTTGTTTAATCAGGCATACTCGGAGGAACACCATACGGATATCTAGAGCTCTTGTTCTTCATAGCTCCCTCTTCCAGTACTCTGCCTTTGTATTTCAGCTGCCTTAGCTTCCTGGAACTCTGTCTCTACCTTTTTAAATTTTTAAATTTAAATAAAAAATTTTTATTTCTGCCTGTTTAAACACAGTGTTACTCCTTTGCTCTGTTTGAGGTCTTCTCTCCTGCTTTGCTGCCTGGGATGCACCTTTAGATAGTAAGCTTGGGTAGTAGTATGGCTCACTTAGGTTTCACTCAAGGGTCACCACTCAGGATTGCCTTTTGACTAGCACTGGAAAACAGTTGTTTCATATATTTTATCTGGGTTTCTATTTGTGTAAGGTCAGAGGGTCTAATTATTTAAGTCCAGGACTGATTACTCTTACCATATCCCCATCTTCTTTAGTGTTAAGTCATATGGTAAAATACTCTTTTTATGGCCAACTGAATAGTAATATATTTCAAGATAGCATTGTTCACTAGAACTTTCTATGATGATGGAAATGTTCTATTTCTGTGCTGTCCAATCAGTAGACACTAGCCATACATGGCTATTGAGCATTTTGGAACATGGCTAGTACAGCTGAGGAACTGAATTTCTTATTAATTTAAATTTCTTAGTGGTTAGTGGTTAGACAATATAGTTTTCTGTCAGTATTGTAAAATTTCAGCCTTACAGCTTTTGCATATAATGAAAGTGTCTGTGGTTGATCTTTAACGTGTTCCAGTTTAGAGAATTGCTATAGTATTTTTTTCAAATTAAAAAAAATACATATTCTTTGGAGATCATTTGGAAAATACAGAAAGTACAAAAAAGAAAATTTGTCACACATACTCCCAAAGAAAACCAAGGTTAATATTTTTATATATTCCTTTCTAGTCTTCTGTAGAAAAAAAAATTATCTTGGTGAAAATTGTTTGGTTTTATTTTATTTTATTTTATTTTATTTTATTTTTTTAAAGATTTTATTTATTTATTTGAGAGAGAGAGAGAATGAGAGACAGAGAGCATGAGAGGGGGGAGGGTCAGAGGCAGAAGCAGGCTCCCTGCTGAGCAGGGAGCCCGATGCGGGACTCGATCCCGGGACTCCAGGATCATGACCTGAGCCGAAGGCAGTCGCTTAACCAACTGAGCCACCCAGGCGCCCCTGTTTGGTTTTATTTTAAATATTTCTGTTTTGAAAGGAAATGTGCATAGATGACAAAATTAAAATGGTGAAATGTTTTGCCCTTCTAGAATTAGCTTTATATTATTTGTCATCAAAGAATAGATTGTCTAAATAGGCTTTCCTAGCTTTGTAGGCCAGGTATATGTAGCAGTTTCTGGAATAGCATATTAATCAGGAAACTTTTTTTTTCTTTTGTTTATTTGTCACACATTGGTGTTTTGGTAGAAAAAAACCTGCTGTGGTTGCTTTTTGACAACAGCTGGAGAGAGGAAAATATATTTAATATTTAGCTCATTTTCACATTAGGATAACTGGTTTGAAGACTGCTTTTAGTTTGGTCCTTTAAGTAACTGTTGAGCCTGAAAATGTGCCAGGTGCTTAGAATCCAAAGGCCTGGCCCTCAAGGAGTTCATGGTTTAGTTGGCAAGAAAAATAGTTGGATTTTTTTCTATTTCTTTAGAGGGGGGGGAAAACCCCAAATTTTATTGTTTATTTTAATAGTACATTTTATAAAATTAGAGATAATACCGAATCATTTCTAACTTCTGAAATCTTTTGCTTAGGTGAGACCTGGAATCCATTAAAATTGCATTATCAGTTAAGAAATGTGCGGGAACGGTTAGCTAAAAACCTGGTGGAGAAGGGTGTGTTGACAACAGAGAAACAGAACTTCCTACTTTTTGACATGACGACACATCCCCTCACCAACAACAATATCAAGCAGCGCCTCATCAAGAAGGTACAGGAAGCTGTTCTTGACAAATGGGTGAATGACCCTCACCGCATGGACAAGCGCTTGCTGGCCCTCATTTACCTAGCGCACGCCTCCGATGTCCTGGAGAATGCTTTCGCTCCCCTTCTGGACGAGCAGTATGATTTAGCCACCAAGAGAGTGCGGCAGCTCCTTGACTTAGATCCTGAAGTGGAATGTCTGAAGGCCAACACCAATGAGGTCCTGTGGGCAGTGGTGGCCGCGTTCACCAAGTGACGGCTAAGAATGAAGTTCCTTTCTCTCATGTAAACCAGTAGTTTTTCTTCTATTGACTTCTGGTTTTTGGCGATTTGTACTTTCCACACTATAATTGGCTTTTGTTTTATGAAATGGTGGATGGCTTTTTCTTTTTTGTATGTATGCAGGATTCTGCTGGTACGAGAGGCCTTCCTCTTTCTGTTTTAAAAAAAAGTTTTACTGCCATATTGGCAATCCATTCCTTGTTGCCATTCTCACTGTTAACCTGTTTTGGGTTGCTGGGATGCTTTGACTTTCAAAGTAATCCCAGTCTCCTCACGTGCACATCTTTTGGATTACCTCAGCTTGAGTTTTTCCCACATGTGCATGTATATCTAGCATTCTGCCTACGATTCAGACAGAAGTCACAAAAAGGCCTTTAACTCACCAAAGGTAAATATCTGTATCTATTAGGACATTTTATACATAGACCTCAGTTGAGATGTGTACTTAGCAAATTATTTTTAAATTGAAACAACACAGTAAATAATATAAAATGCCCCTTGGATTTTTGTTTCCCATGTAAATCTATTGTATTATTACACTTGTTGTAATTTTAACTATTAAATCATAAAGGTCCAGTTGTTTCACAAAGCCAGTTTGGGATGGGCTGCATTCCAGTTATGCTGTGTATATAGTTTGAATTAAATACACATTGCCCCTTCTGTCCACGCCTGCCTCCATCTTAGTATTTTGCAAGATTTAATTAGTTGTACACCTGGTGCCCCTCATTTGCTTCAGTCAATATTATTTGATGACAAAACAGACCTCTCATCAATGAAGGAAAGAGAAAAGATGTGTCTGATTGGTCCCAAGAGTTCTTGAGCTGTGCGATTCATGGTACTCTTTGCCTATGCATCTCCTTTTGAAATTGTTTTTGGTCTTAACTGTTTTTTATCATTTCTATAGGGAAGAGGCTTGTGACCAGTACTAATCTTGAGTACAGTTTTTTCTTTTTCTGTCCACAGGTAAATTAATGTCTGCTCTTAAATGTCATTTATCTACTCACACTTTCTTAGGGGGAAAAAAATCAAATGTCAGTTTTAGCAGATGTTGCATGTAAATTGTTAGCAAGTAATGACTACAACTCAGATGATTAAGAATTTTGTAACAGAAAGCTCTGCTATGTTTTAATTTTTATATACAATTATGATGATTAGCACATTGTAAGAATATAAACCTTTGCTTTTTAAAGTTTATTTTTACTATTTCTTTATCACTGTTTATGGTATCAGCATTGGTTTCATAATGTAAATACTATATATTGAACAAATTAAATGTCAAAATTTTTATTACCATAGTTCATGTTAATAGTGGGGCTTTCAGGTGTTTAGAGATTTTTTTGGTTAACATTCAATGCAAAAGTACTAGATGGTGTATAACTTTAGAGTGGAATTTTAAGGGATTCCTTAATATGTATACTATCTTTTTATCTGAAGTAATAAATAAACTATGATCTTGAAAGTGCCTGAATCAGAGCAAGCATGTCATTTGTATTTTTGTATTCTACCATAGTTTTCTTACTTAATTTTTACTTAGTGATATACATGTGGTAATATTTCAAAATAGCGCAGGGGCTAGCAAACTTTTTCTTGTAGGACTGGATAGTAAGTACTTGGGCTTTGTGAGCCGTATGTGATACCAGAACTGCTCAGCTCTGTTGAATGAGAGTTGTCATAGACAATACAAATCAGGGGTGAGGCTGTGTTCCAGACAAAAACAGCTGGCTACTGGTAATAGTTTTCCAGGCTCTTTTTCTTTTTTAATGAACATATAAAGTATTGTTTCAGGGGTACAGGTCTGTGATTCATCAGTCTTACACAATTCACAGCACTCACCATAGCACATACCCTCCCCAGTGTCCATCACCCAGTTACCCCATCCCTCCCACCCCCCACCACTCCAGCAACCCTCAGTTTGTTTTCTGAGGTTAAGAGTTTCTTATGGTTTGTCTCCCTCTCTGGTTTCATCTTGTTTCATTTTTCCTTCCCTTCCCCTATGATCCTCTGTCTTGTTTCTCAAATTCCACATATCAGTGAGATCATATGATACTTGTCTTTCTCTGACTTATTTCACTTAGCATAATACCCTCTAGTTCCATCCACGTCGTCGTAAATGGCAAGATTTCATTTTTTGATGGCTGCATAATATTCCATTGTGTGTGTGTGTGTGTGTGTGTGTGTATATACACACACCATATTTTCTTTAATCCATTCATCTGTTGATGGACATCTAGGCTTTTTCCATAGTTTGGCTATTGTGGACATTGCTGCTATAAACACGGGGGTGCACATGCCCCTTCGGATCACTACATTTGTATCTTTGGGGTAAATACCCAGTAGTGCTATTGCTGGGTCGTAGGGTAGCTATATTTTCAACTTTTCCAGAGTGGCTGCACCAGCATGCATTCCCACCAACAGTGTAGGAGGGTTCCCCTTTCTCCGCATCCTCGCCAACGTCTGTCATTTCCTGACTTACTGATTTTAGCCATTCTGACTGGTGTGAGGTGGTATCTCATTGAGGTTTTGATTTGTATTTCCCTGATGCCGAGTGATGTTGAGCACTTTTTCATGTGTCTGTTGGCCATTTGGATGTCTTCTTTGGAAAAATGTCTGTTCATGTCTTCTGCCCATTTCTTGATTGGATTGTTTTTTTGGGTGTTGAGTTTGATAAGTTCTTTATAGATTTTGGATACTAGCCCTTTATCTGGTATGTCATTTGCGAATAAGCTTATTTTTTTTGTGATCTCTATATCCAACATGGGGCTTGAACTCAGGACCCTGAGATCGAGTTGCAGCCTCTTCCCGCTGAGCCAGCCAGGTGCCTCCTTGCCAGCCTTTGTTTTTAATACATGGAAAAAGTCAGATTTTCTATCTTTTAAAATAACCTCCTTTACCTCCAAAAATGACACTACTGGTGGAAATTAAGTATGGAAACTGTTAATTTATTATTTCTTTTCATAAAGTGAAGACTCAACTGATAACTGATTTTATCCTGGAATTTCTTTTCAGGTGAAGATTTACTGTTTTTCCCTTGAAAAGATTTTAGAAGTGAGGTAAGGGATGTTTTTCTAAAGTATTCTTCACTTCATCACCATCATCTCTATTCTCAAGCAAGGGGGAAAGGGCCTTGCCCGAACTTCTGTCAGTGTTTGTTTCAGAGCCGACTGCCCGACCAGCTCCTGCCTGTGAGTGGCCCCAGCTTTAGTACATGTATCTATAGCCAGAGGAGAGGAAAAGTAGTATGATCTGGAGGTGGGGGGTGTTACCTAGAACTCTTTCTCCTATAAAATGCTACTGCTTACAGTCCTCTTTAAAGGAGAAATGGTAGGACCTCATGGAAATAATTGTGCTGTGGGGTAGGAGCAGTTTTTCTACAGGTTTTTCCCACTTTGATCCAAGAATCAGGCAGTGAATTTTAATATAATAAAACTTACATAAAAGTCTTTTGTGTAAAAAACCTGCTTATTTTTGAATTCTTCATATATTGTTTAATTGTTGAGTGTCCCTTAAAATAGCCTGATCTTTAACAATGTTCTAACCTGATCTGTAACAATGCTTCACCAGAAAGGAGAAAGGAGATTTCCTGAATGTACACTCTGTGTCTAGAAAAGTAGTCTATACCTTGTTTTGACCCCCCCAAACCCCAATTACTGTTTTCATTTAGTGAAGAATGAGCTTGGAGAGGATGGTTTGCCCAATCTCACATTACCTGGTAAGTGTTTGAACTTTTAACCCCGAGCAATTGGACAGTCGTTGTGGCACTCAACTACAGTTTTTGCTTTCTTATTTTGGCACTAGGAGAGGACTTCTTTTCTCTAACAGAGACAAAAGCAGAATGGCAGGCATGCAAAGAATTCTCGTGGTGGTGCAGAATTCTTCTATTATCTTGGTATAATTTCTATAAATTATCTTTTCGGGATGAAAAAGTTGGCCAATTCTGTATGTTCTTAGAAAAAAGAAACATTGTCAGATGTAGGCCAAGAAAGCACTTGACCTGCTGAAGCAGGATTGCCCAGTGGTCTCAGACACATTCCATCATTGAGTTCTTACTGTTGTTTGTGAACAGATGGATGCACCTCTGAATTTGGTCAACACGCGAAGGAAAGTGAAAGGGGCTGGTATTTGGTTCAGTGGCAATCTAGGACCAATAAGTAATGACATTCAGCCTGATGATAAGGGCCCATGACTGCCAGACGTGGCTATTCTTGCCCCAGGAACTTGGAAACCAGTAGTCACAAGTCTGTATGAGGTATTTACTTTATGACGTTTAATCCCAACTTTATGGCCTCCATCTTGTATTAACGTATTAAATATATTTACAGATAATGTTGCTCCATTTCACTTTCATCCAGATCAAGATGACTGACAGCCTGAGGTAATTTCCAATTCGTTGCAGCCCACTGAGTCCCAGGACAACATCCCTGGCTTTTAACAGATTTTGCACAAATTTCCTGTATTCTTTAACAATACCAGTAAGGTAGTGGTATTAATGTCATAACCTGGCAGGCAACCTTGAAAAGAGTCTGGATGGTAACATAGTTAAACTGAAACGCATACGTTCTCAGCCCAATGTTAGAATTTACTCCCGGTAGACCAGTGGTGTAGTTATTCCCACGAGCATCGTATGGGAATATGCAATCTTCTTTTCTCACTTATGTTGTGGAGAGCTTTCAGAATAAGCACACATCATTCTTAGCGTTTTTGGCTTCATTGTATAACTTTTCCCATTAATGAACATTTGGATTATTCTCGTGTTTATAATTATTACAAACAGTATTGTATGTTTTTGTATATATGTCTTTATATTTGGTTTCTGTAGGAGGAATTCGTAGAAGTGGATTTGCTCAGAGAGTATGCCTTGAAAATGTAAAAGATAAAACCAGTTTGATTTCTAAGATTCATGTTAACTTACACTTCTACCAGTAATGTGAATGCTGGTGTCTTTATACCTTAGCCAGTTCTGTAGAGGGTATCATCAATTCTGGGCTTTGCCAAGCTAATAGAGAATGATCGAATTATTTTAACTATTGAGGGGTTATCATTTACTATCTTTATTGGTAATTTATTTTTTTTCCGGTGAGTTACCTGTTCATGTTCTTCATTCTTTTTCTAATGGGCATTGACTTATTTTTTGTATTGATTCATTAGGACTTTCCATACATGATGGATCTTAACCCTGTGTCTGTGATGTACTTGGTTTTTCCCAGTCTTTGGAGTTGGTATATGGTAAGGCCTTTTGTTTGTTTGTTTGTTTTTAACAGTTTGGAAAATGTATAATGTAGTGCTCGAGCATGGAAGCAGACTCCCCAACAAGCAGGGAGCCCAATGCGGGGCTCGATCCCAGGACCCCGGGATCACGACCTGAGTCGGAGGCAGATACTTAACTGACTGAGCCACCCAGGTGCCCCTTCTGATTTCATTTTATCTTTTTTTTTTTTATTTAAAGATTTTATTTATTTGAGAGAGCGAGAATGAGAGAGAGAGTACATGAGAGGGGGGAGGGTTAGAGGGAGAAGCAGACTCCCTGCTGAGCAGGGAGCCCGATGCGGGACTCGATCCCGGGACTCCAGGATCATGGCCTGAGCCGAAGGCAGTCGCTTAACCAACTGAGCCACCCAGGCGCCCTTCATTTTATCTTATATTTTGTGTCACTTTCTTGATGTATTCGTTTTGAGGTGTTCAGTTAATACTTTTCACTGGTTTCCTGAGCACGTCTTTCTGGTGTGCTTTGTTTGTAGGGATTGTATTTGCTGCTCAGGCGCTTTTTTCTTATAATAATGTTGTGTGGGATTTTACCTAGATTATCTTCTGTTGCCTATTTTTATATGAAATTAGTTTTGCTGTTCTTTTACAAGGGATGTGGGTCAGGGCAGCTTTTCTAACTGTATTTATTCTCTTCTGTTTGGGTGGCGACTAAAGAAACAGGGCAGCTTACTTTCTGAGATCTGTCTCTGCTCCCCTGTTGGTTACGTTGCTTATGGTGCCGGGTCCTTGGCCGTCAGATGCCCTGTTGCTTCCTCTGCTTCCCTTGCACAGATCCCAATACCAGATCGATCTTGTTGTTAGTAGTTGGTCCCTGCCTGTTGGTATGGGTTTGTGGGGGTACTTTCATGCCTGGTTTGGTGGTAGATGTTTACCATGGTTTTTCCATCCTGGTTCTATGCGTGTGTGTGGTGGTAGCAGTGAGCAGAGAATGGGTGGGATGTGAGGAGAGTGAAAGACCACCACTGTCCTGCCATCTTGCCCGCATCTGCCGAGATTAGCCCCTGGGTTTTAGTTTGGATGTAGTCTGGCCAAATTATGAGTCTCTTGTTTGATGGCTTCTGAATTCAGCCTCCTATTCACCTTATGATTAAAAAAATACAGTATGATGCAGACTTTAAAAAAGTATTTATTTATTTTTTAAAGATTTTATTTATTTATTTGACAGAGAGAGACCAGCGAGAGAGGGAACACAAGTGGGGCGGGGGGAGGGAGAAGCAGGCTCCCCGCAGAGCAGGGAGCCCGATGCGGGGCTCGATCCCAGGACCCTGGGATCATGACCTGAGCCGAAGGCAGACGCTTAACGACTGAGCCACCCAGGCGCCCCTAAAAAAGTATTTATTGATGTCTTTCATAATTTATATAATGAAGATATTTTTAAAGATTTTATTTGAGAGAGCGCATGAGCGGAGGGGAGGGGCAGAAAGAGAGGGACAAGCTACTCCCTGCTGAGTGCAGAGCCCGATGGTGGGGCTCGATGATTTCTTAATTTCATACCATGCATGTACTGGAATTAACATCATTTAGGCTTGGTATTTTCTTTAGTGCATTGCTCGATTCTGCTGTCTAACATTTCATCAGGATTTTTATTTTATTTATGAATATGCTTTGCCCATTTTCATTATATTCTAAACATTTTTCAAGTTCATCTTCAGTGTCACTGACTTGGGTTTCTGCAGTTTGATTTGACTTGATGCATCTGATACGGCTTTAGTTTGGTAAGGTGGTCTCTTCAATTTCTGTTCGTAGTTCTACCAGATCCATATTAATCTCACCTGATTTTAATTCTTCTTTGAGCTTACGTTTCTTAGAAGCTACATTCTTTTTAATTATATTGAGAATATGAAACAGTTTGTTTATAATTTTCTTCTGATACCCAAGGTAGCCCTCCACATTGTATTTTTTTAATCTGCCTTTTGCATATTCTCTTTCAGCATTCTCCCTCCACCTTTTCCAGTTCTGTCTTCATGAGGAGGACCTTTGTTGAACCAAGTTGTTTATGGTGGGGGTCGGGGGAGGGTTCTCTCTAAGCCTGTTCTTTGCCCAGGATTGGTTAGTAGTGGATATATTAGATCTCTGTGTTTAAGTATGTTCAGTTCATCCTTTAGGATGAGAGAGGAAGGTTGGATAGCAGCCAGTTTTAAGATTTTATTTATTTTAGAGCAAGAGCATGAGAGAAAGTGAGTGCAAGCGGGAGGGGAGGAGCAGAGGGAGAGGGACAAGCTGACTCATGAGCCTGATGCAGGGCTTGATCTCACGATCCTGAGATCATGGTTTGAGCCAAAATCAAGAGTTGGATGCTTAACTGACTGTGCCACCCAGGCGCCCCCAGCAGCCAATTTTAATCTTGTTTCAGAAGCTATTTGGGGGGGATTGGGAGGAGACTGTGTTGAGTGGTACTTGCTGTAGCCTTTATGGGGTGGGTGAGTTGCAGCAGCTGAATTAGTTGAGCCCTTTTGTGGTAAGGTCCTATCTGGCAGGGACTCCCCTCAGATCAGACCATTCCTTGCGTGTTACTCCTCTGCCTGCCTAGGCTGACCCAGGTACCTGGAAAAATTAAAACAATCCCCCCTCTTTTTTTTTTTTTTTTTTTTTTTAAGATTTTATTTATTTATTTGACAGAGAGAGACAGCCAGAGAGAGAACACGGTAGGGTAAGTGGGAGAGAGAGAAGCAGGCTTCCCACCGAGCAGGGAGCCCGATGTGGAGCTCGATCCCAGGACCCTGGGATCATGACCTGAGCCGAAGCCAGACGCTTAACGACTGAGCCACCCAGGTGCCCCAAAACAATCCCCCCTCTTCAGCCTCACCCTTCCTATCATTCTGAGGAGTGTTAATGGCTCCAATTTGGGTGCTTCCTGCTTTTTCTGGGGCCCACTTTCTCCTGTAATCCCCTTTCTCCAAGTTAAGACTTTCGGTGGCATTCTTCAGAACTCTAATTTCATACATCCTTTGCTTTCTGTCACTTAGAATTGTATCCTATTTCATTGTTTTTCAGTTTGGTCTTGGATTTTACTGTACCTGGTATGTAGTCTCCAACATTCATAGAATGGGCTATTTCTATATTGTATTAAAACACCAGTTTCCCTCTTTGTATTTGGGTTTTAGAAGAGTTAATGTGAACAAATAAGCTCACTCTCTCCCAGAAGAAGTTCTATCCAAGTGGGAGTGAGCCGGTCAGAATCTTACTTTTGGGGTATATGTGGAAAAAATCAGGCAGGCAGCAGCTGGTAGGTCCAGAGAAATTCTGTGATACAGAGGCCAAAATTGTGACAAAATGGCATTCATAAGGTTTCTAAGAAAAGGTATGAAGAGTTGGAGGATAAGGCCACCAACTGGTAGAAGGAGAAGTGCTTCTGCAGAAACAGACCCACATATAGCAAGGGAGTCTTATCAACGGAGGGCACTGAATGAACACCCATGAACCCCATTGTTCCTCCAGTCTCAGAGGCCTGGTCATGTGCTGAGTCCCATTCTTAGATTTCTGTGAGATGCCATCTTATCTTCTTTCTTGTGCTATTCTAGGTTGGTGTCTGCATCATAAAATCAGAAGAGCCTAAGTAAACTAGATGCTTTTTATTTTTATGAAGGAGGATCCCAGGTCACCCAAGCATGTGGTAGGGGAAGTGAGTAGGTAGCGGTTTTGAGAGAAAGGAGGAACTGTAGTCATTATAAACAAGTGGGAGAAAAAAAACCCTGACAATTGCTGAGTAGCATGGGGAGTTCAGTTGTGGTTGGAAACCAGGAATTTCTAGCAGCATTATTCTGTGTGGTTGTAGGATTTTCTCTAGGAATGGGAGTGTAGGAACCAACTGGCTAGTTGGAAGGAAGGATCCCTGATTAGCTGGGACGAGGGTGAGGAGTCTGGGTGGAGCTTGTGCTGTACCATGGGTCTAGTCTGAACAGAGTAGAAATGAAAGGGTGGGGTTCTGATGGGGAGAAGATGGACAAGTTGTCAGGGGATTAGAGGGCCTGCTGAAACAGAAGACTTAAGTAGTAATGGGAGGAAGGGGGGGGTGGGTAAGATCCAGAAGGTGAGGAAGTTGCAAAGGCATGGGATGTTTAAGATTTCAGGAGGTGGAATGGCTTTCGATTATGCCAGATCCTTAGTGTGGCCCTGTAAGAGTTGTTGATTTTCTGTTGCTTTTGGACTGCTCACTCATTGATGTAATAATTTAGGTAATAAACATTTCTTATCTTGAGATTTTACAAGGTTACTTTATAGATGGCAGAATTTAAAAAAAAAACAAGTAGTAAGCCGTGTTTATTTTTTTAAAATTACTTAAAAAAGGTTGTTTACAGAGATGTGGATTTACATAACTTGGCGACAACATTTTAAAAATGTACAGGCTATTTCATATTATTGCACTTAACTCTTCAATAATATATAAGGCATTTTATTTTACATAAATAAAGGATAATGTAGAATATCATACAACAGGTGTGGTGCCAATTAAGTCAACCATAAAATTAAATGAGATGTGTTTTGGAGGACAGAAATGCAACCCAACCTATTTCAACCTTCACAGAATATCCTTGCAACTACAGTTTACTTGTTATAACACGTATTTACCCTCATAGCTTATTGTGGATGACTGATGAATTAGAAAACCAAAACAATGAAATTTTTTAGTAGGATAATATAATTACCATTAGTGCTCACTTCAGGAAGTGTGGGAATTAGACTAATTAGAAATACTAGCCATGCCTTGAACATTGAAGACAAATAAGTAGCTTTCTGTCTTAGGGTCAGAGATAGTTTAGCCTTTTGCTTTCTCCCTTAAGTTCCAGCTGTTGGCCAGGGAAACCCTTCTGGCAAGATCTACTAGAAATGATGACTTCAGCCTACTTTAGGCTAGTAGAGTGAAAGGTCTACCCTTGCACTCTCCAGATACGATGATGAGAGACGTTGCATTGCTCCAAATTGCTCTAGAAATTCCGGTCTGTTCACATAGGACTGTGAATTTCTTACTAGGAGGCACAGCTGGAAGAGGGGAGGCAAATATTCTCTTACCATTTAGGCAGGAAAGCAGAAACCACACAACTGACCCCAGAAACTTAAAAACAATCTAGCATGCACCTTGCACTGACTGCCTATAGTATCCTACCTGGAAGTGTAGTGAAAAGTAGAAGCTAAATTAATCAGGTCTTTCTAGCTAACTTTTGTACCACATTCTCTTTTGTATAACCTGTTAAAAAAAAAAAAAGAGAAATCTGGGCTCACACCAGCCAGATACTTCATTCTCATCTGAGAGACCCCTGTGGGCCAACTCTATGGAGGTTTTCTGTAAGGGATGAGTCACTCGGAAGAACGATGTACAAAGGTGACAGCTCAAGCATCTCCATGATTGGGGCGGGGGGTGTACAGTGACCTCAGTTCTTTTCTCTAAGCCATAGACCCAGGCTGTAGGTTATTGAAAGAAGCGTCCAACATAAAACCTGGGCATCCTCATGCACGCAGGTTTGGCGTCCTCACCCGTATTCCCAGGACTCGAGCAGCTGGTCTGCTTCCCCCTCGGATCTGGGTTGTGCGACACAGTTCTGCTTCTTTACCTTGAAAGAGTGACTCACCCGCACTCCCCATTGTTGTCTTCTTTCATTTTGGTAAATGAAGCTGATGGAGGTTTGGAATTTAAGAAAAGAAGGTGCCAGTACGGAGGAGAAAAGCCAGTTTTGGGACTGGGAGCAGCTACTGGGAAGAAGTCATGCTTTGACAGGAGAGCAGCCGGGACGAGTTTCACGGGCAGTGTGAGGCACGGCAGTCTTCGGCACGGAAATAGTTTTGGCCTAAGGAAGAGTTTGCAGAACAGGAAAACAAAAGCAGCAAACACGTCCGTCACTGCAGAGGCGTCCTTACACCCAGGTCAGGAAGAGCGGGCCAGTGCTCAGAAAGGGGCTATTCTTATGCTTGTTGGGCAAGGGGAAGACCCAACCAACCCTCCCCAAAGACCCCTAAAAGGATTATTTTTAAGCTCCGCCCTTGGGGTTGTAAATGTAATGCCTATGTTTATAAATCCAAGGATGCTAAAAAGATTTCTAAAAATTTAGCTTAAATTAGTGTTTGGAGTGTGTAAAATATAGAAATGGAAACCCAGTGACTGTAGTATTTCTGCCCACTCCTGTGTTGACTGGTCTTGAATTCCAGCACTTATTCAAGACCAGTTCCGACTTAGATGCAAGGTGCTTTCGGAGCTGGAACTTGCTGCTCATTCTAAGCAGCAAAGTTCATGGCTATTTAGTATGGTTTATCAGAACGGCATTTCTGTAAAATAGCCTTACGACTTACACTTTCAGATCACGATCAGCACTTCATGATGATCCGTAATCCACTGAGTTGAACTCTGCAGCCATACATTGCACATTACACTCATTAAAAAATACCACTTTGTTATTTTGCTTTGTCATTTTTGGATAATTCCTGAGCTCAGCTTAACTGTTAGGTCATAACTGATTTTTTCTTTCTTTTTTTTTTTTAAGTCTCACTTTCTTTTCACCATAACGTACAGACCTACAGTTCCTTCCACTGAATGTGCCTAAAAGCGTTCTCTTATTTACTTACAAAACTATATAAAACTGTAGTCCTTCACTTGTGACATTGGTGTTGCCCCTCAGACCGGGTTAGCTCCCTCACTGCCAGGATTGGGTATGGTGAGCAAGGAGGGGAGGGATGCGAAGGTCTTAAGTTGGTGTTTCGAATGGAGAAGGACATGCCACATCTTGTATCCCCATCAGGGAACCTAAAAGGCAGGGGACAGGCACCGGAGCAAAAGCATCCCTCCTGGCCTCGTGGTCCGGGGAGCAGGCTTCCAGAGGTCATCACCGTCGCACACAGAGGTCAGCTCTTCTTTTAGGAGTAAAAACCTGGAGATTTTTATAGTCCTTGCCTATACTGTTTAGGAACCCACTGTTTAAAGAAGTTATTCTGATTTGCTAAAGTAAGGGAACTGAGAAAAGGAGATTCTTGTTAAAAAATGTAACCAGCACCACTAGTGAGTGTCACTCCCGGTGCCTGTTGTAGGAAGGATTCCTGTGCTTCCTAATTACCAGCTGCACGGGTCCCTCTGGGACAGACTTCATAATATTCCAGGCATCAAAGTGCATGAGCCCCACCAGGGGTTTCCCATTAATGGCAAGAATTTCATCTCCAGCTTCTATTGTTCCAGCTTGTTCAGCTGCACCACCTGTGAGAATAAATGCAGAATAATGCCTGGGCACTTTCATAGTGTTCAAAATAAATTCCAAGTAAGCTAAAAACTTAAATGAGAAAAATCTGTGAATGATAGGCCCATGTTCTTAGGATAGGGAAATCGTTCTTAAGACACACACAGCATATACCCATGAAAAATTTAACTACATAAGCAGTGGACTAGGAGAAGGTATTTTCAGCGTATTTAATCAACAATCCAAATGCCTAGTAAATGCAGGAATACAGGTTCCACTTCTATCCAATGTACCGTGATCGCCAATCAGTGACTCTGGAGATTACTTACACAGCTCTACATATTTCTACACCCAGCTTTCTCTATAACAAGGTTATGAGTATATTGGTTTTTTTCTTTTTTTTAAAGATTTTATTTATTTGACAAAGACACAGTGAGAGAGAGAGCACAAGCAGGGGGAGTGGGAGAGGGAGAAGCAGGCTTCCCGCGGAGCAGGGAGCCCGATGCGGGGCTCGATCCCAGGACCCTGGGATCATGACCTGAGCTAAAGGCAGACGCTTAATGACTGAGCCACCCAGGCGCCCCATGAGTATGTTCTATATATTACATACTGATACTCTTAATATTAACTATTATATATAATAGGATATACAGATTTTTATATGTACTGATATTATTAGTATAATTGTACTTTTTAAAAGATAAGTTAGAATGAGCATGCGTTGAGAGCTGGGGGCGAGCGGCAGAGGGGGAGAATCACAGACTCCCCGCTGAGCATGGAGCCCCACAGGGGGCTCACTCTCACGACCCTGAGATTAGGAACTGAGCCACCCAGGTGCCCCAGTATAATTATACTTTTTGAATATAATTGTGTAGCTCAGGAACTTGAAGAGATTTTTGAGAACTGTCCAAGATCATAAAATAATTATTCAAATTCATAAAGAGACCTTTTTTCTACCACATACTTCAACGATCTTTACTGCTCTCATCTTACCTTCCTGAAGTCTAGTATTTGCAATTTGAAATAAATACAATCTTGGTCAATGTTAATTACCCCTGGCTGGCAATTCTTGATGGCATTAACTTGGTATGTTTACATGAGTTACAGCTAATACTAGTTACGAACACGGAGTTAGGGATCTAGTATGGAGGTTAGGGACACAGACCCTGGAGCCGGACTGCCTGGGTTCAAGCCTTGTTCTGCCACTTGTGTGTGTGACCTTAGGTGCTTGTGTAATTCCCCTGTGGCACACTCTCTCCTTTGTGAAACAGGGATAATAGGATTGTCGGGGGGGGGGGGAGCAACATGAGTTCATACATGTAAAACACAACAGGGCTGACACACAGTACACCCTGTATGTGAGAGAGAATGAAAATGTTTTCCAAAGGGAAGGCACAGTCATACACAAAACAGCCGACTGGCTTTTCTAGGGTGTTACCTTTGTATACTCTTTTAACGAACAGGGGCCCATCTCCAGCCATAGAGGATTTTCCTCCATCCAGACTCAAGCCCAGCCCAGCAGAGGTCTTCAGCACTTCGACACACAGCGCATCATGTGAAGGTACGCTTCTCCCTGCAGCAACGACATTCGTAAGGATGGAAATGACACTCATCACCACCTCTCCAGTCCCCCAAATGTATTACCCCAGCGCCCCCTGAGTCCCGTCTCCCTTTGAAACCAGCGTTAGGATTGGTCTCCCAAATTTGGAGCTGACCTCGTGGCTATGTTCCTGCTGTACATGCACCATTTGCTCTTCAAAGCATTTTTTTTTTTTTTTAAAGATTTATGTATTTAAGAGAGGGAGCACATGCACGTGAGCAGGGGGGAGGGCCAGAGGGAGAGGGAGAAGCAGACTCCCTGCTGAGCGCAGAGCCTGATGCGGGGCTCCATTCCAGGAACCTGGGATCATGACCCGAGCTGAAATCGGGAGCCAGACACTCAACTGACTGAGCCACACAGGCGCCCCTGAGCACTTTCTGTAAGCATGGAGGCAGCTTTGGGGCCCAAGCAGAAACCCTCAGAGGCCAGACTGCTCTTGGCAAGCCCGTACACTGTGGTCGTGTGTCTCCGTGAAGTCACGCTTGGGGAATCCGATTCAATGTCCTGCCGACCTTGAGTGCCGACGGCAGCGGAGGGTCACAGTCTGGCACTGATAACCTGCAACACCCCAGTGCCAGGCCTCACGTGAGACTGTGATCGTGGGTCCCGGAGCTCCGCGCCTTCCCCCTTCTGCTGCGCGTGCTCCTGCCCTTGCTGCCGTCTCTCTCCACGGGGGGGGGTGTCGGGGGCCACGTTTCCCTGGCAATGGGTCCCCCACTGCAACAAACGCGTGCAAACTGCCCACTTGGGCTTGAGGCTAAGGTAGCTAGCATCCCTGCCTTTGAACAGAAAGGTCCATTAGTGTGGTTTGAAGAAGGTCACTCTACGTCCACGGGGTCTGAAGGCAATGTGCCACAGGAATTTCAATAGGTGATTTGACTTGCTGTTAAACAGGAGAACAGGCCCATTACAGCAGCTCTCAGCTCTGGGCCAGATTCTACTGAAATCACCTAGGAACCTTAGAAAGCTAGTGACTCAGGGCCCTGATTTAATTGAGCTGGTGAATTTGCTGGGCAGTAGGATTTTTAAAAGCTTCCTAGGTGCCTCTGTTGTGCAGCGCACCGTGTCTGTCCTCAAGTGGGATGCTGTCGGGGCACGTGAAGGGATAATTCCGTGGGTTCAGGTGGAGCCCTGGGCAGGGGAATTTTAAGGAATAGGACTATGAAAAAATTTAAGCCCTGAAAGTGCTTATAATTTAGTGACTCTATAGAATCTGGTTCAAGGCCAGATGTTCTGAAGGTGTCCCAGGAATACTTAATGATTGATTATAAATGACAATAGCCTTCCATATCCCAAGTTCATGAGGCTTAAAAACTCTGGAAGCTGCCAGGAGTTTCCTGTGATGTTAAGTTTCTTGGATCCATTGAAAATAGACCAAGCAATTGAGACAGTGCTGGGGCAAAGGTGAGCATGACAAGGTCTGAGGACTTAAGGTGTTTCCCAGTATTGAGACGGGCTTCAGTTTTCTAGGCGCGCAAAAGCAAGACAACAGAGGAGAAGGGTGAGAGTACTTCTGGCCTGTGGAGGCATCTGGACAGGAAGAGTTTCCCATCTGTTCAGTGGAAATGAGTGCTGTTTTCAGCAAAGAAATCACGGATAGCCCAGGCCACCACGAAGCCAAGTTGAACAGAGGAATTCAACTGCCCTTGACTTTACTAGGGAGAGATGTTGAGAAGAAACCAAAGACCTCTCCAGAAGGCAGTGCCCTGACCTGAGCTTCCAGAGGCTCTCCGTGCTCTCAGGACTAAAGACATTGCTCCTGAACTCCAAGGGAGAGGACACCACGGAGGTCTGAAGTAGTTCTCTGAAGGCCGCCCTCAGCCTTGTGCTTCAGAAATAGAAGCAGTACTTAGTCCCGAGTAAATACCTCGTATGCCTTCCCAGTGAGCCTTGGGATGACAGTATGGAGGGCGCTTAGGAAATCCACTTCTCAACCTCTTTTTATAAGCTCTTGGTTGATTAAGGCTACAGTCTCTGTTTTTAAACATTTGTGCCCCCTCATTTCCTTATGTTCTTCTAAAACAGGAAAGAATACAAACCCTGGTGTTTCCAAGGACAAATGGCAGTTTGGAATTTCTGCATTCTCTCCATGATTCCCCTTATCACAAGAGTTTGGTGTTTTACCTAAGTCCTAAGAAGATATAAATGTGAAAGGACTTCTTTCTTCATACATGTAGAGAAGCTGTCAAGCAGTCGTTCAAAGTCTTTGACAGTATGGCTTTAATGACGGGGGGGGGGGCAGTGGTTTCTAACTTACTAGGAACACTGCTTTTTCAAGAAGTATCCACAAACATTAGACGTCACTACATTTGATTTCTTTTCTTTTTTTTTTTTTAGAGGGAGAGAGATGGTGTGGGGCTAGGGGGTGGGAGGGGCAGGACAGAACAGAGAATCCTAAGCAGGCTCCAAGCCCAGTGTGGAGCCTGATGGGGGCTCGATCTCACGACCCTGAGATCATGACCTGAGTTGAAATCAAGAGCTGGACGCTTAACCGATGGAGCCACCATGCGCCCCTCTATTTGATTTCTCTGACCCTCATGAGAGTAGTTAGGTTCCTTTTTGTTCAGCTAGAACCTGCCCTGCCGGTTGCTCACACCCGGCCGGTTGCTGGGCTGGTGTCTTACCTACACTGGGCTCCAGCGGGCTGGCCTTCCTGGAGAGCGCGCCCTTCCCACTGGCTTCCTGCCCACTGGAGGCTCTGGGCCGATCGTTCCCTTTCCTGATGACCACGAGCACATCTCTGTGCAGCTGTGCCTGGTGCAGAATCTTGAGGACATCCCCATGGACTAAGCCAGCCAGCGAGGCGCCATTGACGGACAGAAGGACATCCCCTCGGTTCACAGTCCCTTCCTGAGAAGCAGCCCCCTGAGAACACACCCTGTGCACCTGGGGCAAGGAGAAGACAAAAGCTTTGGAAACTTCAGTCAAAGCAAAAGGGCAGATGCAAGTCTGTAGTAGAGGAACTTTCTAATGGCAAGTTTGCAAAATCCTATGAATGCGGTTCATTGAAAGCCTGTGTGGTGTGAGGGAGGGAATTACAAAGGTCGGTGCCGGCATCTGAATACATTTTTTCCTCAACTTCTCTCGAGCGTCTGATCTGTGCCTGGCGCTCCACCGGGCAGTAAGGTCACAAAAACGAACAGGACCTGGTCTGGCCTCATGGGGGCGGCCTGCCTCGTGATCTCAGAGGCCTCTGAGTGATCTAAAATTGGAGGTGGTTCTTGAGAAGGAAGTAATTTCAGAAGCACATGCAGATTGGGTCAGTTGATTCTCGTGTTTTTCTAGTGCTTAAGTATTTAGGTGAACATGAGGAAACTCCAGAAAACCGTGCTTACACGTACTGGCATCGAATAGGGCACTCGGTCTGCACATCGGTCGGCTCTGTGGTAAAAATGTGTATCTTTGCCAATGGCTAGATTATGTCCTACTCCCCCCACTTTGCCACTTTTGCTTTGTTAGGAGGAGACAAACAGCAGCGTGCTGTGAGCTCACGGGTGGGAATTTTGTCCTGAGCACCTCTGAGACTGTGTCAGAAGTGACTTCCCGGGGAGCACCTTGACGTGGTCACTTACCACAACTGGTTTCGGCTCCACGTCTGTCCCTCCTGCCACAGTGAATCCCAGACCTGAGCCTTCTTTTTTATTCAAGACGATGAAGCAAACATCTTCTTTATTCTAGTAAAAAGAAACAGAAAAAAGTCCAGTTGACCTTTGAATAACCCAGGGGGTGGCTCACCGACCTCCGCACGGTCAAATCTGCACAGAACGTCATCCCTAAAACTTAACCACTAAGAGCCTGCTGTTGACTGGAAGCCTTACTTAGAAACAGTTGGTTAATTTTCTATGTTGTATTATAGACCCTGTTCTTAAAGCTAGGGCAAAAGAATGTGATTAAGAAAAGCATAAGGAAGTGATGCCCGGGTGGCTCAGTCAGTTAAGCGTCTGCCTTCGGCTCAGGTCATGGTTCCAGGGTCCTGGGATCGAGCCCCGCTTCGGGCTCCCTGCTCAGCGGGAAGCCTGCTTCTCCCTCTGCTGCTCCCCTGCTTGTGCTCGATCTCTCCTCTCTCGCTCTGATGAATAAATATAATCTTAAAAAAATCATAAGAGGGGTGCCTGGGTGGCTCAGTCGTTAAGCGTCTGCCTTCGGCTCGGGTCAAGATCTCAGGGTCCTGGGATCGAGCCCCACATCGGGCTCCGTGCTCAGCAGGAGGCCTGCTTCTCCCTCTCCCACTCCCCCTGCTTGTGTTCCCTCTCTGTGTCTCTCTCTCTTAAATAAATAAATCTTAAAAAAAAAAAAATCATAAGAGAATGCATTTACAGTACTGGAAAAATCTCGTGCAAAAGTGGACTTGGGTTGTTCAAGAGGCAACTAACTGTATATTCCTGGTGCCAAGAGTCCTCCTGCAGAGCTGCTCAGCACGAACCCCGGTGGTTATTCGGGAGCTTTCACAAAGTATTGGAATCGGAGGAGCTTCATCTCAAGCATCCTGCACCCCTCCTGGGTGGAGCTGACACGATGGTGTTTTGAGGGTCCATCCTGTAGCTATAGACCCATGTTTAGGGTGGACATGAGCCAGGATGGGGCAGGGACAGGGGACAATTTAGGAGCTATTCCAGGCACCAGATTATGTCTTCCCAAATCTGATCATAGCACATCATTTGATCTTGAAGGGGGATTCTTTATTGTACAACTGTTTGTCTACAGTTTAGCCAAGCCAGTGTCAACAAGATCAGAGAGAAGTAATGCCAAGAGGCAGGATGAGAGGAACTGAGGCCACCAGTTTTTATGTCCCCTGAGGCCCCGTCCCGCCATGTTCAGTTCATTGGATTTCAGGTGCAGTTGAACTGTCATAAAATACAAAGTATGTTAAAAAATAAAGTACTTTGTCAACTCGAATCGAGATAGAATATTCCTAGTAGTGTCCTAGGGTTAAGTAACAAAAGGATGTCCTATGTTTCAAGCATCAAACAAAAGATATTTTGAAATAAAACATTTTAGCTAATTCTGAATTTTTACTTCTTTTGCTCACACACTATGTATGATGAGCAACATTTTAAAGATCTGCATTGCGAGGTTCCCCATGAAGTGATATATAATCTGTCAGTTCAGGGTGTTTTCAGCTCAGCAACAGAAAAAGAATCTACCTCCTTCAGGGTTGCTTTGATGAGAGAAAGTGAGAACACTGAAGAGAGAGACCCAGCTCTGTAGTGTGCTGGGGAAGGAACCCAATATTTAAAAGAAGGAGTTTAGTTCCATTAGTGTGTCCTAAAGAGTAACCCCAAACATTTTACACCTCCCTAAAGAAGTTCATTCAACCCAAATCCCCGTATGTCAACACTAGAATATCGGGCAGACTTACTGCTCAGGCCAACTGTTTACACGCTCAGACACTGTTCAGTGGAGAGAATGAGGACTAGGCTTTCTCAGTGAAAATGGGAGCATGTGGTCTGGTAAATGACCTTTGTGTAGCTTCTGGGAGGTAATGCAGTACTTCTCAGAGACTTAAGTGCCTTTATGGGAGCAAAGACAATATTTGAAAATGGGATTCTCCTGCATTCCAGGACGTAACACCAAAATTTTAATTTACTCCAATTTTCTAGTTGTGTTTGAGGATACAGGTGTGCTAGAAGCTGTCAGGCCAAATCTCGCCTCTAAGTAGCTTAGCACAGCATCAGGGAAGCTCCATGCAGCCCCGAGAGCTCGCCAAGGTTTGGGTGTGTTGAGGTCAGAGGGGCAGGGCTTGTTTTCCGCCTCTGATCTCTCACAGCGCCCCCATCAGGAAGCCACGGGAATCGTGTGCAGTTCCATTTTCAGCACCCACAAACCACACTCAAAAAGCAAGTAGGAAACTTCTGAAGATGGTAGAGCGGGGACATCTCCGCTCATGCTGCTCCGTGAAAGCAACTGAAGCCTGCAGGATTATAAGGGGAAGAGCCGGATTGTGATCCAAGTAGGAAAGCGCTTCCACACCAGACCACAGGGTTGTCTGGTGGTGAGTGTACAACCAGAGCGAGGGCGGGGGAGGCCCCAGAGGATGCCCCCCCCCCCGGTGGCGCTTGGCATCCTGTCCACACAAAAAAGTCTCCCCTTCTGTTTGTGGTCCCTGAAAATGCACATCCCGTTTGTGAGTTGGTTGAGACTTTTTGATTTTCTCCTTCTCCGTTTTCTCTAACACTGAAATGTCTGGAGGAAAAGGGACCCGGCAAAGTGTGATACCACCGTGGCACCTTGACTGGAAGTGCCAGAAGAAGACTTGCATGCAGGAGATGCTTACTTATTGTCACAAGTTGAAGGAAGAAGGGAGATGACAGACTAGTCCCTTTTACTGAGAGTGAAAAATGCTGGACGTCTCAAGGTTCACTGCACAGACCGAAACCAGTGGGCTGCGGACCAGAGGGAGTGTAAGCCAAGGGCAACTGGCCGCCTCTCCATCCTGGTTCACTCCTCAGTAGATGCCAACATCACAGCCCTTCTGGGTAATATTAGAATTTCTGGAACAGTGTTCTCGGATCCATCAGTGACCCAGGTATATTACCAGTTGAGAAACTGTTCATGTTTGCTTTTTTTCCTCTAAACAGAAATAGTCATTTATTAGGGTTCGAATCTCTATGGGTAGTCCTGAGAAATTAATGTTGTTCTTCAGAGACATATTCTAGATATGAACCATGGCTTCTTTTGTTGTTTACTGTCACCTCCGATTTATGGAAGGACTTCATTTGTAAGGACCCATTAGCCACACTGTCTTGAGCCCCAGGCTTCAGAAGCCCCGAGGCTGGGGGCCCGGGCAGGGCTACACAGACGCGCTAACCCATTTCCCCAGCAGGTGGCTCCCTTGACAAGTCGTTAATGTCCTCCTAGCGGCTGGGCTGTGCTTGTGGTCATTCCCTCCCATCTCCAAGACCCCCAGTTCCGTTCTCAGGACCCTCTGTAGACAAACTCCCGATGTGGGGGGTGAGGAGGAGGGCAGCTAGTCACCACTGGGGAATTAAAACAGCAGCTGCACCTGGAATTCAAGACAAGGCCTAGCTTGAGGAGCAAGCTGCAAAGTGAGAGAGAAGTCAGACGCAGCTGAAGAACGCCCTGCACGGACCCGGGGTGGGGCTCTCCGGGGCTCTGGGGGGCCTCTCCGGGCTGGGGGCCCACACCTGGGCACACACGCGGCCGCCGCTCCTTCTCCCCGGCCTGTCCGGTTTCACTCACCTCTGATTGTGCTTTCGCTTCCTGAATGAGAGTTAGGACGGTCGATTTGGACCCCACTGATGATAAAACAGACTGCAGTCTTCGCTGGTCCCCTGCTGAGATGAGAAGCTGATCCAAGCTAAAGAATATAAATATATTTGAACAACATTAAAGAAAAAGGCGATTTTTCCATTTCATAAGGATGTATTTAAAATGATCTCCTTTCTACCAAATTGCAGGCATTTTCTGAGTGTCATGCCCTCTTTTGGTCATGGTAACTCTCCATTCAAACGACGGAGAATCCTGTGAGCTCTAACAGGAATTTCACTGGCTGCCAACAGCGCTGGGAAGGACTGTGGCTTCTGGGATCCCTCCCGGATGTCAGGGAACCAGTCCTGGAGCTTAAAAGAAAATTTCTGACATCTAAAAAAAAAATGTTAGAAATTTTCTGCTAAACTCTGGTCACCTTCAAAGGCCCAGGTTCTCCCCCGAGGTGCAGCCTGCCCTGTCCTCTCTCATCTCTCTGGCGGTGGGTGCTCGTGCTTAAGTGCCAGGTCCCTTAAGGCTTCTCTCCTGAGCAACATTCTGGCAAACACCTTCTCTGCAGGCACTGTGGGTTTCTAGCAATGATATTAAAAGCAAAGGGGGCTAAATGTAATGTGGTTATCCTGGAAGAGAAAAGGGATGTTAGTGAAATTTGTTCCGTGAAATCTGAGTGAAGTCTGTAGTTTAGTTCATTGTGTTCTTCCAGTGTTAATTTCTTTTGCCAACTCGGGAAGGGCTGGGTGAGGGGTTCTTCACGGGAGCGCTCTGCATTATCTCTGCAACTTTTCTATAAATCTAAAGCTAGCTCATAATTAAAAAAAAGTTTATTTGAATAAAAGGGGAGAGGAAGATACTTACTTAACCGACCAGCCTTTTCCAGAAGGCAGATCCTGGGGGGTTTCACCCACATGATGGGCTGAACTGGGTGCCCCAGGCTCACTGGCTTTAGGGCTGCTTCCTCCTGGACAGGCCCAGTCCCCTCGCTTCATGGGGCATGAAAGGGCAGTGGACCCACTGAGGCCTGCAGCAGGAGAGCCAAGCGACCTCCTGGGGACGATTTCCAGCTCCGTTTTGAAGAGCACGGCGGCAGGCCCTGCTGCGAAATCCTCACTGCAGAGCTTGTCAAGGTCGGGCATGCTCAAGGCTCGCAGCTCCTGGAGCTTGGAGCGGGGTAAGGGCGAGGGCTGGCTGTGGCGCACCGAGGACTTGTTCCTCTTGCTGGGAGAGGTTGCAGCCGCAGCTGGGGTGGGACTTCCAGAAGGACCAAGTGGTTTCTTTGGGGCTGAGTCAGGGCCCTTGCTACTGGCTCCCGCCGGGTTCTGCCGGGAGACCGTCAGCGTCGTGCTGGACGGGGACTTGGTCATTTGGGGGGGGAGCGTGCTGGCTTCACTTTGGCTTTCGCTGCAGGAGCTCAGGCTGCGTCTCAGTGACCTCGCTGTGGGGTCAGCAGGGTGGCTGAGGCTCCCGGAGACAATGCTGCCAGACGACCGTCTCCCAATGGGAGGCTTGGAGCTTACTGACAAAAAGGGGGACGCCCCAGACTTGGCCACCAGCCGGTCAGAATTGGCCAGGTTCTCGAAAGACTTGATCCTCTGCTTCACAGAGAAAAATGAGGTAGATTCATAGTTCTGCTCAGGGTAGTAATGTCTTCTGGTGACTTTGATTTTGTCTGTGACTAGGCAGCTCCTTTCTTGCACCAAAAGGACATCCCCTTCGTCTGTGGTCGGAAGGTTCCTCGATGTCTCCAGAAGGGGCTTTACGCTATACACACCCTGTCCGTTAGCCAGGCCAAGGACACTGCCTCTGGAGGCCTTGGCCTCAAGGAGGCCCCCACTCGTTGCAGGGATCTGGCTGTCCCGATGAGAGCGACCTGGGCTGTGCAGGGCATGGCCCTCCCGGCCAAAGTGGCTTGAAAACTGGGCGGGCATGGAGTAGGTCCTGGTGGCTGGCCTTGGCGTGAAGTACAGATGGTCATCTAGCGCTGGGTCCCCTGCTGTGCCATTCCTGGGCATCCCTAGGGAGCCTGACGCCTGGCTCGCCTTCCCCTGGGAGGAATCTGCCTTTTTAGCAGGCAGTTGTGGGGAGGAGGAGGAAGAGGCCAGTTTTGCCATCCTGGAAGATCGCTGGGTTTCCTGCCCCACCTGGGAGGCACGAGATGGGAGCAACGACGGAGGATTTGGGGACGGCTCCAGTGACTGGTGACAGGGTCTGATTTCAGTCTTCTCCTGACAGTTGCTCTGGACCCAGAACCCTCCTAGTCTGCCACTCTCGGCCGGCTTGTCACCGCAGGCATCCTTTGGCATTCTTTCACAAGAAATTTCAATTATTTTCAGCTGGTTGGTTCTTTCTAGGGGATCGCCAGCAATTACTTCGCTTCCTTTGTCACCAGTCACCCCTGGTTGGGTGGCCTCTGGCGCTGGATCCGGCTGGCTGGACCCGGGAGGGGGCACCTCCTGCCCGTTTGTGGCCCTGGACGCGCTGCCCCCCGAGGCCGCAGGGGGCGCCCTGCTCTCTGGTCCACCGCGGGGAGAGGCGGCGGCGGCCGCGCGGGCTCTGTCGGGCTCTGCGTGGAAAGCCGCCTGGGATCGATGGCCCGCACCTTGCTCCGGAAGAGTCTTGGGGGAGGCGTGGGGTGAAACGAAGGCTGTGATGCTCGCCTCGGACGTGGGGGGCTTTGGCGGCCGGCTCTCCAGCACGCACTGGGGGGGCATGGGGGGGGCTGGGGCGTTCTTGTCCGGCTCCTCGTGCTCGGCTGTGTGGAACCGGGGGGCCGCGCCCTTAGGAAGCATTCTGTGGGAGGTCTGGGGTGAAATGAGGGGTTTCCTGGGGTCCATCCCACCAGCCTTGGCCATAGGAGCAGCAGGGGCCTCCGAAGTGACTTTGCTTTTGCTTTTGATGCTCAGTCTCTTCAGCTTAGGACCGGATTTGGGTTTCTGACAGTTATTTAAAAGTGTTTCCACTGAACCTTTTTTAGGTGGGTCTTTATTTTCCAGACTCACTTTTGGCTGAGGGGGGCTCTGAAGCCCAGCAACCCCCTTTTTGTGGCTGGAACTTAACCCCTGACTTTTGGAGTCAGGGCTTCTGGCGGGCACCACGGGCTGCTCCCTTTCAGTTTTGCCCTGTGCATGCATACCATGGTTATTTTTATTTATTTCTTTAAACCAGGCCATGATGGGCCTCCTGGAGATCATTTTTGGTTTCTGGAGCACGTCATCCATGTCTTGACTTTTGGAGATGTGCAGATTCGTCAAAACGGATTCTCCATTCTTAGGGACATTCACACTGAAGGCGGACCGGTTTTCAGCTTCATTGACATTTGTCTCTTGTTTTTTATTTGGGGTTTTGTCACCCAGCAGGTCATGTTCTAAACCATTTACCATGTTCAGATTGCTGAGAGTGACCGGGAGGTTGTGAAAATGCCTGGCGCCTTTAGGAGGCTGGCCGTTCTCCACGGCTGAGCTGGTGCTGGCGGCTTCCATGGTTTCTTCTACACAGGGGGGCCTGGGGTTCTGTAATATCCTTCTGTCTGCATCAAGTTCATGCTCCCGAGAGCTTATATCCGGGAGAGAAAATGGCTGGGAAGAGTTTGGAATTGAAGGGCATGAGGTGCTTGGCACAAAGGACGCTCTCTCACATGGATTTCCCACCACTTGACTCAGAGCACTGTGCTTTAATGGCAGAACTTTGGCCAACACAGGGCAGGTTGCAGCCTGGACAGGTGCCTGAGCAGTGGTTGAGGGGGGGTTGGGGGAGCCATCTGTAGAACAAATCTCGATTTGCTCCTCCTCAGACTCCGTAGTGTCTTCCTTGTGAGAAGACCCCTGAGAACAAGGAGGTGACCAGTTGTCCCCAGTGGAAGCTCGTGGGGCTTCGGTGAGTGATTCAGGGTCAGAAGACGAGTCCTCCGCATCACCATACATGGATGAGAGAGATGGCTCTGTGCTGTCACCTAGGCCCGACAGGGACATGCTGTCTTCGTGAAAATTGCTGAAATTTCTAGAGTAGTTGCTCAAAAAGTTTTTGTTCACAGTAAAATGTTTGTCAGGATTAATGGAATCCAAAACCGAAGGCTGGGAGGCCCACTGTGGGTGAGGGGGCTGGCCAGCAGCTGCCCAGGCCCTCCTCGGGGTGGGGGTCTGGTTCCCCATGACTGGCTCAGCAGCGTGGGAACTTCCGCTTCCAGTTCCTGCTGGAGGCTGGCCCTGAGAATGTCCCTCTTGACTCAGCCGGTCCCCTTTCTGAGGAGACTGAAGTCCTGGTTCTGAAGCATCCAGCTCCTTGATGAGTCTGTCGATGTCAGTTACGGGACTGCCCCCACTTTCTCTGGGGCAGCAGTGGCCCGAGACACTGCCGCACACCCCGTCAGCCTTGTCAGCAGGGGACGGCAGGGTAGGGCTGGCCTGCGGGGCCCTCTCAGACCCAGAGTCTGTTGCCTTGAGCAGAGCAGAGCCCTGGGAGTTTTCAGGAACGAGGACTCCCGTTTGCAGAGTCTTGCTGTGGTTACCGGGAACTCTCGGTCTCTCCTCCTGGGACGTGAGGTCTCGGGACAGGACGGTACTAGCTGGAGACGCTCCGTCTGCCTCAGGTCCTCCCCTGTGGGGCGCTGCCTTCCTGGGCGAGTTGGCTTCTGGGGCTGCTGGAGTGTTGCCGAAGTCATGCCGAGCCGCTGTCATCTTCCCGGGGGGTGAGCTGTGCTCTGGGGCGAGTCTGACTTGACATCTGTCCTCAGACTCCGGAACCCTAGGTGACACTGGCTCTCCGGGGTCCTCAGGCCGCCTGGCTTGCTGTGTGTCCACTGATGTCTCGCTGGGGTCAGGGTGAGCTGCCCCCTTCTGCCCTGGAGTAGGGACGAGGTCTGGGGGGCCATCCAGTCCTGGGTTGAGAATATAAATGAAAGGTGGGATGATAGGGGAGAGAGAGGGGAAAATGAGAAAATAGAAAAACCCTTAATTAAAAAAAAAAAGGAAAACTTAATCTCAATTTTTTTTTTCCAGAAGGACCTGCCACAACCTAAATGTAGCCTTCTTGTCGTTCTCTCTTTGCCTCTGAAATTACAGAGCACTCACATCTAACAAACACCACCCTGCTCTAGATGCTCTGAAATAACTCAGACTGGCTGGAAGGATAGACCTTTGTTTCTGCCCTTTTCTCTCTCGGTTATTTTTAAGGGTGGGGACACCAGAGATCCTTCACCCGAGTCTCTCTACACCGTCCGCTCTGAGGGCTTCAGAAGCTACAGGAGCCAGGCTGCGGTTCTGTTCCATCCCTTAGCCTTGCGCTCATTCTGCGGAGGTCTCGGGCCTCCAGTTTAGCTCTCATGCTGGGTTTGGCCTCACGGGGTGGGACTGTGAGCTGTGCGGTAAAGTATAAAACAGGTGCTGACCTTTGGGGACTTATTGCTCATGCAGGAGAGGAGAGAGGAGGCTAATTTGGGAAGACACACAGGAGCTGCAGAAGGGTGCAGGCTTGCACCGCGTCTGAGCTGTGTCTTGAGCGTGTTCAGAGGACTGGGAGAACTGGAGGGCCACATGACCCGGGAAGTGTGGACAGAAGGGGTGGGGACCTGACGGGGGTCCTGGGGGGAGAGTTGACCACACAGTGATGAGGAGGAAGGTGAAAAAAGAAAATGGAATGAAAGCAGGGAAGAAAGAGCATGTGATCGGAGGGGTGCAGGGAAAGGTGTTGATGCCAAGGACAGCAGGAAACAGTCATTCCACGAGGTGGGTCCGGAGAGCCACTGTCCTGGAGGTGCCTCCCTATAAGGCCCTGCACATTCTTGGGCTAATCTGTCTGCCCCTGGCACATGGCATCTGATAATCAGGGGAAACTGGTATAAAAGAGAACATTAGATTTGCTGTTTTCTTAGGAACCAGGGGTTACGGTGAAACAGTCACAATGAAAGCCCCTGCTTTGAGAAGACTGTCTCCCCAAATGCTACACTCCTTCCACATCTCCCACGCAAACCATCTTAACTGCATATGCCTTTCCCCTCCTGAAGTTCCTATGTCAACAATTAAGGACTAATTATCAGGACTTAGCACTGTGCTAAGAGTTTTGCATGCGCTTAATTTTCCTCCCAACACCGTGAGGTAGGTCCTGTCACCATCTGCTTTGGAACAGTAGGGAACTGAGGCACAGCGTGGCTTAGCAATGGATCCAGGGTCACAGAGTGTATAGCCAGAGGTCACCTGGGAAGTCGGCCCCGCAGCCCACCCCATTCTCTAAACCCTGACTGCATGACCTCTGTGTAGAGAGCACCTGGCCACATCCAGACCCCTGTGGAGACTGTGCGTAACTTCCCCGGGCCCCCGTGGAAGGCGGGGGACCTGCCAAGATTTGAATCTGTGGGCTCCTGTCCTTCTCTGCTCAACCTTTTGAATTCCCTTCTGCTTCTGCTGGTACCAACTATGGGGAAAAGTCATGACGACACAAAAGGAGGGGATTTGAAGGTTATTCTTTAGCTTCGGATTCACTTGCTGAACAAACCCTAAATTTTTGTTAGCAATTTGACTTTATTGCAAAGTGTGTAACTGAAAGCGTTTTTGAGGGAGATTAAATGACATAGAGGCAGTCCTTGATGTCACCTTTCAAAATGATCCTTCCCTTGTACCCCTCCCCCCCAAACACACACAAATGTCCCATAATGGGAAGGATGTTGACTCAATTATGGCACATGATGGGGAGGAGGGCCCAGCAGCCTTTGCAGACGATGTTGCAGGTGCAGAAGGACATGGAAGACACGGGTGCAGTTTCCTAGCTAGAGTGGGGCACAGAGGGGCTGAGACGGACACGTCAGTGCTTAGGAGGGCCTGCCAGGGGCCAGCACCAGTCATGCAGGCCAAGAGCATCTTGTTGACCTCAGCAGGCTGCGCAAACATTATCTTCTGCGGATGCGGGAGGTACAAAATGTTTCTCAGTGCATTTGATTTCACGAGAGCCGAGTGTTGAAATTCTGAAGGGCAGGAACTTCTCTGTGTCATCTCATGTCTCATTCATTAAGGTACCCGTCACAAAATAGGTAGAGTGTCAAGCGGCTGAAAATGGACATACTCTGATGTGGAAATAAAGCTATGAGTTTAGGCACAACGATCTAGTGAAGTTGTTAAATGCAGGCAGCTTGTAAATATCATTAATCTGTGTCAGAGGTGTTTTTCCCCACAAAGTTCTCCACATGTAGCATTTTTATTAGGGTAACTTCTGCCCTCCCATCTTAAAGCTTAACAAGCAATGAAATAATCTTACCTGTCCCGGGTTGTTGCCCCTGCTCTGGTGCAGCTTCGAGCAGGTTCTCAGTGCCGCGGCCAGCATCTGGGTGGGGCGGGGCACCGGCAGGCCCCCAGTTGGCAGGGACACGCCCATCACTGATGGTCTGCTTCCCCAGAGGTTCCTAGCCCAATGACAACCACAAGTCACTGTGACAGCTTTCAGGTTTTCTGCACCCTAAGACATCACACACGGAAAAGCGCTGCTTTGGGAAATTTCAGAGAGCCCTCGACTAGGAGCCCCAAGATCCAGATTCAGGGTGTAAGGCCTGCTAGAAATTGCATGGTCTTGTTACTCTTCCTAAGCCTCGGTTTTCTCAACTTTGAAATGAGGGTGATCAGGGAAATGCAAATCAGAATCACGCAGAGATGTCACGTCACACCTGCAAGGGTGGCTATGATCCAAAACAGAAATAACGGGTGTTGGTGAGGATATAGAGAAATTGGAACCGTGTGCATTGCTGGCGGAAATGGGAAATGGTGCAGCCACTATGGAAAACGGTATGGAGTTGCCTCAAAAAAATAAAAACGGAAATACCATACGATCCAGATTTCACACTTCTGGATATATCCCAGAAGAATTAAAGCAGGTTCTCTAAGAGATATGTGTACTCCCATGTGGGTAGCAGCGCTGTTCGCAATAGCTAAGATGTGGAAGCAGTTCAAGTGTCCATTGACAGAAGAATGGATAAGCAAAATGTGGGATTGACGTACAATGGAATATTACTCAGCCTTAAAAAGGAAGGAAATACTGACACGTGCTACAACAGGGCATTATGGACAGTGACATTATGGGCAGTGAAATAAGCCAGTCACAGAAAGACAAAAACCGTCTGATTCCATTTAGATGAGGTACTGAGAGTCGCCAACATCAAAGAGACAGAAAAGAGACTGGCAGTTTCTGGGGGCTGGTGGGAGGGGGAATGGAGAGTTATTGTATAATGATACAGAGTTTTCTGGAGACAGCCGTGATGGTTGCACATTATGAACATACACCACTGAACTGTACACTTTTGTTAAGTGTATTTTACCACAGTAGAAAAACTGGGAACAAAATGGGGATAAGATTTGCCCTAACTCACAGAGTTTAATTTTTTTAACTTTTCTTTTTTTGAGCGAGCGAGCGAGAATCCTAAGCAAGTGCCACGCTCAGCATGGAGCCTGACACGGGGTTTGATCCCATGACCCTGAGATCATGACCCAAGCCGAAATCAAGAGGTGGACACTTAACCCTCTGATCCACCCAGGCACCCCTCATAGAGTTTTAAATAAAAGATGATTACATGAGCCATTATAAAAATCACATGCAGCCCACAAAAGGCTATATCGACGGAAGGTGTTATTGTCTTTATACTGCATAGTGATACCCAAGACTGGAAGATCAGCCCTCAGCTTGGTACTTAGGGCTAGGACTTATCTGGATAAATGAAATTGACATTTAATACTCCAAAATTTCACTTTAGCCAAGTGTCAATTACTTTATCTTCCTTTCTTCTATCTAAAACCTACTGTAAAAAAAGAAACTTGCTAGGAAGTTAAATCAGATTTATTTGAAATTCACTCTCTGAGTTAAGGAGTCATAAAGTGGCCCAAAGGTGGCAGCAGAGGAGAGAGCTGAACTGTATTTTAAAATGTTTAATTTTATGTTATGTGATGTTCATCTCAATTTAAAAAGTATTAAATAAAAACAGTAGAAGACAACCCACTTACCAAAGGTTTTTTCTTTTTAAGATTCCAATATTTGAGCGTAAATACTTAACGGCAATGCATTTTATTTTCTTTCTCATATATAAATGAAATGGTTATTTTTGAACTAAATTTTTTATGAGAAGAGTTAAACTTTTGTGCAAAACTTTTAAATGCTTCTCAAAATTCTTACTGGGAATACTCATTTACAATAACAAAAGCTCTATATAGATATGAATATATTATTATGAATAACACCGCTGGTTTATATAGTTATCCAGCACTGGCTGAGGATACTTTTTGAAAGAAGGGGTTAACCTATTAGCTGAACATTGCATGTTAAAACACATATGCTAGGGGGCCCTGGGTAGCTCAGTTGGTTAACCTCTGCCTTTAGCTCAGGTCATGGTCCCAGGGTCCTGGGATTGAGCCCCTGTGCTGGGCTCCCTGCTCAGTAGGGAGTCTGCTTCTGCCTCTGCCCCCCTGCCCCTACTTGTGCTCTCCCTCCCTCTCTCTCTCTCTCAAATAAAAAAACAAAAATCTTAAAAAAAAAACCCACATATGCTAGTTGGAAGTAATAACATTTTTTAGGAGAATGAAAAAGATGCATGTATCTTTTTCTATACAGTTAACAAAAATCCCTTCTGCCTAATATAGTTTTTATGACTTCATGTTTTCTGGGTCTGTTTACACGTATGTGTGTATAAACTACTTGAACATGCATCTTTATAAATATGGCCTTAAAATCACCTCAGAGAGAAACTAGTTATGTTGAGATCGTAAACAACATTAGTTTCTCGTACTCTCTCCTTGCTTAAGTGGGGGTATACTGATTCAAAATGAGCAATTTGACAATTCTGGGTCATTCTAGTGTATGTGTAACCAAGTTATAACATAAATAATATTGACTTGCATCTAAAGTGGTGTGTTATAAAATTTTTTTTTTCCTTTAAGATTTTATTTTTAAGGGGCGCCTGGGTGGCTCAGTCGTTAAGCGTCTGCCTTCGGCTCAGGTCATGATCCCAGGGTCCTGGGATCGAGTCCCGCATCGGGCTCCCTGCTCCGCGGGAAGCCTGCTTCTCCTTCTCCCACTCCCCCTGCTTGTGTTCCCTCTCTCGCTGTGTCTCTCTCTGTCAAATAAATAAATTAAAAAAAAAAATCTTTAAGATTTTATTTTTAAGTAATCTCTACACCCAGCATGGGGCTCGAACTTACAACCCCGAGATTGAGAGTCACATGCTCCACTGACTGAGCCAGCCAGGCGCCCCAGTGTGTGACCAGTTTCTAGCATGCCCGTTATTTCACGTGATTCTCACAACAAGGGTATGAGTAGCTTTGATTACACATAATGACTGTAGAAAGTCTGAAAAAATGAGGGTCGCTCAGAACCTCATGAGCTGGAGGGAATCACTGTTAAGCTGTGTTTGATGGTCAGCCCAGCTCTGAGAGATGATTGGGGTCGATAACTTGCCTCAGTGGTCACCCAGCTCGTGAGTGGAGCAGACCCAGTGCTCTTCACCAGCCTCCCGCCGCCCTTCGCTCATCCACCATGGCCCCGTGTCCGGGTAAAAGAGCGATTTCATCTTCCGGCAGGATGATCGATGACCCGATCCCTGGGCAAGTCCCCCACCCGCCTGCTGACACACAGGCTCCCGAGCAGCCCGTGGATGGCAGCGAACGACTGCTGAAACAGAAGCCTCCAACCGCGCCCCCCTTCCGGCAGGTTACCCCCCGCTTCCTCACACACTCCATACTCACTCACACAGTAGTGACTCAGGTCCCAAGCTACGAAGAGGAAATCAGTTACCTTCTCCACAGCTCCCCCTGGATGAACACCAGTCCTGGTCTCTTCGACGGAAGTGGCCTGGACACACGGGTCGTCGACTCCGTCGGTCGGGTGTACTGTCGCTGAGTCGCTGGGCCTGGCATCAGCCTCGGGCCTTCTGTGGTGTGGGCTGACCCTGGCCACTGGTTTGTGCCTGGACCCCAGGCTGTCATTCTTCTGCTGGGCGGACCTGGGGGTCTCTGTGTTGCCCAGACTCGGGCTGCCCATGTCGGCTTTGTATTCCAGTTTGGGCGAACTCCTCGATCCTGATAGTTCCTTCCTCCCCGAGCAGCCAGGGCCACCCTTGGGGGCTGCTGCAGAGGCCAGCAGGTTGGCTGCATGGGGAGGAGTGTCCCCCACACCCTCTGCGACACTCTCCTCTGAGTCCCGTGAGCTGCGGAGGAGAGGCACTGAGGCCTTGCTGACCATGGTTTTCTGGGGCTGTGCCCCCCGGCTGTTGATACCCATGACCTTGGGAGAGGTCATCAGGACGTGCCTCGAGTCGTCCTCCGCCAGAGGCCTGCTGGGACCGGGGAGGGTCCCCGGGAGGGAAATGCAGTCCCCTTCCCCGTCAAACTCCCCCTCGTCGGTGGCATCGTCTGTGTTGTAGCACCCCACCCTCCTCTGGCGGAGGAGTGGGGTCCGGAGGAGCTGCGGGCTCCCAGGGAGACTGGCTTGTCTGGCAACCGTCACCTGCTTGTGGAGGAGCCCAGAGGCCCGCTGGCTTCCTAGCGTCACGAGGCTGTTGGCCCTGGGTTTTCCTGGCTCCTTGTGAGCTGGTGGGGATGGGGAAAGAAACGGCCAAATGAAATGGGGTTTCCCAGCCGGCCTGGTTTTGCACCCCGCCCCCCAGTTACACAGGAGCATCCCCACAACTGCCAGCCATTCATCCTCTGGCCGCTGACCACCGGGCTTTAGTGATGTGGCTTCTTGGGATTTGCACCCAGTGGACAGTGGCTTCTCGCTCCCCTTTTCCTACTCGTCTCCCTTTCTGTTTGCTTAAATTTTTTTTTTTTTTTTTTTACTTCAACCTCTGGATTGTTTAGCTTAAGCACATATGCTGCCTAGAGACAGAAATGTTTAATTCAACGCCCAGGATGCCTGCCACCACTGCTGGGGTTCACACTACATGCTGTTGCTGGGAAGTCCTCTTTGGGACGATGCCCGGAGAGGAACCAGCCCCGCATGCTGGCACCTTCTTATCACACGAGGCCCTTCCTTCATTTGCAGGGATGGGGGCGGGGGGCATAGAAGCTCCTAGAACATGGTACAGGGAAGCCTGAGATGATTATCGACGCGAGTTCCAAGCAGGGAGGAGGGAGGGCCCATGCTGCTCAGCAGACCCGTCACGGCTTGCTGAATGCACGCAAAAGTGCATGGGCTTCCACCACGTGGCAGAAATGCTGCTGTCGGAGACAAGAGTATGCTTGTCCGCGGTTCCAGATGAGAGCCGGAGTGGTCAGGTCTGCCTGTCCTGAGACAGGGATGTTCTTGGGCAGACATTAGAAGTAAAAAAAGAACAAAGGGGAGAAAAAGCAGACCACAGCAGCCGAAGCCCGAGGAATCAGTATGGTTCGCGTCAGCTCATTCTCTCATACTACAGTGAGAGCGTGATCAAGGAGATTTGAAAACAACTGTCTGATAACATTGGTCTCTTATGAGTTCTGAATCTTTCACTCAGCTGCCTTCTAAAAAGAAGTCAGTTAGGGCCTGGTGAAGGAAGGGACCTGGAATTTCGCTAGGAATCCCCTAAAACAGAAGGCTGTTAGCTTGCCACCCTGATTGCATGCCATAAATTTCAAGATGATGCTCGGTAAACCGCATCTAAATGCTGTCCGGGTTAGTCACCTCCAACAGCCCGGGTACAGAACAGGCACCCAGACCCTTCACCCCAGAACCGACGGGCCAGTCAGCAGTGGGGGGCTGCATTTTCCAAAAATAAGTTCAGAATTTAGGGTACAAAGATGGCTTCTATGACCAAAGGCGCGGCTTCCAGGTCCCTGTTCACATTATACCGCCCCGCTATGTAAACCAACGGGGCCCGAGTCAGAAAACAGGCGTTGTTGGGGCGCCTGGGTGGCTCAGTGGTTAAGCGTCCGCCTTCGGCTCGGGTCATGGTCCCAGGGTCCTGGGATCGAGCCCCGCATCGGGCTCCCTGCTCAGCGGGAAGCCTGCTTCTCCCTTTCCCGCCCCCCCCTGCTTGTGTTCCCTCTCTCGCTGTCTGTCAAATAAATAAATAAAATCTTAAAAAAAAAAAGAAAGAAAGAAAACAGGTGTGGTTTACTAGAGGTGCTAGCTGGCAGGCCACCGTCCTCGGAGGTGCTGCGGCTGCTGCCTGGGGAGTCCTCGTCCTCAGAGCCGGCCACCATGAGGTCTGGCAGGGAGCCTGGGACACCGTGGGCCAAGTCCTGGGAGGCTTCGGGTTCAGAAATCAGGGCGTCCTGTTGGAGAGACGGTGCGGGCTGATGGGGGAGGCGCGCCAGAGGCCAGTTATCCGAAACAGTAACTCCTGGCTTTCCAAGAACACTTCGTTCTCATCCACGGTCATTTGAAACAGTGGTGAGAGTAGACACCCACTTCCATTGACTCTAGGATGGCTAAATTAGACAACTGATGAAAACGGCAATGGTTGCTGCCAGACGAGGTTTTTAAGAGATTTTTTTTTTTTTTTTTGGCCAAATGTTTAGCAATGACCAGAAAAGCCACAGCAGCGATTTATCAACCATCCCAGGAAAACCACTGGGGGAAGAGATAGGAAAATGGAATGACATTGCAAGCCACTGGTTCAGCCTAGTGATGGAACAGAAAAGAGGGGGATCTGAATCCTGTGCTCAGATCCACTGGGACTGAGGAATCACCAGCTGGGAAACATTCTAGTCTCCTTAAAGTCACAGGTCCCCCCAAAACCAACCGGAGACCCCTTTATTGTGGAGCAGTTTGAAAACTGTTTTTAAACTGAAGCTCAGTTCTTTTATTTTGTTGCTCTATTCTTTTCTTAGATGAGTATTTAATAAAAGAAACACACATTTTTGTATTTGTTCTCAAATTAGCATTGTTGCCGTAGTCTGTAAAGTGGCTAAAATGACTCCCGGACAAAGATATGGGCTGGGCCCTCAGGTTTGACTTCTGGGCCCCAGGAACTGGTTCATGGGCCAGCTGAATGAGGCAGTAGTGTGCCTTGACTCACCTTTTTTGCAAGAGAGGGACTCTTCAAGGGGGTACCTGTTGGAGAGAAAATTCACCATAATGTCAAAGCAGCAAAGCATACATCCTTACAAATAGGTTCACATTCTTAACCACAAAAGAAGGAGCCAAACATATTAACCCCTCTTCGCTTGACTGACACTGATGGGCCACGTGTGTAGGTATAGACATGCATGCACTCAACCCGGGTACCCGATCCCTACTCCATCCCACCTCCCAAGGTTCTGCTCATGCTTCAAGCCTGAACGTGGATGTTACGACTTCCATGATAATCCCAGTTGGAGGTAACTTCTTCTGAATCTTAAAAGTATTTTATACTACCCATACACCAATTTTCATACACACAGTACAATGTAATTATAAGTGGATGCCCCTCATCTCCCTTCCTCAACTATTTATAAGGCTGAGACCCTCACTGATCTGACCCCACAGTGCTCAGCATTGCACCTGGATCTAGGAAGTATTCAGTGATATTTGTTGAATGGATTGAAGGATCAATGAACAAAGAAATGCCACTCAAACTCCTGAAGGAACTCGGGGGAGGGTTGAATACCTATTTTGGTTTTTAGTAGAAGGATGAAAAGATTTGGCGTTGAAACTTTAAGTTATATGCCATGAGCAAAAAGAGCTTGCACATGAGGTTCATAGCTTAATAAAATCTTTTGTAAATGATTGTGGGCATACGCCGGGATTATGAGAGGGCAGTTTGCAGGCAGGTCAGGAGAACGGACTGGCCGAATAAAGAGCCCATTATGGCTGGGGCCACTTTAAATATATTAATTATGGATGCAAATAATCAGGGTATTCCATGGCTGCCAAAAAATCCTATGCCTTCCTTTTCCTCCGACAACCAGTAACTCACGTCTCAGTTTCTTTTTCGCCCGACATCAGTCTTGACATCAGTAATATCTTGAGTTGAGACATGTTTGCAGAGTCCCTTTGAATTTCCATTCTACTGGAAACATTACTTTTAAAACTTGATGCAATGTTTCCAATTTGAAATTCATAGGAAATTCTTATTATCTCAATCCTTCTCTGCCTGAACTTTCCTACTTAAGACGGGGGAAATCATGATTTGGGGAGCTTCTACTATTACTCTTCTTCAGTTGAAACTTAAAAAAATATCTACTTATTATTGAAGTAAGGCTGCCATACTGGGTGGAAACCTTTAGTTCACGTAAAGAAACCCCAGGCTTTGGAACGGAGAACACTCTGCGTCTACCAAACAACTGATATTTTGGTATTACTTTTTACCTAGGCCATTTCAGATGAATTGTACATAAACACATGAAATGCTGTTAACTCATTTTTGTAAATTATCTCATAGTGTAAGAAGCATGCATGATTAGAACTTTAATAAAGCACATTAAATAACAGCAGAAATCAAAAGTAGCAGCTAGGAGCAAGCACAGGATCTCTTTGACAATGACTTCTGCCAAACCTGGTCATGACAAAGACTCTAATATCACAGCATGGGGCAGGGCCCCCTGGGGGAGCTTCCTGGAAAGCTCTACTCATGCTGGACGAAGACGTGCAATTACAGTACCTAAGCCTGGAGAGGAGCTGGCCTCTTTGCTCTCCTGATAAGTGCTGCGTGCGATCACTGCGTCCATTTCCTGCTCGGAAACCTGATTTTCAGCAGAAAGCACAAATGAGATGGTTTTCTTTATTTATTTTTCCCCAATAAAAGTAGCTAGGACCTGAGTCAGAGGCTGAGTGCAGATAAAGAGGGACACCACAGCACCAAAGATTATGACAGTCCTCGGAAGCAATAACTCAGGGCATATAAGGACAGCCGGGTTAGCTGATCGCTTCCAACAATATGTTCAAAACAAGACCTTCGGCTGGTTCCCCAAGTCATTAACGCGCCCAGGTGCTATAGTTACCAACCACATGGCTGATACCTGCCTCTCTAGAACACTCACTTCTATTTCTTTTCTTCCTAGATTTTATTTAAACAATTGCAAACCTACATAAAGCTTGTAAGAGCAGCACAAGAGGAGTATACTCTTCACTGTTGTTGTTTTACACATTCTGCCATATTTACACTCATGCTCTTTTTTTAAGATTTTATTTATGTATGTATGTATGTATTTATTTGACAGAGAGAGAGAGGGAGGGAGAGAGAGAAAGCACATGAGCAGGGGGAGAAGCAGAGGGGGAGGGAGAGAGAATCTGAGCACGGAGCCTGATGCAGGGCTCGATCTCATGACCGTGAGTTCATGACCCAGGCCAAAACCAGGAGTCGGAGGCTTAACTGACTGACAGCCATCCAGGCTCCCCACTCATGCTCTTTCTTAATACACACACACACACACACACACACACACACACACACTGCTTCACTTTTTACTAAACCATTTGGAAGTTAGTTGCAGACATCATGAACGTTCACCCAGAAATATTTTAGCATGTATCTCCTCAAAACAAGGACATTCTCTTCAATAACCCTGGTACTATTACCATTCTAGGAAATTTAACATTGACACAAACGACTGTCTAATTTACATTTCATATTCCAATTTAGCCAACTGTCCTAATACTATCCTTCAGAAACACTATTCCAAGTGTGTCTGTAGACAGAAGTAGTTCATAGGAAATTTGATGCCAGCTTGCGAGGAGATAGGTTTTTCCTCCAGAATGCTTATCAACACTCAGTTTCTTTCACCAACAGTGTCCTCCTGGGGAAAAAGTGCCCACTGAACTGAGTGGTGTACATCATGAGGTAACTGATTTGCATTCTGGTGTGAGCTCCTTATCTTGTGGGTCTTAGTAGATGGTCACCAGCCAACACCTTTGCATAGTAATGCTTCATAGAAATTTCATTTTTGGCAATCCAGAATTCAATTCAGGGTCTAGTTGTCATGTCTTTTTAGACTCCTTTAATCCAGAACATTACTGAGCCTTTCTTTGTCACAATACTGATACTTTGGAAGAAACCCAGGCCAATCAAACCCCCAATTAGGATTTGTGTGATAGTTTCTTCATGCTAAGACTTAGATTATGCATTTTTTTGGCAGAAAAACTACAAAAACTGTTTCCTTCTCATGCTTCAGAGGGGCACTCAGGGTCAGTGTTTCATGTTTCATGGCTGGTGATAACTTTGACCACTTGGTTAGGATGGAGTTCACCGGATTTCTCCACTGGAATTTTTTTTTTTTGGTCATCAATGAGTGATCTATGAGGAGACAGCTTGAGACAACATCAGTATCCTGCTCCCCAGTATATTTTTACTCAATGGTTTTAGTATCATTGATGATTTTTACTTGGATCAATTTTTACAATGAACTTTTCAAAATAGTCATTTTATAACTCTTTTCTTTCTATATTTACTGGAATCATGGTAGATTCATGGATTTTTCCCCCCCATCAGTTGTTATCCATAACTGTCATTATTCACAGAAAATAATTTTTTAAAGCCTGACATACGCTGAATTATGAGATATTTTAAAAGACAATTACATAACTTGCACAGAATTTCTTTTTTAAAGGTAAGAATACTGTAAACTTAGAATGGTAATTTTGTGTGGTAAAATAACATTTAGCATAAATAATATTTGGATAAGCATAGCAATTTGTCCTCATAAGTAAATAAAGCTATGCAGGATTCAGCATTACATTTTTTTTTTTAAAGATTTTATTTATTTATTCATGAGAGACAGAGAGAGAGAGAGAGGCAGAGGGAGAAGCAGGCTCCCAAGGAGCAGGGAGCCCGATGCGGGACTCGATCCCCGGACCCTGGGATCATGACCTGAGCCGAAGGCAGACGCTTAACCGACTGAGCCACCCAGGCGCCCTGCAAATTTTTCTTGACATTAGACCTTCAATGTTTGCAGCTGTTTTTCTGAGTGGGAAAAAGACGGCTGGGGTTTGGAACAAGTGAAAGATTTCCTGGATAATTCTATTCGTGCTGAGAGCCCCAGTACCAGTTAAAAATGGACCCTTCTGACCTTCTTCTGGCAAGTCCAAATCTTAGCTTGTCTAGACCTGGAGGGTTTGAATATTCCAGTTGGGCAGCCACTGCTTCAGTCATTATGAGAAACAGAAGAAAAGAAAATCCTTGTGGTATTTCTATTGGAACAACATGAAAACTAAGGAAGCACATACATTCAGTACCCAAATGTACTATTGGCATGAAATGGGGGGTGAGCGGTACAAAAATACATTAAACATAAAGTGGAATCTTGACCAAAAGAAAAATATAGTATGATGTTACAACTAAGAACACCATGTTTACCTAGGAAGAAATGTGAAATCTAGTCAAACAAATACTGAAATCTGGTTTTGCTGGATGTATCTCCAATGCCATCATGACGACCGTTTTACTGTGGCTAGACACATGAATCAACCGGTATTCAACAGGCTCGCAGACCACCAGTCCATCAGGATTATTATGCTTTGCACGGAAATGGCATTTTGATGTTTGATTGTATTGGCAAATTGGGCAGATGCTTTTGGGCTGAGTTGAAGCAGACCTCCAAACAAATCGTGACCTGTGCTATGTTGGAATGGATTCTGAAGTCAGACGTGCCTGAAGCCAATGACTGCAAATCACTGAGAACTGATTTTTTTATAATGTTGCTGAGGGATGTGCTGGGTCAGCCCAAGCTTATTGGACTGCTTTGGAAGAGGGAAGGGGGAAGGGGGAAGGGGGTATGGCCATTAAGGTGATGGAATCCAAGGGAGGACCCTGGAGGAAGGAGCCAAGACTACTCTAGCTGTGAGTATGAGGCAAAATGCTGTTAAAAATGACCCAAAGAGAGCCATGGGGGACAGCAGGAAGACAAAGGAGAAGAGGCTGTAAGAGATAGTGTTAGGATTACAAAATAGAAAGGAGGAAAAATAGGAAGTGATGAGAAAAAATGGAAAAAGGCAGAAGCAGACTTGGTTCTATATGAATGATATTCAAGAAGTTTTTATTTAAGACATAAATGAGAATGCACGTAGACAAGAGAAAACAATCTGGGGAAAAAAACAGTAGCGGAGTTGACTTTGAATTAGTCCAATGGCAATTGTTGACCAACCAAGCACTGTGGAGAACCAGTACCACAGACCCCACTAAGACACTAAAAATGATGCCATAAAATTAACCCACTAAAGAAATCTCAGACATGGGAGGACCCATGAGGTCTCTCCGCACAGACTTCCTTTTTTTTTTTTTTAAAGATTTTATTTATTTATTTGAGAGAGAGAATGAGAGAGAGAGCGCACATGAGAGGGGGGAGGGTCAGAGGGAGAAGCAGACCCCCTGCTGAGCAAGGAGCCCGATATGGGACTCGATCCGGGGACTCCAGGATCATGACCTGAGCCGAAGGCAGTCGCTTAACCAACTGAGCCACCCAGGCGCCCTCCGCACAGACTTCTTACTCTCAAAATGGCATACAAGTTCATTAAGCACAGCAGCCTGGGCCCATGTAGGACATAATAGTATAAATGATACAGAAGAGGTGGTCATAGGACAGGCACAAAAAGGGCTAATGTTCTTAAGGAGCATTTTGAGTTGTTGGAAGGAAAAGGTTAAATTTTGTAAAAATACAACCTGATTGCAATATTAGAGACAAGCTAATTTAAAAAGATTTTTACATCAAGTACTCAAAACAACAAAAATGCAGTGCTCAACGCCAGTAGAATCAAATTTGCTCAAGTGGCTTCTGGTTAACCTAAAAAAATTCAAAACAACTGCTTAAGTATAGAAAAGATACAACTAAATATCAGCAAAGGCCAAGGATACAGGGGCTATGATTATCAGCAAATTCAACAATGTGATAATGATGTTGAAAGAAATTAGTGGGCTCTTAAGCCTTAATTACAGAAGTATTCTGCTCAGGTCGAGGATGGCCTGGAGGGACCATTTAGTCCACTGCTCTCAGATTTTCTTGATGCAGAAACCCAAAAAAGGTTAAGTATCTCACCAGAGATCAAACAACCAGCTGGGACTTACTCAGAACCGAGCACTCTTTATCTTCTACCACATTTTATATTCACCAATAACAATGTCAAAATTTTCTAATAAAATTTCTAAGAGTATGAAGACAAAGACGTCCAGATCAGTGATTTGTTTCCCATGTGTATCGGTTACCTTGGTCACCGAGTGACCACAAGCTGATGATTCCCATGCCCAGCTGGGTAAACTGTCTCACCAAAGAGCGTACATCATCATAGGAACACGTGTCTCACTGCTTCAGGACAAACAGCCACGCCATCTTCCCATACTCAGAACAATATGAAATACTTCACCTTTGGGTTAGGGTGCCGGCCGATGACAAGGCGCACAGGTCCTGGGGGGCATTTGCTCAGGATGGTATGGACCTTGCTTAAAGCAGCATGGCGGACGTTGACCGAGTTCACTTCCAGGATTTGATCTCCGCGGCTAGGGAGGACAAATGACCAACACTCTGTGGTAACAGTTAGCTTTTTACAAGATCTCCTTCTGGGAGAGGTTTATAATTTGAAATCTTTTCTGAATACCTTAAACAAGCAAATGACATCCTTTTGTCTTTGCATATGGGTAAAAAAGCAACACATTCATATAAACAAAGCAATGTACATAGCAATACTTTGAACAGGTATTATTATTCCTATTATTTAGATAAGGCCCCAGGCTCAGAGGTCACCCCGATGTCACACACTGTTGAACTCAGGTCTGTCTACCTTTTGATCATCACAAGATAGCCCCTTGACCACCATCATTTTCTTTTTTCCTACCATCTTGAAATGATTATTGTAATATAATTTGAGGAAGAAATACCTGAAGCTCAAAGGTTACCCAAGAGTTTGTAAAACCGTTTCAAATTTGAACAAATGAGAAATTGGGGACAAGATGCCCATTTTGACTTGAAATTATAGGCAGAGAACTCGGTATGAGAGAACAAAGACTCTTTATGTGGGGTTTGAAGAATGTTCATTTGGCAGGCTCCAGACATATGGAAACATTCAAGAAAGAAACATCATCTTGGGATGTCATTAAAGGATTTTTTTCCTGGGGTTCTAAAAGTATATTTTCTTTAATGTACTTTCGATGATTTGCTAAAAAATTTTTTTTGTATGGAAATTCACTCTGATGATTAACTAAAAACATAATATAATCTACTGACAGGGCCCCAAAATGGCAACCTTAAGGAATATCATTTTGACAATTCCTCAACTGCTCAAGGACTTGGAAGCTTACAGGGGAGAAAGGTGATACTGTTTGCAAAGGGTGTTTTGTGCAATGTGTGTACTTCTTGTGAAGTTTAGGTGGGCACAGGCCCATTGCAGTTACTCTGAATAGAACACCTAGACATCTCTTTATAAACAGAACACCCATGCTACCAATCAACTAGCTAGATTGAGAAATCAGACACACAGTGATTTCAGACAATAAGCATCTAGACAACATCACTCAAAAAGGAATGAAACAACAGGAAAGGCTCAAGAGATTATACTTAATCATAAAGGCCTCCTAGTGAAGGGCAGGCTTTCGGGACTCTTTGGTATCCAGCGATTATGAGCTGTTAGGAGCAGTTCCTAGCATTACATATGAATTTTACATAAATGATATAAACATGAAAGAAAGTACTTAGGTAATCATAGATATCTGTACAGAATTGTATTTTGTCAAGTTTCTGAAACTGAGCTTCTGAGTCCAAATAGATCAAAATAGGCAAGCCAAGATACAGAGTTCTCTACTTCAACCCAATTTCAATTAGATTAGCTTTTCCCCTTTTAGGAAATGCTATTAATTGTAACCTTGGCTACATTACTGCCAATAATACAGAAGTTTAAGATCTCACACAAGGATGTAATAGGGCAGGATACCTTACATGTACATTCATTCATTCATTCATGAACGCGCGAGAAGCCTATACGATCGGGTTTACAACGAACCTCAGATTGCTCTCCATCTTGGCCACTGAGCCTGGGGCCAGGCTGTGAATGTAGATCCCTGGAGGGCTGTTCTCCAGAGCCAGGCAGCAGGCACCGATGCCTAATCCAACTCTTGGCTCTGTGAGAGGCATCAGTCAAAGAAAATAAAATTAAAAAAAAAAAAAAAGTATAAGTGATCTGAAGCTGCATTAATGTATATTCAGACCAATAACCATTTATTTGTGACCAGACTCAGAATGGAAATCCTGCTTTCCTTTGTCAACATCATCATATTCTGTAAATGAAATGAGTTCACGGCAGACTAGGCTAACTATGGGCTGTGAATTATTTAGCGGTCCGCTCTCCGCTTAGTCTAAAGAGCCTCCTCAAGTCTGTTTCTGGAAATAGGCAGAGTCAAAGTAATATATATGTGTATATATATATTTTTTAAAGAATAAGTAATCTCTGCACCCAATGTGGGGCTGCAACTCACAAACCCGAGATCAAGAGTCATGTGCTCCACTGACTGGGCCAGCCAGGGGCCCCAATATTTTTTATTCTGGATACACAGCTTTAAGTTTTCTTTCACTTGCCTTTTTAAGCAACTAATCTCTTGGTTATTTAACTGCTTATCATATTTCTGTAGTAGGTGTAGAGAAAAAAGAAAGAAAGACGAAAAGCAGTAAGATTTGGTGAAGACGCACAACTTTTAGTTGTTGAGTGTATTCTTTTTTATTTATTTGACAAAGAGAGAGACAGTGAGAGAGGGAACATAGCAGGGGGAGTGGGAGAGGGAGAAGCAGGCTTCCTGCTGAGCAGAGAGCCCGATGCGGGGCTCGATCCCAGGACCCTGGGATCATGACCTGAGCCGAAGGCAGATGCTCAACGACTGAGCCACCCAGGTGCCCCATGTTGACGGTATTAACTATAATCTTTGGTTTTAAAAAAAATTTTTTTAATATTTTTTATTTATTTGAGAGAAAGAATGAGTGCATGAGTAGGGGGAGGGGCAGTGGGAGAAGGAGAAGCAGTCTCCCCCACTGAGCAGGGAGCCCAATGTGGGACTCGATCCCAGGACCCTGGGATCATGACCTGAGCCGAAGGCAGACGCTTAACCGACTGAGCCACCCAGGCGCCCTGTTCTTTAAAATTTTACATTAGCCCTAGAATTAAGCCAGTCTATGATTTTTCTTTCTTTCTTTTTTTAACCTGAGTTTCTGACACACAGTGATTCGTCTGGGGAGAGCTTAAAAGACTTTTTGTGCTAGTGCTAACTTCTTTTCACTTTAGTAAAACGACTAAAATCTCTACTTTTGATCCCACTGTCCATTTAGAGACTACCATACGTGGTTGGCAGCAGATTGTTCCAAAGGAACAATTTATAGAAAAAATATAAAAGGTTAACTTAAGAACAGATTACAAATTGTTACTCAAGACAATGCAATGAAAGTGAGGAAGAGCTGGTGTCACCTTTGTTGAGTGTCACTTCCATGACAATCCTGTCCTTGGGCCCAGGGGCCTTCCGACCCAGGGACGAAGAACTGCCTTCATCAGAGCCTGCCGCTGAGCTGCCCCCACTGGTGTTGAAGTTTGGGGAGCTGGATCTGCTCATGTGTGTGGGTGTTGAGCAGGGCGTGAGGCTTGGGCTCAGTAACTTTGTGCGTACCGTTAAGACAAATAATCCACTCCGGATTTGCTGAAAAAACAAAAAGATAGAAGGGCAAAAACATTCAGATTGTTCCTAGATCGAAGGGTGGATAAAAAAAAAAATCTCAAACCCAAACCAGAAGGAAATAAAGGAAGAAAAAGAAAGAAGACAAAAGAGATAAATACGAATGTTGTTACCTTAAAGGTATGAATGGCTTCTTGGAACGTCAAGCCCTTTATTGGTATTCCATTTACATCAAGGATTTCATCCCCTAGTGACCAGATAGGAGAATTACATTGACATTGTGCTTTAGAAGATAGCATATGGTACCTGATTTACAAGTCTATAAAATGATTTTTATTGTTCCAGTGTGCTTTCATTAACTTAGCTCCCAGGAATTTCACAAAATGGGACAACTAATAACAATGCATATTCTTTCGCAGTATTTCTGTATCTCCATCTTTAATGAAAACAACTAGGGGACATATCAAGACGTTATTCTTTAGCCACTGCCAAGTTTGATAAAAGGAGTCCTACGTTTAGAGATCAAAATGCAATAATGAGTCCCAAGTCTTTCCACATAGTGTTTAAAAACTTAAGGCCACTGCCAATAAAGCAAGAACATATACAACATGTGAGAAATCCACTTCTGTATTTGCAGAAAGACAAGATTTTTGAGCTTGGAGAATCATCATGGGTTGTGGAAAACTGTTTTAATAACAGAGACAAAAACTTTTGAGATACCATTTAAGAATGGCAGCCCTGCCTCCAGAAATAGTCTAGACGCCTGGTCTTATTGATGCTGTTCCAGGTTCTCAGTCATGAAGCTGGTCAATCACTACATGCTTCTATCTAAGAGATTATTGTGGGCTAATACCAAGTAGCTCTCTCATTCATTCTCTCTCTCTCTCTCTCTCCCAAACTATCCTGGACTCATCCTCATCTTCAAGCCCAAGAAGGTAGAGTCAGGTCATTTTTCCAGCTTGGACATCCTGTTGACCTGTAAGAGTCTGTTTTTGGTTTGTACTCTTGTAACATGGTCTGTGTTTTGGAATAGCAGTTCATCAAAACACGACAAAGTGGCCCCCGAGAGAAGAACAGATGAACTTCGTACAGCAGTTCAGGACAAAAGGGGGACTTCCCTTACCTATAACAAAGTGCAAATCAGCATCAGAACACAGCTTTTCACCTCTCATGGACAGCTAATCCCAGGAGCACACTGTGTATTCCACTAAAGGAATCCTGTAGATGAGTTTGAAAATGTAGCAGTACCCCATGCATTTGTTATGTGCTTTCTCTCTAATGCAATTACAGAAGTTGTAAAAGAGGTGAAATGACCTGTTTAAAAATAATCACCTAACTAGGTGAGGATTTTGGTTTGCTTCCATATGGGAAATGATTGCTCATGCTCTTAAAAATCTTTATACAAGATTTTTAAAAGATCATTCAACACGTTGAAAATCCATTCCAATGATTTACCTTCATTGTAAATGAACACGTATGAAAAAACAGTATTTAGGAGACTCAAGTGCTATTAACCTTTACTAACGACTGCTTTTTCCTCCATTTCCCCCCATCTTACCAGTATTGCAGGATGAATTTCAGTCAAATGAGCACATGGCACATCCATTATAAAAATGCTCTGTTAGAATTTCACATTGTATCATGGAAAACTACATCTAAAACTAATGATGTAATGTATGGTGATTAACATAACAATAAAAATAAACAACAACAAAGAAGCAAAAAAAAAAAAAAAAGAATCTACCCAAAAAGGTAGATGAGTTTAGAACAGTCATGGGATACAAAAATCAGTTGTCCAAAGAAGATATATATATATAAAAAAAGAATTTCACATTGTTTTGAAACTAGATACAAATATCACCTGGGAGTTAATCCTTCCTCTAAGAGAGAGAAATAAATATTCTGTCCTCAAAATAAGCCTGGTCACGTCTTATCATTAGCCTGTAGGCTCCTAGGGTAGCTCTGCCTAGAAAAAGGAGCCTCCAATGGACTCAATCGGTTAAAAAAAATAAGCCAGCAGAACATAACAGTACCTAAAATTTGAGTCAATTGAACTGACCAATCGCAGCATTTCTGAAGGTAACTACAAATAGTGTGATTTAGTCGTTTCATGAAGGAAATGTGTTAATAAGGCAGGAAAAAAATCAGGGCTCACGAATAGGATCTAATGTCCAGCACGGTGACTATAGTTAGCAATACTGTTCTGTCCAGTCGAAAATTTCTAAGAGAGTAGATCTTAAATGTTCTCACCTCCCCCCATCATACACAGTCATTATATGATGTGATGAGGGTGTTAGCCAAATCAATGTGCTGCTCATTTTGCAATATATGTGTATGTCAAACCATCATGTTGTACGCCTTCAACTTACACAATGTTATGGATCAATTACATCTCAATAAAGCTAGGAGGAAAAAAGCACTCATTTAGTATGTTTATGCATGGCAAAATGGCAGGTGCTATGGAGAATATAAAAGGTGTGTGTGTACTCAGCCCTGAGGCAAGAACGGCCTGCAAGCTCTCAGGAATTTTCAAGGCAAGGAACACGATCAAGGACCAAGGGGACAAGACAGACATTTAAAGACCCAAATAAAAAATACCAAATCATTCCACACATCATCTCATTTAATCCCCACAATGACTCCTCAAGATAGGTTTTAATATTCCAAGCTTACAAACTGAGGAAAGTAAAGCTCAGGTTACATCAACTGTCCAAGGTCATGATGTAGCAAGTGTTGGATTCAGCTCAGGTCTGCTTGACCCCCAAGACCATGGCCCTTGGCTGCTGTGCCCCTGGTTTCACATCTTGCAATGGGGCAGATTCTGAAGGAATCAGAGCTCACCACCACTGAGAACCACTGAGAGGCTTTCTCCTACCTTCTTTAAGTCTTCCATCCTCTGCAGCTGATCCATTTGGGAAAATGGTCTTGACAAAAATCCCCATCTGTCCTCGAATGCAGTCTCGACCTCCAGCAATGCTAAAGCCAAGGCCCTACACCCCAAGCAGAAGGGGGTCCAGGTTGTCATTGCAGTATTTAACTGAGGGCATCTGCTCTTGTTTCTATTTAACTGAGGCCTCCTTCCCAGCTAGGCTCAGAGTTAAGCTAACCAGCTATAAATTTAAATTTGCGTTCCCTTTTCCACTTCCTTCCTCAGATCTATTTGCATTGCACCAGCTATGCATTACATTAAAGGGAGAAAGTTTTACGTTGAAACATAGGAACTTGCCAGTATTTGACAACCTTTGGTCTCCAAAAATGGCAACTTCACATGGATCAATTAATAGCTCAGGAGAGTCATTTCATACAATTCGGGTGCCATATTTATTTTATTCTTTTGTGTCAGTCTTTCCATTTTGTATAATATCGAAATGGATGTTTTGTCATTTGTATAATACCAACTTTTTTGTATTCTTCTCTTTGTGATAATGGCAATGTTATGAAATTCATTCAAAAGGATAACTAGGAATATATCCCCTGAAGCTACAGGGGTGGCTTTTCTTTCAATAGTAGTCAATGTTGGAGCATTCACTCCACTCCCACCTGTGCCCTAGCTCCCAGGTGCTGGGGACTCCTTATGTCAGAAGGCCAAAAGGGCGTGACTCACTCAGCAGCCCACAGGAAAGGATGCTAGGGAATCCACTCAAATCTATACAAAGGCCACTTAATCTACTCCTCTTTGTATCTTTTATTTTTTATTTCATGTAAAAACAACAACAAAGTTAACCATTTAGGAAATATATGCTAACATTCACCTGGGGGCCAAAACAGTGAGCAGAAAGGAGCTCACCTTGCCTTTTTCCTTGTACAGCCCGATGATCGAGATGACCGATGGCCGAATGAGTCTCCAAGGAGATTCCACCTGAGTGGCGCTTAGGGAGCGCGTGGACTTCTTTACAATCTGGTATTCCTAAAAGTCAGCGCATGGCCAGGTCAGGGATAGTCTCATTACCCTTCTGGGGCCTCTGGCATCAAAATATATTCAGATTGTGAAAACCTCAGTTGTCTTTTGGGTTAGACAGCCATTTCTCTGCGCTCCATCTCTGGTCAAGCAGCTAAAGGAGTTTATGATGAATCCCACTGGATTCAGCCAGCCCTCTGCTGTAACACACTGCCATGCTTCCCTCTCCACAAAAGAGCTGAGTGGAGGCTGCAAGCACCCAGGGTTGCTCTTTCTTTGACCGTACCCCATACGTCCTACTTCGTGCTTTCTGGAATGGAGTCAGGAACCGGAAGCCGAGAGGCCTCAGAGACGTAGGAGGGCTATCCTGTGGTCAGGTTCTCCCTGGAAGCCGCTCCTACCCCCATCCCAATTCACAATCATGGTTAGAAAGTATCTTGCCATTTTAAGCTTAATGCGCTCAACCAAAAATGTAGCAAGCCCTTGTTTCTTATAAAACCCAAACCACAAACCCCGACAACTGTTATTCCACATAAAACACCCCACTGACAAACGGCAGCAGCTTTGGTTCTAACCCCTCACATTTGGAAAAGAAAATACTTTCCCATCAGCCACCGTTTCCCCCCGTCCTGGCATGCAGAAGCTCAAATCTCAACCCCTTTCTTGTCCATCACCCACATGCACACGTGTATAAGCAGGGTACACTATTTATAACATAAACAAGAGTTTCAGCAAACCTATTGCTAAAGCACTTCCACAGTCTATCTTCTTGCTATCCTTCTTAGAATAATCAATCTCTTAAATGAGACAGATATTCCAGCATAAGCAAAAAAAAAAAAAAAAAAAAAATCACTTCATGCTTAATGTGAGAAAAGAGACATCAGAAAATAGTTTTTAATCCTTAATTAGTATATTCTACAGCCAAGCTAGAAGTGAGATGTCTGCTAATGATATTTTTGTATTCCTGGCAGCTTAAAACCATTATATTTTGCAGTTTTACAAAATATCTACCAGCTATACTGGCCTCCCAGACTCTGATTCATTTAAAAAATGTTGGCTTGGCAAGGTTACTACCCTTTTACTGAAACCATCATGGAGACGGCCAGACAGAGTCCATGGGTTTTCAACCCTCGAATACGGAGTTCATGTGTAGCCTTGTGAGGGAACTCTCTCTGACCAATCTCCAGCTGCACCTCTTGCCATCCCCCCTTTGGGAGCCAGTGGGAACCAGAGGCCTGCACGCTTCCTTGTTCCCTTGATGAGTTTCAGGGGTCCCACTGCACTTTTTAGACCTCTGCTGTCCAATATAGTCACCTGTGGCTGTCTATACGCAAATGAAGATTAAAATAAAAATTACACTCCTCAGTCTCACTATCCACTTTTCGTGTGCTCAAGTAGGCACACGTGGCTACCATACTGGACAGTACAGACATAAAATATTTCCATCATTGTGGAAAGCTGTATTGGGTGGCTGTACTCTTGGCAATGCTTTGTAGGGAGAGAGAGAACAAGGGAAAAGGGTGAATCCTGGCAAAAAAAGAAGAAAAGGAAAAGGATGATTTGACAAGGGTTTGAAAAAGTCTTTCCTCTAAAATCTTCACCAGCCTGTGCTTTCTAGAAGCCTCATTAGAAATAGGTATTTCTGGGCTATAAATATGGTCGGGTTTCTCTCAGTTAAGAAATCACCTCAGAGTGAGGCCTCCTTGGCTGTGATGGCAGGAAACCCTCTCTCATTTTCTGCACTAAGACAGACTGACAACGTGGCTCTCTTACGATTTCTGATCCACCCCCTGACTCCGCCAGTCCAGTTGGATTATTCTGAGCAGGCCACAGGCTCATCTCCCGTCACGGGTCCGGAGGGGTTTTAACCAGGACCCATGCAGGTTTTCTGCTCTGCTTTTTCTCCACATCCCGACTCAAGCTGTCTTTGGGTAGATTCCACACAGCATAACCTGATCAACAGCTGCCTCTGGAACACGGGCACTTCTTATTTGACTGGCTAGGTAAAACGTTCTTCCCAGTGATTCTGGCAAATCTCTTTGAGATTCATTGGCCTGTCTCTAAAATGGTGATAACACACCCAAAGTAACGACCCGACCCAGATGACCTGCCCCAGGTCCTTTTCATCTCTACGATCTATGAGTCTACATGCACTTATGGATGTTGCTGCTCCACCCTCCGCCTCCATCTCTGCTTCATTGTAGGCAAGATGCCAATGGTTTCTCTCGAGCCCTGGGGCTGATGGTGCCAGGACTGAGAGAACACTCCACAAGTTCCTGAGACTGAGCCTGCCTTCAACTTGGTTAGGAGCTCTCTACCCACTTTTTACTGGGTTGAGGTTGATGTAATTGAGGAAGAGCCCTGTGAAGAATTATGGAGCCCTGAGCTCTTCTGAGGCAGGCCCTGGGATATTAACATCACTGCCTCCTTCACCCCCATCCGCAGCCCCTCTGACCTTGCCTGTTTGAGTCATTACTGTGTAACAGGGAAAATCCCAGACACAGTATGGGCACACACAGGCAATGCCCCCCCCTCACACAACCCAACACCCACCCACCCACCCACCCACCCAGTGGTTACGGTGACACCTGATGCGCCCACGAAACAGGCAATGGTGGTCGACCACAGACCGTGAGGCGCCATGGTCTCCTGGCAGTGAAAGCAGCTCTCAGTTCCAAAACACACAGTAGGAAGAGGGACCAAGATGTCGAGATCCAACAAAGGATTATTTTTCTCTACTGTTTTCAAATACTAGGCTGACTTCCTCCTAACCTCCATGGATAGACCTCGCTCTCTGTGCTACATCTCTAGTCCCAAATACCCCTGCCCACACAGATGGGCAGTTCTTCACAACATGGATGCTCTTGTTGGTCTCTGAAAGAGTAAAAGAAAGCCTAGAGACGCAGGGGTGGAAACACACTCTTATGTCCCTAACCGGGAAACTTGCACGGCATGAGAAAACGAAAGCTCTGTGGTACCGTACTACCTGTGATGCTCTGGTGGAGTCCAGTAGCTGGGGAAGAGAGTGCTTTCGGCCATCTCGGGAGACTTCCAACATCCTGGCCCGGGGGTCCCCATTTCGCACCATTAGCTCATTATATTCTTCAACAGACTCTAGCCGGTGTATACCCCCTTGTAAAAACATGGAGAAAAACATGGCATGATATGGGATGGAAAGAATCTTACGAGAGCATCACAGGCATAAGCTTGTTGCATTTACAACCACACTACATGGTTTTCGGAAGGCCTGGTGTCTAATACTTTCAAAGCACTGAGCTCATAGCTTTCTACCAATAAGCTGGGTGAGCGCTGGGGCCACTGATGCCGGATTATGAAGAAAGTGCCAGTCTTCGAAGGGACCGGACTGGATATGGGAAAATGTATACGTTTCATCCAAGTAAGATGTAGGGTTGATAAGGCAATAAACAAGAGAATGCTATCAGTAGATGGTTTTCTAGTGATGGAGGAACATTACTTGGTGGTTGGTGCAGTTCCATTGTTGGGGTGGGTGGTTTTTCTTCATGTAATGAGTTTTTAAATAATATTTGACAGAGAGAGACACAGTGAGAGAGGGAACACAAGCAGGGGGAGTGGGAGAGGGAGAAGCAGGCTTCCCGCGGAGCAGGGAGCCCGATGCGGGGCTCGATCCCAGGACCCTGGGATCACGACCTGAGCCGAAGGCAGATGCTTAACGACTGAGCCACCCAGGTGCCCCTAAATAAACTTTTTTATTAAAGAATAAAAACTTACAGAAATATGCACAAGTCGTAAGTGTACAGTTCCATGAAATTTCACAAAGTGAATGTTCCAAAAACCAACACTCAGACCAAGAAACAGTATTTCTGGAACCCAAAAGCCACTTTGGCACCCCTAACCAGCCTTCACCCATGGTAACCATTATCCCGACTTCCAACATCATAGATGACTTTTGTCTATTTTTGAACTTTATATAAATGAACACATGCGATATGTACTTTTTTATATCTGGCTCCTCGTTCTTAGCATCTGTTTGTGAAAGTCCCCATGTTGCTGCTAAGAGTCTGTTCATCCCGTTTCTGTATACTATTTCATTGTATAAACACATCACAATTTGGCTATCCATTCTGTTGCTGATGAACACTTGCTTTGTTTCTAGTTTCAGTTCTAGAACAAGGGTCAACAACTTTTTTTGGGGGGGGGGGGCGGGTAAAAGCCAGATAGTAAATGTTTTAGGCTCTATGGGCCACAGATGGTCTCTGCTGCATATTTTCTAAACGTGTTTTTTTTTTTTTTTTTTTAAACCCAGTGAAGATGTAGAAAGCATTTCTAGCTTGTAGTCCATACAAATATAGCTGTGGGTGGTAATTTGCTGACCCTTGATCTAGAACATACTGTTATGGAACATTCTCATACAAATCCTAACTGTGGGGTGCAGACCTAGGACAGAGTTGCTGAGCTCCGGGTACATATCCACCTTTCCCAATGCCTTAACACCACTGTGTTGTGAGTCCTGGTTTCCCCACATCCTCCTCATACTTGGTGGTGCCAGTTTTTTAAATTTTAGCTACTCTCATGGATATATAATGACATTTCACTGTGGGTTGTTTTTTTTTTTTTTTAAGATTTTATTTTCAAGTAATCTCCACACCCAAAGTGGGGCTTGAACTCATAATCCTGAGATCAAGAGTCCCACGCACCACCAACAGAGCCAGCGAGGGGCCCTCATTGTGGTTTTTAATTTACATTTCACTGATGACCAATGTGACAGAACTTTTTCAAATATTCATTGGCTGTTTTACTTCTGTAAATTTGACAGTGGTTTTTTTTTTAAATAAAGTTGTAAAGTGTCTGTTCTGCTTATTTTTTTTTTTTAAAGATTTTATTTATTTATCTGAGAGAGAGAATGGGAGACAGAGAGCATGAGAGGGGGAGGATCAGAGGGAGAAGCAGACTCCCCGCTGAGCAGGGAGCCCGATGTGGGACTTGATCCCAGGACTCCAGGACCATGACCTGAGCCGAAGGCAGTCGCTTAACCAACTGAGCCACCCAGGTGCCCTGTTCTGCTTACTTTTTTATTGGGTTTCTTTTTGTTGTTGATTTATAGGAGTTTTAATTTTTTTTGTTAATGTGTTTCAGATATGAGTCCTTCATGGAATCTATGTATTGTAAATATCTTCTCCATGTCTGTGACTTGCCTTTTCACTCCTAATGGAATTTTTATTTATTTATTTTTTAAAATATTTTATTTATGTATTTGACAGAGAGAGACACAGCGAGAAAGGGAACACAAGCAGGGGGAGTGGGAGAGGGAGAAGCAGGCTTCCCACTGAACAGGGAGCCCAGCGCGGGGCTGGATCCCAGGACCCTGGGATCATGACCTGAGCCGAAGGCAGATGCTTAACGACGGAGCCACCCAGGTGCCCCTCTTAATGGTATTTTTAGATGAGCAAAAATTAATAATTTTAACACAGTATGATATATCAGTTTTTCCCTGTATGCTTAGAACTTTTGTGTCTTAGGAAATTTTTATAGTAATTTTTAAAGACACCTTTATCAATACCTAGTTTATATTATATGCTATTTTAAAATAAGATAATTTAAGGGACTTTAATTTTAAACAATGGCTCAATTACATTGAATATAGCTATAATTACATTACAATGTTTACATGATACATTATAAATGTATATATACATATGTGTGTGTTTAGAGCTATATACACATATTCTTTGTAATATCAAATTCTCCTAGACTATGTTTCGTTTGATGACCTAAAATTCAATTTACCTAAACATTTCTCAGAAAGTTTTTCATGGAATAAAACAGGATGATTCTGTACTCTTTTCAAAATAATATATTGAGTCTTTAGTGGTGATGAAAAGTTGGAAGAGTGCTGATATATTAACATGAACATCACTAAAAGCTTGGTGTTTCAAAAGCTACATATTAACTTTGTGATACAGGTTTTCAAACACCTGAAACTCCTTTGCAATCAAAGAGAAATTTCCATTTAAAAAGATCACAAACCTAGGGCATTAACACGGATAAATCAAAAATACCAAAATTAAAAGGGAACCCTGCTGGCAAAAAAGGCAGTATGAAGTAAGGAAAATTCAGGTTAGAATATTAGGAAAAATGTTCTATAAAATCACTTTAGTCATTCTGGAGCCAGACTAGGCAAAAATCTTTGTGGAAATGGCTGGAACTTCTTTACAGAACCTCTTTAATAATTCATGACTTACTAATTCATGGCCAGATTAATCCATCTTGGCATGCTTAGTATCTGAAAAAGATTTATTAGAAGAAAGTGCCTTTTGAGCTGACAGGGAGGCACTTGCCTTAACAGAAGAGAAACCACATACAGTAGTGTCTGTAGATAATATACTGATACGTGAATACCAGAGTGACTCACTTTTAGAAAATAGGAAATAAATATCCAAGTTTACAGGACAAATTAGCAGTTGAGCACATTAAAATCTCCTGTAGTCAAACGTCTTTAGACTGAACATATTCACAGCCCTGAAGGAAGACCTAGTTCCGTAAGCCTCCTTCACAGGTCTCAAATTACTTTTCCAGCCTTATCTCCCACTGCCCTGCTACGTGAATTTGTGAATTCGTGGCTCTGGCCTGCTGATTCTCAAAGGAGAGGATCTGTCCTCCTCCCACATCCTTTCCAAAACTGGGGAGCCTATAAATATTGCTTGACATTTTACCTCACTTTGCTGGCACCATTGTCTCCCACCCCGAGGGGCTCCATACCCCTAATCTCCCTGACAAGCTCTGCTGGATTCAATCATGGTTCCTGGATCTTTCAGAAAGCTGAGGAGGAAAAACAGTTGCCAGAAACTTCTCTAACCCATTTTCCCCCATTGCCCCTAAACATTTCTCATGCATTTTCTCCCTCTTCTAGACCACTGTTGCTTCCTCTTGGGTTCTGTCAAATCTTGCCAAGGTCCTGGCCCTCCTTTATCTTGTGTCCTCTGAATTCCTCCCCTGAGCACTACGACCCAGAGAGACTTCCATCTTCATACCTCTCGTGCGTGCCTTATCATGACCTAAAGTTCTCAAGACTATTCTTGTCCGAACCTATTCAAGCATCTTCCCCTCTTGAGAGGGAAAGAGGAGAAGACAATGAGAGTAAGGTTGCAAATGACGGTGATGACTGTGATGTTAATGGCCGCGGCGGTGGGGTGTATCACATAATCCCCCTTCCCATGTCTGTATCTATAAAGCCCCAGACTGGGGAGTAGGATTCTCATCAAGAGTCTCGGGAAGGCAAGGGGTAGGTAAGAAGAACGATCTGGGAGGCAGATCTTTTTGCTGGCACTGAATGAGTGACCTTTGGGATTCCCTTCACTTCTCTGGTCTCATCCATAAAATGAGGAATGTGACTGCACAGGTTTCAAAGGTCCCTGATGCCTCCCCAGAGCTCTGTGGCCCTCCTGGGTTTATAAGGTGTTGATTAACTCTGCCAAGACAGCTGACCTTAGATCTCCACCCCCTATGCCCTGTGACTCCTAGGCCCCAAACACACACAGGAATTGAACGTCTTTCTCTCTGTTGTTCCTTGGGGCTGCAGGGGAGCTAGCCAGTCTCTCCACATGAGGACCTTCGGCACAGTGTCTCTCCCCTCCAACTTATCAGCCTGTGACCATATCACTGTTTCGTCACAGACCCAAGTTCAGATAACTATTCTGAGTTACAAATACACTAATTCACTTTATTATTCAGGTTTGTTAAAAGAAACAGATGTATTTTATGTACCAGTCACTTTACCTGAGGACAGCTCAGTAGACGACCAGGGTGGGGAGCAGTGTGGGGGTGGTGAGGGGGCGGTGGTCCTGGGGGGCAGGCACAGACTGCCCTTCTGCATGCATTTGTGCAGAAGAGGAGACTGACAGGCCTTGGATGTTAATCTGCCATGCTTTGGCTGGTTACTTGCATGTGTTTTGTGTGTTTGTTTTTTAATCTGCTCACCCTTTCAAAGCCAGGATTATTATCTCCTTTTTTTCAGGTGAGGGAGTGGAAGTTCAGGGGCTTAAAGTAACCGGCCCAAGGTCACAGGAGATGCCTTGCACAGGTGGGCAGCCAGGGCTGGCTTCCCCACCATGCAGAGGGCCCATAAGAGAGTTTTCAGTATAAACATCATAGTAATGAAGAGATAATAAAGAATCCAGCTCGTGTCTTCATACCAATGCAGCCGTGAAATATAACGTTCAGGGTTGGTTTGTTTGTTTTTTAATAGGGGAAAGAGCCCATCAGGGAGTTAGTGCCTAGGACCCACGGATCATAACGGGTTCCTGCACGTGGCCTCTGCTTTCAGCAAGAACTTTCTAACTTAGGACACAAGCCCGCTGCTATGAGGTTATGCCCAGGAAATGTGAACTCTCTTTGTTTCCAGGGCTGCAACTCCCATCCCATTTTCCCGCCTGCTTCGTTGAAATGCAGATTTAATATCAAGTAAATAGCTCTTTGCCCCTGGTTCCGGTGGACCAAGGGCTTGGGGGAGAGGGGCATTTGCCAGGAAGATAGGCCACTAGGAATATGCCACAGGGCAGGGGTCACCTAAAGTTCTGCGGAAGTAAATGAACCATATACACAGGAAATTTAGGTTTGAGCAGAGACAAACGGGGAGATGTTGACATTCGCTTCATTAGGACTCAAAAATATTCACCCGGGCAGCCGGGCTGAATGCAGTTTTATGCTTGGGGCATGCACTATCTAAAGGAAAAACAATTTTAAGGCTGTAAGGGAAAAAAAGAGCTCATTCCATTAATGACCTTATCTTTCCACTCCTGAGGCTAGAAGCTCACTTTCAGACAGGCCACATCAGGCAAAGAGTTCCACTCACCTGAAAGACGACTCTTGAGCTTCATTTTACTGCTGCCCTGTTTGGGACTTTCCAGGTTTCCCTTGGATTCCTCGGGGCCACCGGAATCTTGGGGCTCATCTGACGCAGGCATCTGGAAATGCAGAGAACACCGAGCTGATGGGAGAGGCGGGCTTGCAATCACTGATGAGATCTCCTCCCAGAGGTTATCTCAAGGCTTGAAGAGCAGCAATACAGGTATCATGTGAGAAAAAAAGCTTCCCGGGATCAAAGCACAGCCCCTCTGATAACCTGGAACCATACAGCCTTATGCTGGCAAGTTCCTCCTCAGCATGCAGCCCCTGCACAGCACAGAAACGGCAGGTTTCAAAGTGGAAATAGTCCCAGAGGCCACTTCATTTCTGGAGGAAACTTGTTGGTCAAGGTCTCCCAGGGGGTCGGTCACGGTCTCCCAGGGGGTCGGTCACAAAGCCACAACGATAGCCCAGGTCTCTTGGCTTGTGGGCTAGTGCTTTTTCCTATGGCGCAAGTTGCAAGAAATACTAAACCAGGGCGCCTGGGTGGCTCAGTTGGTTAAGCAACTGCCTTCGGCTCAGGTCATGATCCTGGAGTCCCGGGATCGAGTCCCGCATCGGGCTCCCTGCTCGGCGGGGGGTCTGCTTCTCCCTCTGACCCTCCTCCCTCTCATTCTCTCTCTCTCTTCTCTCTCTCTCTCTCTCTCTCTCTCTCTCTCTCTCGCAAATAAATAAATAAATAAATAAAATTAAAAAAAAAAAAGAAATACTAAACCAGAAATTTAAACTCAATTCTGAAATACAGCAAAACATTAATTTTTTGGCAGCCAAATAACTACACCCCTTGGGTCAACCACACTGTCTGTGTACTATACTCCTGAGTACTGATTAGCACTGCTCGGCCACGTGCAGGTAGCCCCAGAAAGTCAGCCCACACGTCTGTATGTTGTACGCATGCTACCAGACCCCAAGGGGTGATACAGAAAGAAAGGTCTCAAGGGTCTGTCTACAGGGTCCTCTGAGAGAAGCCAAAAATGCTAAAACAGCAACGACAAAATACTACATTTATTAGAGAAGAAAAGGAGACTTATATGCTTGAGAGTGTATATAAAAAATTGGGGAAGTAAATTTACATGTATAAAACTTAAGAGATACATCAAACAATGAGTTTTCCCATTTGAAATTTTATTTTCCTTTGAGCTTCTGAAGGGAAAAAGTCATATTAATTAAAACAGGTAGGATTCATGTGAAGAAACATGAATTTAAAAAGATATAGAAGATATCCTTAAACACTTCATCGTCATCGAAAAGTCACATAATTATAATGTAAAAAAAACCACCCCAAATCCTGAATGTTAACTGATAATAAAAATTATACACTGTATATCAAATTCAGTATATGAAAATGCATAATCTCCCAGATAAACCTCACCTCCTTCTAAGACGTAATTGTTTATATGTAAATCTTTTTTTAATATATGTATTTTTGTATTTTAAGTAGGCTCCACACCCAACATGGGGCTCAAACTCATGGCCCTGAGATCAAGAGTGGCATGCTCCACAGACTGAGCCAGCCAGGTGTCCCTATATGTAAATCTTATATGTAATATAGGAGATTTGCAAAATTCCCCCTTCCCCTATAAGTTCAAGTATCTCTCCGGATGAGAAAGGAAAAAAAACGTCTGAGAAATGAGGAGATGCAGGCAAGTTGAGGAAGGGGCCGTGGGAAAGCAAATGAATCCCGATACATAAAACAAAGATACATTTGGTGAGTCCCTATTACAATGTCGGGGATTGGCAGGTCTCCAGGTTTAAATTATGAAGTAAAGGCAAGAATGGAATCCTGAGGATGATTTTAGAGATTCTCAAGAGGGATGTCTTTCCCAACCCCAAATTGTAACATTTAATTCACACCCAGTGCAAAAGAACCCTCTTGGAGACCTGCCAGAGATCTGAGGCACAGGAGGAGACATGCAAATAGGAATAATCCAGAGAGAAGCCTCAGGGCCTCCCCTTTGCTTAATTTTAAAGCTTTATGGAAAGAACCTGTCTCTGGACTATAAACAGCAATTACTGGAGACTGAGTTAAGTTCCTGGTTCTTTCTCTCATACCACCTGACCCAGGTTATCAGGCTATGGAGAAGAGTATTTCTCAGCTTGTAGGTCATTACCTCCTCGGTGCCCAGTCAGTGGGTGGATTACTCCACAGTGGCCAAGGCCCAGACCATCAGAAAGCATGTCCGAGGAGCTCGTGTCACGGGAAGAAAACAATCCCAGCCCACTGTTTCTGAACTTAGGAAGTTTCCTTCTTGCATTTTTTCTCTGTTTTTTCAGCGTGGTCCCAGTTTTTCATGCAATCGGAGGAATTTTGGAGATGACATAAGCCCTCATATGAGTAACCCAAAGGAAAGTGACCTGCTCAAGGCTTTTCAACTCATTACAGGCAAGGCTGAGACTCCTCAGTCTCCTGATTTCCAGCTTCATGCGTCATGAGGATTTTCCCTCCCTCCATTCTTAGATGCTTTTTAATTAAGTTAACACTTTGGATGATCAATACCGTACCATACTGTATAGTTCGTATTCCTGACATTTTTCCCATTTAGTGTTCCCAGCAAACATGGGTCCCAAGGTAAAAAATATTCTCTCCATAGACAGATGAGGAAATAAATGGAGACCCTGAAGTAACACCTTTTTGTTTATAACATATATCCGAGAGCTAGGCTAGATCACGTGTGCAGAGAATGAGCGTGCAGGATGAGTGGTGTAGTTTTACAAGAGCGAATACACACTGTGTCAAATCTATGTTCTTGTGATGCGAGCCCAACTGCAGCCAACTCTTTATTTTCAGAATCTGAGAGAGGCGGTTTAGAAGAGAATCACAGCCTTAAGGAATAACCTTCTTTTTTTAATCTTGAATGTGCCAAAGAATGAGATGACATTTGGTTTCTATGATCTATAAAATAGCATTTCTTATACCAAGGAAATCTTACACGAAAGATGGTGTGTGTTACATTACCACCGAGAGCTCGTAACTAAAACCAATCAGAATGGACCTAGAGACATCTTGAAGAGGTGCAAACAGTCACTGTTGAGCTCAAGGCAGAAGCACAATCTGATTTCAGAACCCCCAGAAAGTGCACGGTGTTCTGAATTTAAACAGAACCTTTTCCTCTTGCAACAGAAACCAGTCTGCCATGATTTGAGGCGGTTTGGAACTCAAGAAACAGGGAGTAACAACATACAAAGTGCAATTTTGATCACAGTGCACCTCTCTTCAGTCTTCTGACTATTGTCTGAAAATGCCGACACTCTAAAGAGACCCTTTGCTGTATTTTTATTTTTTTAGATGCACAGAACAAATCAAACTGTTCTGGAAATGATGTCATTTTAGTTGTTCTAAAACGAAATGTGCAAAAAGTTCTCCTGGAAAGCCTTTGGTTCAGCTGGTATAATCTATTATTCATCAGCAATTTCCAATTCATGTGTTATATACAACAATGCCATTATATTAATGGAATCTAATATAATTTGCCAATTTCCAAGTTAGAGGCTTTCTGTTTGTACAGTTTTCTACACTTGTAGCCTATGAGATTCTCTCTCACTGAAGAAGAATCTTTAGCTTCTGGTTTTATAGTGAGATGGTAGAGCAGAATGGTTAAGAATCCAGCTGCCTGGATACAAATCCTGGTTTATTAGCAATTTAGGCACATGAGTCATCCTCCTTGAGCTTCAATGTCCTCATCTGAAAGATGGAGTTTGATTTAAGAATTAAGTGATAGTTGTTTTTTTTTAAAGATTATTTATTTGTTAGAGAGCACGAGCAGAGGGAGCGGCAAGCAGAAGGAGAAGCAGGGTCCCCACTGAGGGAAGAGCCCATTCTGGGACTATCCTCAGCACCTGAGCTGAAGGCAGATCCTTAACGGACTGAGCCACCCAGGCATCCCTAAGTGATAGTTTTCTGATTAAAGATGGCAGATTTCTCTTTTTCCCCTCATTTGAACCCACACTCAAATGACAGAGATTTTAAAATGAAAGACATAATCCCATAGGGCAAAGAGAACAGAAGACAAGAGCAACAAAATTCTGGAAACCAGTAAGCAGACGAATATGTGGTAATGGATCCAACTTGAGAAAACCGAGTTCTAAGCTGGGATCAGAGAAAGCTAAAATGCAACCCAGTTTGAACAGGACCCCCCCCCCCCCCCGCAAAGGAATTGTGAGGTCTGGGAGGCCAGTTCCTGACCACAATTAAAGTGGGTGTCACACGAGTGGGGAGACACTTTAGTTTTTACTAGATTGGAGGGCGTGACTGGGGACTAAAGAAATCCTGAGAAAACCTGAAGAAACTTAAATCCTGAAAAATCTAAAGAAAACCTGAGAAAAAGAGGCAACACCACGGGGAACAGAATGCAATGATGCTCCTAGGGACATCTCAGGCCCAGAAGACAATCAGAGGTGATTTAAAAACTGCAGAGCTTGAGTAAGAGGATTTGGGATAGCTCTATAGAGAGGGATCAGAAAGTTTGGACAGATTTAAAGGTGAAGGGTGAAGCAGCCCAGGAGGAGATTTAAAAAAATTCCTGGGTCAATTTTAAAGGGACACAGTTACTTTTGTTGGCCTGACGGAAGTGGCCTGAGAAATGTATGAGATTACAACAGGAAAGGAAGCAAACATGAGACATACCAAGGGGAGCCAGGCAGGATGATAATAGGCCAGAACTTGATGTTGGTCAGGTGGGAGAAAATTTCCTGGCTGGAATTAGCCAACTCAGAGGTGGCGGTGGTCAAGATGCATATGAACAATGGATACTTTAGAAAACAGAAGACTCGTTGATTCCATATCTTTCACAATGATGAGCCCCACAGGACAGAATCTAGAATAGTATCTTAGGGGAAAAAAAATCTACATCAGAAAGCAAAGGAACAGGGGAAGTTAAAAGAAAAAAAAAAAGCACGCAGACTCAGCAAGCAGGGCTGGGAAAGAAGACAGGAATCCTTTCAAACAGCAGGTTAAACAGAAACTCAAGTGGGTCTTCCCAAAAGGAGATGGATAGGAAACTCTAGAGACATATCCAATTACTGCCCCAACATATGTAGCAGAAAGCCCTGTTACTCAACCCCTGGAACATTCAAAACCTGAGGAAAGACAATCAAGGAGCAGGTGGCAGAAGTATTAGCCCTTATGAGCTCATTAGAGGTGTAAGCTTTAGAATCATCAACAGCAGGTCTGGTTCATGAATCTGCAGAGGGTGTTTTTCCAGCTGAATCAATGGGGAGGAGAAACGCAGCTTTCTCTAGTCTCAGCACTTCTCTGCATTTCTAAGAGGTGGTGGAAATGGAAAATGTGGCCCTGGACTGAGAAGCCTGCACCAGAGAACACAGAAGCTCTGTCAGGCACAATCCACACCCGATGCAGTGCATCAGGGAGCCCTCCACTTCCATCTCAAAGTGCAAGTGCAAATCAAGCAAATTTTGAATATAAATGAAAAGTACTTTAAGTAGGACCAACTTGATTTCCCCCATCCAGATTGAGAGGAGGATTTCTCTCAGCTGAGTTTAAATTCATGGCCATGGACTCTAAATAACTACCACAGACTGAGTTGTATTTGGAGAAGACAAGAAAATTTCCATCAGCTGTCCTTTATTTGATATGACTGGGTCTCTGCTATGGGCTGCTGGGAGACCATCGTCCATGGGTCTCTCCCATTTCTATGTGGCTTGTGAACAGGGGCATAGGCTGTTTTCACTCTGGATTAACTATCTTTTCGAGGATGTTTGTAGAGCAAACCACCTTGAAAGTCAGAGATAGTGTCTCTGGAGGAAGAGGCAGTTTTGTTTATCATCCAGTATAATAAAGATAATATCTCTCTCTGGGGCAAAGGGCAGTCAGATTTGCTTCGAGCCTATCATAAAAGATGCAGGTTGCCAACAATCAGGGTTCCTTAGCTGTGATACAAATCTACTGCATGTGCATCTACTGGAGCTCCTCTGTATCATTCCCATAGGACTTGGGGCTGCAGGAGGACATTATGCAAACATGATGCTCTAAACCGGGATTGAATCCTAAACTGGGATTGGAGAAAGCCAAAAGCTACTTGCTGTGCCGTCAGTAATAAAGTCGTTTGTCTCTGACCCAGGAATCTCATGTCTTGTGCCAGCATCCATGAAACCATAGTGTAAAATCTCAGACTTTTTACAATTCTTGATGTGGTCTTTGGGCAAAATTAAATAAGGTCCTGAGAACAAAAGTTTGCCTGGGACAACAGTTTAGGAATGAGGGATTAGCTCATTTTTCTAAATGTCAAGGGTATAGGTCCATTTACTCTTTGTTCATTTACATTTCACTAAAAGGGAAAGCATACAAGAAACTTGCTGTTGAACAAATTCAACTTTCTTGGAGCTGAAAGAGTCATATTTGTTCCAGTGAGCAGTCACCCAGGCTGCAGATGCTGAAGAGCACAACCTCTCCCCAGCATCAAGAATCTCATTTGTGAAGATGGAGCAAAAGAAAGAATAGGAGAAATTGAAGGAGGCCATTAAGTGCTTTGGTTTTTAACTCAAAAGGTGAGGGAAATTCAAGATTGGATGTTAATTACTTTTGATTTTAATGTCTTTGGATTATGATTTATAAGGAGGTTTGAATATGTTGGGATTGTAATTATTTAAATATCATTATTATGTTGACATTTTCACTCTTTGTAGCACCTCTGAAAAGCTGCACTGGACAATGAGGCTAGAAATAATTTTGTAGGAGAAACAGCCTAGGAGTTTTAGCTTCTGGTAAATTTTATTCTTCTGGAGGCAAGGAGCAAACCATCATTACCTTAGAGACAGGCCCCCTGGGTCCAAGTTAAAAGTCTAGTACTTAGAAATGTTCTATAACTGCTGTCCAAACCATTTATGAGATCTCCTTAAACACATTGTAACTAATATAATGGTGAACCCTGAGCATCATCTGTCTTTCTCAGCAAACTTTTGAAGTCTTACAAACCAACCATGCAAAGTGTGGCTTTTTTCATCTCCAACCATCTCCGTTGTGCAAGCAAATCTGATCCCAAGGAAAACTGCAGGAGGACGGGTTGCACCCAGTTCATGCCATGTTTTTATGGTTCCCAGCACTTGGGGAAAAAAAAAATCTGCAGATGTGACAGAAGATATCCAAGCTCCAAATCCCTAGGAAGCTGTACTGGCTCATCCCCCTGGTCAGTATCTACAGGACAGTGGAGCGTGGTGATTTCCCTTTTATGCTTCAGTCACACTCAGATTATTTTTAGGCTGCCAAAGGAAGCTCATTTTCCAAATCTCTGGGGCAGATGTTTGAGTGACCAAAGGAGAACCAGATGGCCATCAGAGAGGCCAGGGCTGGGAATGAATAACCATTCAGAAAAAGGGAATCAGAACAACAATAAATCAGCCCAAAGCAGCAAGAAGCCTGTGAGTTGACTGCAGAAATTAAAACAGAAATCTGCTGGGGACGCCTGGGTGGCTCAGTCGGTTAAGCGTCTGCCTTTGGCTCAGGTCATGATCTCAGGGTCTTGGGATCGAGTCCCGCATCGGGCTCCCTGCTCAACAGGGAGTCTGTTTCTCCCTCTCCCTCTGTCTCTTCCCCCTGCTTGTGCTCTCTCTCTCAAATAAATAAATAAAATCTTTAAAAAAAAAAAAAGAAAGAAAGAAAAAAAAAAACCCAGAAATCTGCTGCACTAGAGTCACTGCTTTCCAACGAAGGGGACTCAGGACTGATGAGGAAAACAGTAAAGCTGAAAAGTAAAACTTACCAGACCCCAGAATGTTCTAGTACACACAGAGTGTGTGTGCAGAGTGTCAGAGGCAGCTGGGGAAAAGCCGCAACTGATATAGACCCAGGCATTCAGGCTGGGGCTCTGAAAATGAAACAATATTGTCCTTGTTCTGAGCCTGTTTCTGGTTTCCTCCCATTGATCATCCCCAAACAATTTGAATGGGCTTAACATACTTTGTTGGTGATTATTTGGATGATTTCTATGCATACAAATTAAATAGATTTCTTAGTCCCTTGGAAAGTCGAGGCAAAGAAATCACCTTTAAGGATGTCGGAATGTAATCAGTCATTGGCCCACGTCTGCCTCTCCCGTGGCGGGTTTGTACGTGTCACCATGCCAAGAAGAGGACAATGTCCTCAAGTGACTCAGTTCTTCAAAAATAACAGGAGATACAGATCGCAAGAAGGAAAATCTGTACATGTCTGTCCTTGGTATTGATTTCAAATTGAGGCAAGGCGAGGGCAGACATTATCTACAAAGCAGGAATCTATCATTCTCGCCGTATTCCATGACCCAGCGGGTGAGAAAAATGTGGAGCTTGCAGCTCTCTTTTGGCTGGTGGGCTGGCTACTAAAGGCAGATCTTTGGGTCATTTCTCAGCAGGAGCGGGCTGCCTGCTCTCCTTGGACGTATTTCTGGGAGCAGGACAATGACTTTTTTTTTTTTTTTTTTTTTTTTAGGGAGGGAGAGATGGGAGAAGGGGAGAGGGAGAGAGAGAATCTAAAGCTGGCTCCACACCCAGCGTGGAGCCTGATGCAGGCCTCGATTCCACAACCCTGAGATCACAACCCGAGCCAAAATCAAGAGTCAGACGCTCAACTGACTAAGCCACCCAGGCGCCCCTGATAGTCTTTATCCTAAACTCCAGAATGATAAACTCATGTGTGTGTAGGAAAATATCAAGACACACAAAAAGTAGAGGTGGGTGAGCTATCAGAAAAGAAAGGCATGTTAAGAGAGACCCAAGAAGCAAGCGGGAGGGATGGAGGAAAAAAAATAAGGCATGAATTAAAACACTCCCATACAAATGTTTTCTCTCTACAAATGTTTCTTTAGAGAAAGTTTTACATGATTATCTGGCTTAGAAAAATAGAAGATCATTTTAACTGAACATACCATCCAGGCAGGTTTTAGATGAAGAGTAACTGATTGGGCTGAAGACACTGCCGCTAAGTGTTGATGTTCTGGCAAGTTCCAGGGGGCACCCTGAGGCCTTCTGCTGCCTTTTCCAGATCAACAGGATTTGTACCCTCAACTCTTTATTTTCCAGGACTGGTACTAACTTCATGCTTATTTGCTGATATATATTTCCAAGGGTATGCACTTCTTGAAGAATCTGACTGGAGAGCTGGGGTGTGTTCATGGGAGCCCATATAGGAAGCAATAAGAAGAGAGGCTCATTTTTCTAAATGTCAAGGGTATAGGTCCACACATGGTCATCTATAGAGGGGTTGGCAAACTGCTGTGTGGGGGCCAAATCTGGCTCAAGATCTATTTTTGTAAAGTTTTAGCAGAAGTCAGTCACTCCCATTAGTTTACTTATTGCCGATGACTGCTTCTGCACTACAAAGGCAGAGGTGGATGGTTGCAACGGAGACTGGCCAGCAAAGCCTGAAATGCATATGATCTGGCCTTGTAACTGCTGATCTCTCACCTATAGTAATAGTTCATACCCTAGGCGTCCACCTTCCCACCTCTACCCCTATCCAAAGTCACTGTGAACAAACTTGAGAAATTTTAGGAAACATAATTTAGTAAGTTGGAGGGAAGGTACTGACAATCAGAGACATCTTAAGGAAGCTGCTACTGGAGACAAGGCTTACTGGTCTACCGTGGTATTTCCTCTGAGAACATCTTTGGCATCCATGCTTTGTGATTTTATCTTTAAATTTCATTTTTAAATGATACTGATAAGAAACTCATTTGAAATAACAAGGGTTCTCTTTTTAAGATGCACATAATTTGCTAAGTGTCACAGAATTATTGGCCACCATTGAGACTGGTTTAATCAGATCGCTTTATCAGCAAACAGGCTGCCTGGAAGAAATGGAAAAGATTTTGCTTGTTGGATGGCCTTTGTTGTTATTGATGTTGGTAGCGAAAGTGGGGGAAATGACATGGAGAGGAAGGATAGAGGACTTCTTGGGAGCCTGGAGTCTCCTAGGGGCCGGGGAAACTGTGGGTACCCACCGTAGGGAAGCTGAGAGCAGTATGAGGGCACCAGGCTTCAGGAAATCTGTGAAGAGAGGGACTAGCAACTAAGGAGCAGAGGACAGAAGTTGGAGGTTTTGAAGGTAAACAAAATCCTATTCCAACTATTGCTTAGGGTTGGCCCTGCCTTCACAAAAAAAGGTGGGGAGGAAATTCTTCTCATCCTTTTCTACCACCAAGGACCCCTTGATTGCAGAAGCCAGCACTCCACCTGCTAGGCTGGCCCTGCTCCCTTCCTCCACTGACCTGTCAGTCACACTGCCTCCTGCCTTTCCATCTTCATAGCCACCTTCCCTGCAGCACAGGCTCTGATCACTTCCCCGTGGGGCTACAGCAAAGGCCTCCACACCTGTCTCTGCCTCCACCACTGCTCTGCTTTTCTTCAGTCTAGTTGTTTCCCTACTTCACTGTCGGAGTAATCTTAAAACAAATACTCTGACTCCGTCACTCAACTTGAAAACCATCACTGACTCCAGTATTTGTAAGATAAGTCGAATTCCTTAGTCTCCAACTAAAAGCACGGACTGAATATCTATGTTTCATAGACTATTTGCTGATCCTTGAATGTAAAATTTCCTATTTGAGGACCACTGTGCATGTTGTTCTTCTGCTCTAGAGTATCACCCATTTCTGTGGGTGTTCCTATGGAAAATCTATGGAATAGTCAAACACCACCCCATCCATTGAGCCCTCCCAGATTCCTGGAAGGAATCAGATGTCCCTCCTCTGGGTCAATATGGCATATGGCTCCTAAGAATTTATTACATGGAAGAGGGGAATACGAAAAGTATAGTAACAACTATAATTCATTATGGAATAAAATAAATCCTGTTAAGAGAGGAAGACTGTGTCTTTATCTCTTTGTGTCCCCCAGAGTCCCCAGCACAGCTCTCAGCAGCATGTGGATGGCAATATCAGGCTGGCTATAGTCCAGCGTTGGCTCCTTCCGGGACCTGGTTGTGAGCACCTGCAGGGCCACATCACCAGCTTCTGTGGTTGTATCTGGTGTCAGAGCAAAGAGTGTCAGGAAGAATTAGAGATGTCCTCAGCTTTTGGAGCTGAGGAGAGGGTGTATGAGTGTGACATGCGGGCTATCTGTCTCTACTGGCTTAAAAGATAATTCCACAAATATCTATTAAATAAATATGTCTGTTGCTAGAGGAAATAAGTTTGAATATCCACACAACAGCTTTACCAAAAAATTTTTGAAAACATCTCCTCCATTTATAAATCAGGAAGGGTCTGATTTTAAGTATTATGGTATGAGAAATAGACGAATGAAATTGGCAGAGAGAGACAGAGGCTGACACTATTAGAAAAGTCTCTTTGAAAGATGAGGGGGGGCCTCAAAATCTTGATAGACACAAGTAGAGGGAAGGATATTTCAAGTGAAGGTATAAGAGAAAGAACCAGAAGGGAGTGGCATGGTTTTCTTTTTCTGCAAATGTCATTTACTAAGACCAGCCAGTATTTACATAAAAAGCTCAGCAAGTAATAACAAGCAAACAAGCAGCAAACAAAAAGCTAGGCAAGCAAACAACAATAACAATAGGGTTGGGGAGAACTCTATTAACTTTAAACAAACCTATTTCTTTGAGAAATGTCTGCCCTGGATTCCACAGGGGAACTTCTGATCTCTTCTATTTTGCTTTGTTTTTATTTCCAGGCTCTGGACTACTGTTTTGCCTAAGATGTAGTGAAAAAGAGAAAAACACCCCCCAAACTCCAACTCTTCCATTTCTCATGAAGTCTGCAAGTGAGGTGTGGTTTTTTCCTAGCATACATTGTCTGTTTGTCTAATTCATCTATGCACTGTCAAAGTGGTTTTGTCATCTTCCTAAAAATCAGCACAATAACTGGAATTGAAACTAAGTGGGGATATCCTGTTTCTCTTAAGAGAGTAAGAATCTGACTGTATCAGCATGATCTCCATTTACAGTCTCAAAAGACACATACATCTCAAGGATTTCTGCTACCTTCAAGGCTGACTGAAGCTCATAAACAAATAAGATAGATTTCCTAAGCTATACGGTGCACAAATGGGTCACATCATCCCGTTTTTTCCTCCTGTGCAATTGCCATCATTTTGTCTAGGGCAGAAAAAAGTTTTCATTTCAGTTTCATTTCTGAACTGCCTACCTTCCTCAAGTCTTAATATATCCATCTTTACATTTCAATGTGTGGATCACAGATTTAAACTCCCAAAGGACATAGAAAACTAAATTATTAGGGGTGATATTTATAAGAGGGAAATTCGTAATAGGGGGCAGGGCTGAAAGGCATCTTGGAATATGGTAATGGAATGAATACATGAAGACAGGAACCAACTTACCTGAAGTCGTAAAGTCACGTCATGACTTCTATGGTGTTATTTTCACAAAAGAAATTAATGAGAGGGCAAAGAAATAGGATTACATGCTCTAGTAGAACTTAGTTTATTTTCACTGAAATTTGAAGGAATTTTTCAAATTCAGAAGGCGATAATAAAGTCGACTGCCTACTAAGGGGATTTCTTGAACTGTATTTCACAAGGCTCCAGGCTGGAATGTCAGCTTTCGTGGATGGTGTAGCCACCAAGCACTCCCAACATAGAGTCATATATTATAACCCTATGCTACTGGACTAATGTGTACATACATTGTAAAACCCCAAACAATCTAAAATGAAATAATATCTATATAAGTTCTCCTACTTTCCACGCACGCTCTGCGGGACAGTCTGGTATCTGTGTTCACCCCGCAGTTGAGACCCCTGAGCAGAGAGTGTAGACAGTATTTGCTTTTTTAAATGCAGATCACTTGAGTTGTTTACTTCCTTGAGAAGTGCAAACTGCTCATTTGGAAAATGCAGCACAGAGCCAGGTAACAAGTTGGAACAAACCCCAGAAAATGTGCCACGGGACTCAACCTAACGCAAACCTCAGCAGTTTTCTGGGCCATTTATCCAGGCCGAATAATTACTCTTATCTTACCTTCCCCCCACCCATTTAAATAATCACTTCATCTCCTTAAGTATGAAACCAAACCAAACAAAAACCACCCCCAAATTTAAATCTCATTTTCCTAGACCAGCAATAACTTCAGGCCTTGTCTTATCTTGTTCTGGCAATTCCGCATCCTGCGCTGAGCTTCACGCAGCCTCTTACACGTGGCCCGAGCCCGCTGACGTCTGGCTTACAGAGCATCTAGGTGAGCGGAGACCTGCGTGGGAAAGTCTCGGACTCTGAGGGGAAAGAGAGGGTAGTTCAGCATCCAGGACTGTGGAATGGAAAATGTACAACTCGGGGAACTGTGGGTCAGTATATGCGTCACTGCCTGCTTTGGGTTGGTGCTGGGAACAGTAGTCTGTGTACCAGGAACTGGCTGGTGTCCGCAAAGGCAATGAGAAGAACTATGAGATACATGAAAGTCTCTGCTCAGGAGGATCCCGAGTGGGCTGGGGGAGTCTGTATTTCCAAGTTTCCCACGAGCACCTCAACCATATGGCCTCACTCCCTCATCCCAAACTATGGAAAGGAGGGAGGCCGTTGGGGGCCTAAAAGGTCCCTTTGTCTCAACAGGTCTGGGGGCTCATCCAGCCCCCAGCCGGGAGACTCAGGAGCCCTGCCACGAGGCAGCTGGTCTTGGAGACTGCCACATGGCCAACAAAGGGTGTATTTGAACCTGCTGCTTCCGACAGCAGTCAACTTCTCCCCCAAGTTTGCTTTTCAACATCTGGGTGAGCATCAGAATCACCTGGGAAGCTTCTTTTTTTTTTTTTTAAAGATTTTATTTATTTATTTGAGACAGAGAGAACGAGAGAGCACATGAGAGGGGGGAGAGTCAGAGGGAGAAGCAGACCCCCCGCCGAGCAGGGAGCCCGATGCGGGACTCGATCCCGGGACTCCGGGATCATGACCTGAGCCAAAGGCAGTCGCCCAACCAACTGAGCCACCCAGGCGCCCTTTTTTTTTTTTTTTTTTTTAAAGATTTTAAGAATCACCTGGGAAGCTTCTGAAAACTAATTCCTGGGCCCTACCCCACTCCAACCAGGACCCCGGAGATCTGAGGACCAGCTGAAACCATGCCCTCCCTGTGCATTGTAGACACAGAAGAGTGCGGAGCTACCTGTGCGCATGGGTGCATCTGCAACCCACAGTCATTCCACCGGCACATTTGAGAAGTGCTGTGAACGCCTTTCTGAAGACATTCACCTTTTCTTCCCCGGCCCTTTTGCTCTTGCTTTTCCCTCATAGCTGCCTTGAGCCATAAGCATGACTCGTCTCGGGGGGACAAGCAGAGCTAAGTAGGCTTCTCTCTCACCTAGCTGATAAAGGCAAGGTTGGGGCCAGCTGATCCCCAAGGTTCCCTGTAGCTCAGACACTTCGCAGTTCTATTTATCAGAATCCCCATCTTTGAGACTCTCCTTTCCATGATCTTTTCCCTGGTACGTTTTTGGCTCATCTTTTTTTTTTTTTTAAAGATTTTTATTTATTTATTTATTTGAGACAGAGAGAATGAGAGAGAGAGAGCATGAGAGGGGGGATGGTCAGAGGGAGAAGCAGGCTCCCCGCTGAGCAGGGAGCCCGATGCGGGACTCGATCCAGGGACTCCAGGATCATGACCTGAGCCGAAGGCAGTCGCTCAACCAACTGAGCCACCCAGGCACCCTGGCTCATCTTTTTTCACTTACAGTCCACATACTACTTCACCAACTCCCTTGGAAAGTTTAATCTTTTGTTGTTGCTTTCGATTTGTTAAAAGAAAAAAAAAATCAAGTCCTAAATTCCATCTCTAGCCTGTGCCTACCTTAACCGAACAAAAAGTAAAGAGATCTACTCATTTGTTAATGAGGTGCTACCACGAATGTCCTATTTTAAGGGAAGGTATGCTGTGTTTTCCCAATGCTATATGTAGAAAAATGATTTCTCTATCATCGATATTCCTGTGCCAGGTGGAAAATCCAGAGGAAGAGGCAGATAAACTTCCTAGTTTGCAGACACCAACACTAAGTGCCATGCCCATTTTAAATTCATGGCGGGCTGGTGAAGGCAGGCAAGTCAGTGGGAGATGATCAAACATGATGAGGGGGGAATGTCAACTGTCCACCTGTCCCAATATCCTTCCACCCCATACATACATGCATACTGAGAGCCAACACTGAACCCTTGGTATACATGGGGAAGCAAACCTGACATGGTCCCTGCCCACTTGGGTCCTCTACTAGTGGGGGAGGATGACATTAAGCAAGCCTGCACATGCATCTATGTATCATTATAATCTGCGTTAAGGACCATGAAGGAAAATACAGGGCATGTTACATGCTAGGCATCCAGGCATGAAGGATATGTGTATCTGGGAAGACTTCCTAGGAGAAGTGAGTCCTCAAGTTGGATGAGTAGAAAGAGGAAGACCATGTCTGACGCAGGGGAGTGAGCCATGTCTAAGCAGTTGCTGCAATTGCCGTGTACTCAGAGGCACCCTGAGGTGTGTAGCCCAGCCCACTGCACCTGGGCGAGCAGCCTGTTAACACCCTCTCCTCGAGGCTTTAGGGAAAGAACATCTGCCCCTCTTGCAAAAAGTGCAGTGTGCCCTGTGTCAGTCCCTGTGCATTAACAGTTTCATTCTGTGAAGATCTGATTTCCAGTCAGTTATGGGGTCTTCCCATTTTAATACTAGTTGCAAGTTTACATATTTGGTGCTCATTGTTCTTTGCATAAGGCTCTGGTTTGATTCACCAGGAAAAATAAAAAAATCTAGCTTAGGCACAAAACAAGAGACCGTTTCCCACCCAGGGCAGCTTGACTCAACCAGAAACGATACTTCTAGATATCGCAATACAAGTCCTCAGTGCCCAGACACTCTGGAAACTAAGGGCCGACACTTTATCAGTTACTCAATCCAAACAAAGCAGAAGAGCTCCTGTCCTTTCTTTCCATATGTAGATTAATACCCACCCCCGAAGATGCTAATTCTTCCAGAAGACTGGAATTCAGGTTCTCCCTCCTCATGACTATCCCACCATTAAAGAATCAAACACCAATACCACTTACAGAATCGTTAAGATCCAGTTTGGCGCTTCTTTCTTTTTGAAAGATGAGGTCCTTTATTCCTTCTTAAACCCTAATCACCCAGAAGTTCTCTAAGATTTTCCCCGAACTGGTGATTCCAGAAATGTTAGAACTGATTCCCTTGATGTCAAAGGAAGCCGGATACAGGCCTGCTGATTGATGTGCTAAACAAACTCTTCCGAACTGAGCCTTGACAATTGCAGGTTTGGCAAGACAATCATTACTTCCAGTTTTGTTTTTGTTAAAATAGAAAAAGGCTCCCCAACACTTAAGAGGTATCATCCAGTCCATCATGCCCTGTTATATTAAAACTCTTCTTCCTCTCTTCATTTTAAAAGAGAGGAGCCACTTTCTCAGGAGGCTAGATTTTTTTTTCCCCCTGAAAAATCTCATTTTTAAAAAGATGAGTTATGATTATTTGCAATTGAGAAAGGAGACATGTTTTTTGGAATAGCCAATAACAACACAGTTCCCACTCCTTTTATTGGAGGGCTCTCAAGTTCCCAAATGTTAGCCTGTGTCCAAATCACCTGGAAAGCCTGTTAAATGATGCTGGCTGCCAGCCTCAGAGTTTTTGACTCAGCAGGTTGAGGGTGGGACCTGAGGCTCTGTGGTTCTAACACATTTCCAGGTGATGCTGCTGCTGGTCCGGGGACCACACTTTGAGAACCACTGCTCCAGAGACAGCTTTATGATCAAGAAATATGTACTGAGGGGCGCCTCAGTGGCTCAGTCGGTTAAACGTCTGACTCTTGATTTTGGCTCAGGTGATGATCTCAGGATTATGAGATCGAGCCCTGTGTTGGGCTCTGCACTGCTTGAGATTCCCTCTCTTCCTCTGCCCCCTCCCCTCACCCCTGCTCACATGCGCACACGCACTCTCTCTGTCCCCCCAAAAAGAGAAATATGTACTGAGTAAGTATGGAACACAAGGTACTCCAGTGGATACTGGGAGCCCAAATAGATAAACCTGACTTCAAAAGTTTACAAAGTTTGAGTATTTTCTTTCTTCCCCCAAAGAGATAAGCTGCTACAAGTAAATAGAGAACAGCACCGGCTAAATGCCCAGGGAGCAGTGATCAGCAGATTCGGGAGAGAGCGCGATGTTGATAAATGTTTTGAGCAGAGGGCGGCCTTGGAGATAACTCTGAACTTGATCTGGTCCTGAGAGGAAGGTTAGTGCTTAGATAACCACGGATGAGACACACACGTAATGCCTCAAAGCAGAGCATCTCAGTTCCTTTTAACACTGACTCTCCTTTCTGTGGGGACGTTGGCAGGCAGCAGAGGAATTACGACTCGTGTCCTCCGCAGGCTTGCACACTCAGCGGCGCCATGTCATCTTGGTTCCAAGTGCGCAAAACCTGCAACTAAGCTGAGACTCCCTCAACTGGCCACAAGGACCAGAAAAGAATTACTCTTCCTGATTCTCTTATCAGCAGCAAGACCAGATCTTGCAGCGCTTCAATACCCCACAGCGTGATACCCTCAATGGTGGAAGAGGCAGGGGCCAATTCCTCTTAAGAGTGGATGGAGGAGGGCTCAGCAGGGGGCAAGAGGAGTGAAGCACAAGCGTCAGAGGCTCGTGGACCCAGGCTTGTACCTCAAGGACATAAGAGGACCAGGTGAGCACCAAGAGACAGATCAGAAGTGGTCAAGGAATGGCAAGAGAGCACAGGAGAATCCTTCCTCTTTTCAACCTCCTATTAATCCCAGACACGCTACCATCCTAGGGTGACAGAGATGCTTAAGACATCATGGTCTTTGCCCTTGAAATGTTCATGTCTAATGAAGAAGACAGAATAAAAAGATAAATTATGAAAACAAGATGGTAAGCACTATGGCAGAAGTCTATTCAACGGCAGAGCACAGACCAAATAACTCTGGGGGGCTCAGGGAAAGGTTTACTTATGGGGAGGAGTAACATTTGGGCTGGGCTGACAAGTATCTTCCAAGTCGAAAGAGCAGGTACAAAGGCACAAAGTAGTGGAGGGTTCTGGAACACCTGGGGAATGTGGATCTCAGAGTGCTAGGGAGGGCTGTGTGTGTGTGTGTATAGGGCTGCCGGGAGCATGGGCAGATGTCCGTGCAGGGTGTGTGTGTGTGTGTGTGTGTGTGTGTGTGTGTGTGTGTAGGGCTGCCGGGAGCATGTACAGACGTCCGTGCAGGCAGGCTGCAGTTTATGCATTCCATGTTAAGGACTTGGGATTTTAACTTCAGTGTGATTGAGAGTCAGTGAATAATTTTATACCATTAAGCGACATGGCCAATTTACAAATTGTCATTGCAGAGCAGAAGACAAAGTGGAGAAGACAGACTTGAGAAAGAATGGCCAGTCACGTGGACCAGGACCACAGCCAGTGTGGGGGAGCGGGCAGTCTCCCGTACTGGCTGTGGGGGGTGCGGTGAGCAGTGGCTGGTGGAGACGGAGCCCTGTCACTAAAGCCAGACCCTTCTGAGATGGATGACAATTATGCAAATGACCATGGAATTTCACTGTCCTGCTCCCACTCCCTTTTTCCTGCCTGCACTACTCAAATTTGATGTTCACCATATGGTTTTATTCCAAGCACGGCTGGACCTTTCTGAAAGGAAAATCTCCTTGCTGTCTATTGCAGCCATGAAAAATAAATCCTAAGGATGCTCATCACAGGTCCTCAGCATTTTTTTTTAAATTTTTTTTTAAGATTTTATTTATTTATTCATGAGAGACAGAGAGAGAGAGCGAGGCAGAGGGAGAAGCAGGCTCCCAAGGAGCAGGGAGCCCGATGCGGGGCTCGATCCCAGGACCCTGGGATCGTGACCTGAGCCGAAGGCAGACGCTTAACCATCTGAGCCACCCAGGCGCCCCTGGGTCCTCAGCATTTGTATTGCATTTGCTCAGCTAAGTGCTTGGAACACACTGTGACTTACAGGTGCAAAAACAGTCAATGTCTGAGTGGAGTTTGGCAGCAGGTTTAATCATTATCATCTGTGAAATAAAAGGCTTTGTAACTTGATTAAACTGTACCAGGTTTCTTTCTTTCTTTTTTTTTTTAAGATTTTATTTATTTATTTGACAGAGAGAGAGAGAGAGAGCTAGAGAGGGAACACAAGCAGGGGGAGTGGGAGAGGGAGAAGCAGGCTTCCCCCGGAGCAGGGAGCCCGATGCGGGGCTCGATCCCAGGACCCTGGGATCATGACCTGAGCCGAAGGCAGACGCTGAACGACTGAGCCACCCAGGCGCCCCAAAACTGTACCAGGTTTCTTTCATTTAAATGGTTCATTAGTATTTAAAAATGATGAAGCAGAGAGTCCTGGATTATAAACATAGAACTGAAAAAGAGAATTTTTTTTCCCCTTCAGTAGTTCAGTACCTTTATAAGGCAGAGCAACGCAGACCCTGGGCACATTGTGAAATCCAGAAAATACTTCGTGTCACCTGCCTACTTGCTGGTCCTGCAGGGCTCTGTCTCGGGCTCCGTTCTCCTGGTTGAAACCAGAGCTCAAGAGGATGGTGACACATGATTGGTGTTGAGGCATTACTGGGGAGCCAGGGAGAAACCCAGGTGTTCCCCCCCTTCGGGAGGGCTTTGCGAGGAAGGCAGAGCAGAAAGCGAAGTGGGTGAGGTGGTGTTGAGGCTCAGAGAAGGGGGAACTGTCAAAGCAGGATCAGTTTGGGTTTCGCATGGATAATGGATTTGGGATTTCTCTTTGAAAGCCTGGGGTGACATGACAGAGATCCCCTACCACACTGCACTGAGACGTGCACTTGTAGAGAATTAGTGCTGAGTTTCCCAAATAAATTATGTTATCATATAACATTGACATGCCTTTGGCAAAACTACAATAAACACATAAAATGATTATGATTAATTGGTATGATTAATTGGTAAACTTTTTTTTTTTTTAAGATAATGTTATTGGTGGTGATGGGAACTGGCCACTGCTAGATCTCTAAATTAGTAATAAATAACCTCTCTGGAGAAAACCTTTGACTAAGCAATTCTGCTTCAAGCTATTTAAGGAAATAAAATAAAAAAATGTGCCCAGAGGTACATGAATGAAGATATTCTGTACAGCATTCTTTAAAACTTTGAAAAAATCAGATCTACATGTGATTGATGAAAATGGAATTTCTGGTAAAAAACTGGTGAAATAAACTATGGCACTTTTTTGTTATGGAATACTAGCAATTATAAATCTTGCTTCAGGAGCCCCTTTAATGACATGGGGAAAATGTTCATGATTATATCACTGAAATCATTCCAAGTTTCAAAAGTAAATATAAGATCAATTAAAAATACATGTGTGCTGGGGCGCCCGGGTGGTGCAGTTGGTTAAGTGTCCGACTCTTGGCTTCGGCTCAGGTTGTGATTTCAGGATTGTGGGATCGAACCCTGTGTTGGGCTCCATACTCCGTGTGGTTCACTTAAGACTCCCTCTCCCCCTCTGCCCCTCCCCATCCCCCCACTCCTGTACACACACGCTCTTTCTCTCACAAATAAATCTTTAAAAAAAATATGTGTTTATCTACTGATTTAATGCAATCCCTACCAAAATACCGACAGTATTTTTCACAGAACTTGAACAAATAATCCTAAAACTTGCATGGAGCCATGAAAGACTCCGAATAGCCAAAGCAATCTTGAAAAAGAAGAACAAAGCTGGAGGCATCACAATCCCAGATTTCAAGATATACTACAAAGCTGTAGTGATCAAAATAGTATGGTGCTGGCACAAAAACAGACACATAGATCAATGGAACAGGATGGAAAATCCAGAACCAAACCCACGACCATATGGTCAATTAATCAATGACAAAGGAGGCCAGGATAGGCAATGGGGAAAAGACAGTCTCTTCAACAAATGGTGTTGGAAAACTGGACAGCAACATGCAAAAGGATGAAACTGGACCACTTTCTTACACCTTAAACACACACACACACACGCAAAATTTGTGGTCAAAGACTTAAATGTGAGACCTGAAACCATAAAAATCTGAAAGAGAACATAGACAGTCATTTCTCTGACATCAGTCATAGCAACATTTTTCTAGACATGTCTCCTGAGGCAAGGGAAACAAAAGCAAAAATGAACTATTGGGACTTCATCAAAATAAAAAGCTTCTGCACAGCAAAGGAAACAACCAGCAAAACTGAAAGCCTACTGAGTGGGAGAAGATATTTGCAGATGACACTCAGGCTGGTTTCATTATTTGGCTATTGTAAATAATGCTGTAACAAACATAACGGTGCATATATATATATTTTTTTAAGATTTTATTTATTTATTTGACAGAGAGAGACAGCGAGAGAGGGAACACAAGCAGGGGGAGTGGGAGAGGGAGAAGCAGGCTTCCCGCGGAGCAGGGAGCCCGATGCGGGGCTCGATCCCAGGACTCTGGGATCATGACCTGAGCTGAAGGCAGACGCTTAACGACCCAGGCGCCCCGGTGCATATATTTTTTCAAATTAGCGTTTTTGTATTCTTTGGGTAAATACCCAGTAGTGGGATTATGGATTATATGGTAGCTCTATTTTTAACCTTTTGAGGAACAGCTATACTGTTTTCCAGAGTGGTTGCACCAGTTTGCATTCCCTCTAACAGTGCACAAGGGTTCCTTTTTCCCCACATCCTCACCAACACTTGTTGTTTCTTGTGTTGTTGATTTCAGCCATTCTGACAGGTGTGAGGTGATAACCTCATTGTGGTTTTGATTTGTATTTCCCTGATGATGAGTGATGTTGAGCATCTTTTCATGTATCTGTTGGCCACCTGGATGTCTTCTTTGGAGAAATGTCAGTTCATGTCTTCTGCCCATTTTAAAATTAGATTATTTGTGGTTTTGGTGTTGAGTTGTGTAAGTTCATTAAATATTCTGGACACTAACCCTTTATCAGATAAGTCATCTGCAAAGAGGTGGCAGGGAGGAGACTCTAGATACACAGGCCTGTTCAAGGCTTATTCAAGGACCACCCCTGTAGGCTAAGGGGGCTAGAATGTGAATAGTTATCCAAAGGCCCTCTGAGGCTGCCATGCTGTGGTCAGTTGTGGGCCTTGGAGTAACCATAATTTTTATGGTGGATAAATCCAGTTAGATTTGGGTGTCATTTTCATTAGCATTCAATGAATGCTTATTCTGTTGTTTGTTTTAAAATTCATTTTGTTATTTATAACTCAGCACCAGATGTAGTGGCTAAACTCTAGGAATTCATTGGGAACCCAATCCAGTCATCACGTTACCTCATGGAGTATAGAGTTGGACGGGGGAAACAGATCTTAATCAAATAATCACAAATTCAAATGTGACAAGCAGTTCACAGGAGAGCCACAGAGTCATGCTAGGAGGTCTAAGAGATTTAATATACGTGGGTGTATTCAGGAAAAGTTTCTCTGAGGCAGTAACACTATGGCATCCCAAAGATGAATAGGAGTTATCTTATTCAGGAAGAGGATTCCAGAGAGAGAGAGAGAGAGAGAATAGCATTTGCAAAGGTCCTGTGGCAGAAAAAGATGCAGTCATCTTGAGGGACTACAGGAAGGGTGGTGTGGTGATTGCTTAGGAGTAATGATGAACTCAGTGAAAAGTAAGGTTCAAGAAGTAAGCAGGACTCAGAGAAGCAGTGTAGGCCACGAAAATTAGCTTTGTCTCTGCCTTTACTAAACATAAAAATAAGGGCAGCTACCGAATGGTATCAAAATACAAGAGATGGAAATAATTACACAGTTGTTTTTAAGCTGTTCACCTTAACCTCATTCATTCAGCTCTGGTTTATTTCCTTCACAGGTTAGTATTCTGAGAAAGTTCTCCTTTCTCGGAAGGAGAAGCAGCTGGAAAAATGTTTCCAAATCAACAATGGGCCTATACAATACCTGCAGGCAAATTACAAAAAGGCATCTCTTCTTTAAGATGCTTTCCTTCCTTGACTGGAAAATTGTCCTAATTTATTGAATTTGTTAGAGCAAAACTCTTTGCTGCCATCTTTCAGAAAATTGTCCTAATAAATATAAAAGCCTATGATTTTTATCATGCAAACGGTGCTTCCTTCAAGGTAGCACACTGTGCAATCCACACCCACACAACCATACTCAGTAGCCCTGAATCTCCAGTGATCGAAAAGAAAGGAGAAAAGCAACTTTTTCTTCCTTAAACTAAAATAGCATATTGCGTAAATGTAACAAAACATGCATTTTTGGTCTTCTGAGGCCTAATTATAACCACAGCGAATTTTCCAATGCTTACCCATGCTGCCTGGGTTTAGTGCTGGTGGGAAAGAGTTAGAGGCTCCAATGGCAGAAGGGGGGCACCCTCCCCATGGCTGGTTGGATGGGGAAGAAGCGCTAACAAGAGTTTACACTAAAAATGCCGCATCTGTCAGATCTGGGATCCAAAGAGGAAACAAGGAGCCACACTGCAACCCCAGTTAACCAAAAGCCCTCCTGACTCCGCATGCCAGGCAGCACGTGAGAGCTGACCACGAGGGTGTGAAAACAGCCACGAGCCCGGCGAGAGTCCTGGTTTCCTTAAAACTGAAAGACACATCCACAACACTGTGCCTGAATGGGCTTTATGTTATTGTAACATTCCACTCTCGACCAGAATCTCTCTAAGTTTAAATGCACAACCAATCGTTTTCAAACACTACATCAAAAAATAGCAATAAAATCCTTGTGTATATATGAATTACTAAGTGTCCTAGAACTTGATATACACACTGAACTTACTACACCGTTGCTCTCTCATCTCATTTCCAGTTTCAATGTTTTTTCTCAAATGAAAATCACTACCCTCACAGATTTGTTTGGAAGATTCTGACCAAAAAATAAAAAAATAAATAAAATAAATAAAAATAAAAATTAAAAAAACGCCCTGTGGTCCGCTTCCATTTGGTCTCTATCCTACTGTCTTAAGCTATCATCTCTGATCCTGCCATCAACATCTTCGGGGAAACATTGTTCCAGTGGAGCAACTGGGGAAACAGAGGTGCACTTACTGTTCCCCGGACAGAAGACGAGCTGGGTCCTTCGTCTTCTTCCCCGTCTGGCTCCTGGTCTTCGTTGTCGGTCCAAGAGGACACGTCCTCTACTGAACTGGTCAGATCAGGCAAACTCTTAGATGTTAATCTCAGGAGGTCCTCGGCAGAGTTTTCCTATGGGGACACAATTAAAGAGTCATGAGTTACCCTACAACACCAAGCAGTTCTGGGTCAAGGTCAAGGAAAACCCAGCAGAGTCAGCTGGGAGTAGTCAAGTGCTCTGAACCCAAAGACCAGATGGGAATGTATGTTCCACATTTCCAGGATGGCGAGGTTACATCACGTGTCAGGGCTGTAGACCCAATTTAAACCCAAATCAGATTTTTTTTCCTGAAAAATCTGTGTTTCTTAGATATTTCTACAGGCAATCCAAATTCCCTGAACTTTAGATCCTTTGATACTCTCTCCTGCTTGTGTTCAGGGTAGTTTAAGTGCCCTCATAGGCAGGCCAACATCTTAGAGCTGTGGTCTCTGCCAGCACTCCAAACCACCTCCCTCCATTCTCCCCTCCAACCCACACCTTCCATTCCGGCCATACTGACCTTCCAACACGCCAGGCTCTCCCCTATCCTGCTCCCTTTTCTACCAGCAGCTCCCTCTGCCCAGTGAGCTCAACTTCCCAGCTCAGCCTGAGCACCCTCTCCTGCAAGCCCTCCTGGATCATCTCAGGAGGCATCCCGTTCGCCTTTCCCTTCTTCTCGAATGTCCTTTACTCTTTCTTTCATCACCTCGCATGTACGTCTGACTATACCATCTATCTCTCCTGCTTATCTGAGTGTTCCTCAAACTGAATGCCATTTCTACTCTCCGACGTGTCTCCAGGCCCAGGACAGAGCTCTAATATCCATGTGTTCCTCCCCCTCATGGCTCATCTCACTAGCATATGTTCATTAGAAAGAGATTAGGCTGTTGATTGAATCATGACGCCAAAGTGGAGACTGATAAGGTCTCTTCAAAGAAAGCAGCCTTTGAATAATTTTTAAAGGTCAACAAAATACATGGAATCAGACTCCATTAAGATTAGACTATAAAGAGGGCTCCACCATAGCCCTTCCTTCCTACGCACAGACAAGGCCACAGGGGTCAGTGGGAGGCAGGTGAGGTCACCGAGGCCACGTGACAATCCCACATGCAGAGGTGGCCCACGTAGCCACTGAGAATTCTCCCGGGAGGCACCACAGCCCAGGAGGCCAGGGACCAGGGCTGCGGCTGATCTGATGCCAGAAAAGAGAGAAATGTGTCCTCCCTTCTCCCACACCAGCCATTTCTACAAGGAAGGAAGCCCGTGGAAAGCTTTGATCACCATATTCCTCGGGTCTTGACAGAAAGGAGAACAAGAGAAGGGGTGTTACAGACTATTCTTGAGTGGGTGCCTGGTGACAGTGATGTTTGTTGCTAGTTTGACGTGTGTCGCACCGTGGAGACACCCTCAGCTCATTCATGTCAGGTCAGTAATTGTGAATACTATATAGTTAGACCTTACCTCAGGGAAGGAAAAAGCTATGAAGCAAAAAGTGAGTTTAGCTCTCTTCTGGGAGGTCAATTCTGTTAGACCATTAATGGAAAAGAGTTTTTAAAAAAGATGAATGTCCCAACTGGTGAGTAAATGGTACAACAGCCACAGGATAGAAGACTCCATGGTCATCAACAATGATGCTACAGAAATGCACTTTCTGATGCAGAAAGATTCTTACTGCATGCTACTTAGCGAAAAAGCAGGTGAGAAACAGTATTATCATTTTAATAATGGCCGTAACAATAAACTGGATGTAGTAATATGTGATAACCATAAAGGCAAACATTTCTCCAAGTGCTTCTTGCAACCAGCTGCAGTGTTTGGGCTCTTTATAGTTCATTTAATCTTCTGGACATTCTGTGAAGTAGTTACAGATTCTCACTGTCCAGGTGAGGAAACGGAGGTTTAAAAAAATGCAACAACTTGTTCAAGACACACAGCTTTAAAAAAAAAAAAAAGACAACACAGCTTTTAAAGGGCTGTGCTGGCTCCGATGTTCAGAGGACTCTGCCTCCAGGGGCACTCTGTCCCCTTGCGTTTGAGTCTGTTAAAAAAACACACCTGGAAGGACAGACCAGGTAATGGATAGAACTATCAGCAGTGTTATGAAAATGTTATCTTCCTTTTCTTCTAGCTTTTCTACATTAGACATAATAAATGCATATTACTTGTTAATAAAAACTGAGAGTGCTCGAGAGAGAGAGAAATCTGTATTGATATGCATATGCTTCCTGGAATATCAAAACACGCTGGGATATTCTGATTTCATTCATTTGACAAAAACTTTCTAAGCTTGTGTGTATAAGCAAACAACATATTTGTATGTAGCACATGAGACAGCCTGTCCCGAAGAAAGTAACAGTTATATTTTCAAAACAATGCCCTAAAGTTTGGTGACAAAGTGACTATTTTCTACAGCAATAATTTACATTTTTATTATTTTTTTTATTCAGCAAATCAAAAGCTCTTTTTTTCCCCCTCCTTCTCTTTGAATGTAAAGACAAAACAAAGACTCTGGATTGCTTGCTCTTGTTGGATAATGAAGAGGCACAGATGCCAAGAGGTGTGGAAAGATGGACTTTTTCTCTCCAAGGTGGATGAGTATCTTGGAGGGTGGAGATTAAGTTTAGGAACAAACAGTGGGCAGCTGCTATAGCAACGTATTGCCTAGCTGTAAACGGAGTCTATGGGAGGAAATGAGAGGTATCACTCCTCCGCGGGCTGGGTCATCTTTAGGCCCTTCAGTACAGATGGCCAAAAGCAATAGATTGAGAGCTGGAACACCCATTCCAGGGCTCCAGATGCCCTACAAGGATCCAGTGAGTGGCCTAAAGTCAAAGCCTCTGGCAGGAACACATTACCTTTCTTTAATGCCATTGGCTCCGTGTCCTTTATATCTTATTTGACTAAGGAGCAGCTTGGTGTACAGGAAGGAGCATGAAACTGAAGTCTTATGGACCCACGATGAAACCTGTTTCTGCCCCCCACTGCTTGTGTGACCTCTGGGTAAATTAACTAACCGCTTAGATTTTAACGTCATCTTTTGAATTAAAAGAACTAATACCTCTCTCATGGGATTTCAAGAATTAAATGAGATCATAGGGAAAAAGCACCTGGCACCCACTGTGTACCTGATACATGTTAGCATCCTTTCTTTGAGTCAGTGAGTGAGACCACAGATCAGGCATCATCCAGGAAACGAGCTTTCAAAACCCCCTTGTATGCTCCTTAATTATGCTTACCCATAAGTGGACTTTTTATTATTTAAATTTAAGTAGTATAATATTACAGTGCAATATTGGTTGCTGGAGTGGAATGCAGTGATTCATCACTAACACAAAACACCCAGTGCTCATCACAACAAGTGCCCTCCTTAATGTCCATCACCCATCTAACCCATCCCCCACCCACCTCCCTCAGTCAACCTTCAGTTTGTTCTCTACTGTTGAGTATTTTATGGCTTGTTTCCTCTCTCCTTTTCTTCTTTTCCTCTTTCCCATATGTTCATCTATTTTCTTTCTTAAATTCCACATATGAATGAGATCATATGGTATTTGTCTTCCTCTGACTGACTTTTTTCACCTAGCATAATACATTCTAGCTCTATCCATGTTGTTGCAAATGGCAAGATTTCATTCTTTTTGATGGCTGAGTAATATTCCCGTGTGTGTGTGTGTGTGTATACACACACCACATTTTCTTTATCTATTCATCAGTTGATGGACATTTGGGCTCTCTCCTTGGTTTAGCTATTGTTGAAAATGCTGCTATAAACATTGGGGTGCATGTAACCCTTCGAACAGTATTTTTGTATCCTTTGGGTAAATACCTAGTAGGACAATTGCTGGATTGTAGGTTAGTTCTATTTTTAACATTTTGAGGAGCCTCCATATTTTTCTCCAGTGTGGCTACACCAGTTTGCGTTCCCACCAAGAGTATAAGAAAAGTTTCCCTTTCTCTGCATCCTTGCCAACATCTGTTGTTTCCTGTGTTGTTAATTTTAGCCATCCTGACAGGTGTGAGGTGGTATCTCATTGTGGTTTTGACTTGTATTTCCCCGATGATGAGTGATGTTGAGCATCTTTTCATTTGTCTGTTAGCTATCTGGATGTCTTCTTTGGAAAAGTGTCTATTCATGTCTTCTGCCCATTTCTTAACTGGGTTGTTTCTTTTTTTTGGGTGTTGAATTTGAGAAGTTCTTTGTAGATTTTGGACACTAAACCTTTATCAGATATGTCATTTGCAAATATCTTCTCCAATTCTGTAGGCTACCTTTTAGTTTTGTTGTTTCCTTTGCTGTACAGAAGAGTTTTATCTCGATGAAATTCCAATAGTTCATTTTGCTTTTGTTTTCCTTGCCTGTGGTGTCGTGTCTAGAAAGAAGTTGCTATGGCTGAGGTAAAAGAGGTTGCTGCCTGTGTTCTCCTCTAGGATTTTGATGGTTTCCTGCCTTACATTAAGGTTTTTCAACCATTTTTGAATTTATTTTTATGTATGGTGTAAGCAAGTGATGAATGGACAGACCTTTCTTGTTTTTATTTTATGATTTCTTTGTGTCCATGTATTTGTGGATAACAGCTTGACCTAGAAAATGTTTTCTCTTCCCCATTTCCTGAACTAGCAGAAGAAAGAAGTCAGCATAGAAATAAAGGTTTGGTGGCCCCATGGTATGCTTATGCAGGAACCCCCACATTCTTGAGCCACAGACTGTGGGGAGGTGGGCTGTGCAAACAAAGCACTCATGTGTGTGAGTGTTTAAGACCTGATGGTGCTTTTCAAACCCCATCACCTTTGGCTGAAAGGGAACTTGCTTGTCCTTCCCTTGCAGCATTTCCCTCTTGTGGAATTCAACAGACTGAGAGGGAACATCCCTGCTCTGCTCTCCTTCCTGTCCCTAGTGAGGAGACACCAGGGCGCCTTGTGGTATCTCTGGGAGGGGAGGAGGGGGCCTGTGATTGGAGACTGTCTCAACCCCTGCCTCCGGGGCCTCAATGCCAACCCTTCCTCCCAAGTCTGTGCCAAGGCTCTGCGTTCTTGTTGGAAGCCTGAGAGTCTGGGTTAAGGGACTGGGGTGAGAGGTGTAAAAGGAGGAAAACAGATTTTCCAAATAGTTCAAAATATTCTAATTATTAAATACTACGAATATAGGCAATACACCTTGTAATCTAAGAGGGAAAATACAGAAAAACCTGTGGATGTTAGGTTCAAAAAAATAATAGGAATAATGAGGACAGAATTAGCCCTACTGGCAAGAGCGAATTGCTGCGAAGGGTTGAGGGCTGGGGTGGCTTCCCATCACTGCTTCCATGAGTGAAATGAAGCCCAGTGGCTCCACTGCACTAGCTGCCAAGTCCTGTGGGCGTTTTCCTGTCTTATCAACAGCAGATGGGAGCAGGGAGCAGAAGCAAGAGGGCTCGGGTCCTCTTTCTGGTCACACTGCTGTGGAGGCCTGCAGCCTTTATCCAGGGCGCTAAGGCTGGTGACACCAGGGGACAAAGTGGATGCTGGGGGCCCAGGACATCGGCATTGTTTTAACACACTCCAGGGATGGGGGCACAAGAAGCACCAGCCTGAGCCCTTGGGACAAAGAGGGGACAGCCAGAGGGAGGGGACGGACATGCTGTGCATCAAAGCCAGGGTCCTGGTGCTGCAGACAGCATCTAGGCCTCTGTGAGATGCAAGCCAGCCACAGGAGCTCGGCCTCACTGTCTCATCCGGAAACTGAGGAGAAAGGGGGAAAGGGTGGCTGCACAAACAGGATTCATAGGGCTTCCTGCAGTGCCAACACTCTGAGGCCACGAGTCAGAACCAGGGCCTGTCGCCTGCCGTGGCTAACCCTGAACCTTTCTTCCTTCGGGACCTGGGAGAGGGGGCTCCACACCTCTCCTTCCTCCCTGCCTTCCAGTGGACACCCATGTCTCCTCTTCGGTTTCTCCCTGGGAGAGGTGCTACTCTCTCTACCTTGTCCTTCTGTCCACCCTACCATTCCTCCCCCTTCCTTAGTCTTGTTGCTGCTTTTCCATCAACTAAATATTTCAGATAAAGGCCACCCTCGTGGGCTTGCCCTGTAGAATCACGGCCATTTATTTATTTTTTATTTATTTATTTATTTTTAAAGATTTTATTTATTTATTTGACAGAGAGAGAGATAGCTCGAGCAGGAACACAAGCAGGGGGAGTGGGAGAGGGAGAGGCAGGCTTCCCGCTGAGCAGGGAGCCCGATGCGGGACTCGATCCCAGGACCCCAGGATCATGACCTGAGCCGAAGGCAGACGCTTAACGACTGAGCCACCCAGGCGCCCCGAATCACGGCCATTTAAATGGCCCCAGTAAACATGCAAGTGTGTGTGTATGTATGTGGCACAGGGAGGGCTCAAATCCAAATTTACCACCATCATTAAAAATATTAAAAACAAAAAACAAAAACTACCTACCTTGCTGGCTACTACCAGCTGAACCATTCCAGTGGCGGAGCGGAGAATGGCCACAGCTTCCTCATGGGAGAGCCCCACCAATAAGTGACCATTGATTACCAGCAGCTCATCTCCTAAGGACAGCCTGCCATCCCTGAGGAAATGGAGACGGGAAAAAAATCCCTTGTCAAGATATTCTGGGCTTGAGAAGGGACATTTTCCTGGAGCTGGGGAAGGTCGCAAGAGGGACGGTTAAAATCAGGCTAAGGAAAAAGTAGAGACGGCCAGCGACAGTTTGGGTTGGAATTTTTCCTTTGTGCTGGCTGGGTCTTGATGCCCACTTAGGGAAGCTCCATGATTTCACATGGTCACCTGGTAGCAAGCAAGTTCTTAATTCACCACCATATCCTGCATCAACCTTAATGAAATGCTTCCCATCCAGGGGGAGACAATGATAGAGGAACTGAGACCCCAAGGTTTTTGGAAAGTCGAGTCATTCTGTTTTTAATCCTAATGCCATCCTGTCCTCACAACTGAGTTGTCAGCTGCGTCACTGAGCTAAGCACCCCAAACAAAGGTATCACAAGCTCAACAGAAAGCCTTCTCTAACCTGCTGTCCTCTTTCTTTCCAGGTGACAAGGCCCTGGCCATATTTCCTCTGTAGCACCTGGGACACTTCACTGCATGTGCATGCGCCCCCCCCCCCCCACTCCCAACACACATGCAGCGTTACAGGACCTTGAGGATAAAGTCTCTCAGCACCATTTCCATCCTACAGCCACGCTTCATCAGGAGGATGGAATACAAAAATCAAACAGTCTGACCAGTTTACTGCTATTGCAGGTATCAGACCTGGACTACAAATGTATTCTGTTTCTTTATTTCCTCTAAAGTAAATTACAGCTGACTTAGAGCTTCCTTCCCACTGGTTTGGGGCTGCGTGCCCTAGGGTGGGTCAAGGGCTGGGGTGGCACACTGTGCCAGAGCATTGTGCAGGTGCCTTCAATCATGACGGATCAACAGTCCTGTGGGTTCCACTTGAACCTCCAGTGGTCTGGTCTTCCATTATCCCAAAGGAGCCAGAGGTTTTTCATTGCTATTGCTAAATATGGGATAGGAAATCTGGTGAGGGGGATGGTCCCTAAGCCTAGGGTTCCACCATCCCCTCTGAAGACTTTCCATCAATACCCAAGGACAGACTGTGCCTGTCCCCAATATTCCTAGATTTACCCAACTTTCTCTCCAACATGTCAACTCTTCCCACCTTACCTTCTTTCAGCAAATCAACCAGCTTCTCTCCATCCTTCCCTCCCTCACTGGTTTTTCTCTCAGTCGTCTAGGGCATGCATCATAATCTTCTCCATGAATTTAGGCTTTCACAGAAGACAGGAGGTACCAGAGACTTGTGACAGCCTCTGATTTCTATCCTTCAAAAATCCCTAAATCAGAGAAATGCTAAGAACCCTTCTAGTTGCTTGGACTGGAAAGAGAAGGGGAATAGGAAGCCCACAGAGAACCTCAAGGAGGTGTGTGGGTGGGCCATCAAGAAAGAGAGGGATTCAGGAGTAAAAAAGAACACTAAGTTCTGACCAATGTCCTTGAATTTATTCAAGACCATCCCTACCCCCATCCCTTTTCTTATTTCCCTCTTCAATTCCATTTGTCTCATCTCCTATTATTAACCAGAATGCCCCACATGTGAATTATATACTCCAGAAGCAGAGAGAGACATGCACACAACTCCAGGCTAAGGGGGAAGAGAAAATGGCGAAACCTACTAGAAACAGCTCACATAGAAAACAGACAAGAACAGTTCTATATAAGTTTATCTCTGGGCACAGGAATTTCCTAATTGCCAACTTTCCAAAGACATGCTAGAACCTAAGACCTAGGATTAATGGGGAAATGGCTATCTGATGGGAGTTCCTCAAAGCATACCTCATGTGGGAAATTTAGTGATGCTCTTCTGGATAAAAACTAAGGTCTTAATCCTTCCATAATGACTACTGCCCAGATAACTGACAAGTGCAGTTATTCTTATCTCTAGTTGTTAGCATCTTACTCTGAGTCATGAGACTAGAACAGGGACATGACACATGATAGTTTCTACCCTTGTCCTCTCCTTAGTCTTCCGATCTTTACCTCCGACTCCTTCAACTCCACTTCATGAGATAGAGTTTTCAAAGCCCTCTCGGTCTAGGGCAGGCCACACCACTCTGGTTTGCCTATCCCCCTTATAACCGGGTACCTGGACTGAACACCAAATTCCCAACTAGATTTACCTCCCTCATCCGTGAAACTCTACCTTTATACACCTACTGTACACATGTGGGCACATAACACGTGCACACACCCCAGCGTGCCTTGTCAATAGTAGACGCCCTATATACATGGAAGCAATCAGCTAGCAAAGCAAAAGCATGCTGTCTATTTTGGTATAGTTACATCCTTGTAACTCCAAATGGATTTCTTTGTACATGCTCTGCCTAAGCGCTGTCCTTCTTCCTACTTAAGACAATAGTTCAGATTAAAAAACAAGTTTTGAAGTATGAATTGTTCAGGCCACAAGGAGAAAAATTCCCATTTCCTTTTTTCCCCTTGGCATTTACATGACACATGTATGTAAGTATGTGTTGAAACCTGACAGAACTGACACAGCACATGAACTGTGGTCGCATTTAAAATCAATTGCTTTCCCAAGTCATTAGCCACAATCTTATGGGGGTTAAGATGTCAGGAATGTGGCATTCTGTTGCATAGCATAGTCTCAATAGGTAACCACATGTTACCAGTATCCTAAAAGTTAGGATAAGTAACAATCACTTGAAACTCAAAACAGACTAGAAAGAAATCTGATCTCTTCTGATTCGGAGGAGCCTGTACCATCTCCAGCAATTAGCCACTTCCTGTGCCCAGAGGTGTGTTTAATTGAAACTGCTCATGTCTGATTTTCTCCTATGCTCCAGCATCATCTTTATGAACTGCAATTACCAGGGCTTTGACCAAATGGAAGAGTCCTACACCCGGAGGAAGGGAAGGGAGAGGATAAGGAGGCAGAGAAGAAGGGAGAGTTATCTAGTCACCTGTGAGCGGCACCTCCTTCCTTCACTTGAGTGACAACGATAGCGTGAGGTGAGCGCTTTGATCCTCGGCCTCCACTAACCTGAATTCCCAGCCCATCCGATTCTTTAAGCAGCTCCATCTTCCATATCCGGCCAACTTCCTCCTTGGAAGAAAAAGTGAGCACACTATGAAGTATATGGACAGACACATGGCATTGACCCAGGAGAGTGGAGCTGTTAGGTCAAGCCAAATAGTCATCAGTTGTCAACAGGTATTGTAGATGACCACAGAAAGAAAAAGCTCTGTGTGCTGGATCAGACTCTCTAGCTGCCTGTCTAATAGAACGTTCTATGATGATGGAAATGTTCTATATTTGTACAATCCAACATGGAGCCACTAGCCACAGGTGGCTATTGAGTGCTTGAAAGGTGGGTAGTGGCAACTGAGATGATAAATGTTTTATTTCATTTAGTTTTAATTAAATTAAATAGCTACCTGTGGCAAGTGGCTATAATATTGGACAGCAAGAGTGATTATCCAATTTCCTGACCAGGATTCTGTTAAGGAAAACTTCTTCTGCCTGAAACCTGGATACCACTGTGTGTATAAACACTGGCTGTGTCTGGGTTCCATTTATTTACACACAGCTACTAATTAATAAAGGAAGATGAAAGGAAGGCAAAGATAGGTCTTGGTGCCAGGAGACTTCAACTAATTTGAGCCCAGTTCTGACACTTAGTACTTATGAAAGTCCTTATGCCTAAAACCCTCAGTTTCCTTGCCTCTAAAGTGGGGATAATTATTAATACTTTCAGATTTGTCATTAGGATTAAATGAGATATTTACGGAAGCAGCAGTGCTTCTGGCACCTAGTAGAGACATAATCAATGTTGACTGGTAACCTTATATTATTTATATATGCACATGTATATGGTAGAACCATCATATTGTAATATACCCAGTGGTACTGTAACAGTGCTGCATGGGGACAAATGGCAGCTACAGTTGTGGTGAGCATAGCATAATGTGTAGTTGTACAATCATGATGTTGTACCCCTGAAACAGATGTAACATTGTGTGTCAACTATACGTCATTAAAAAAAACCCTATCATGTTGAATTGAATCTCAAACTTCCTAAGAACATAAAAATGAGATCTCTGGTGGGAGAAACCAAAACAGGAAATTAATGGATGAATTTGTTATTGGCTTCTATAGACATTGGTCTGTACACTCTTTAAATACATTAAAACATGCTTCAACTCTTATAAAAATCTATTCTTTAAAAAAACTAATCATGTCTCTAAGTCCTCTGGACTAATGGTAGCTTTTCTTCTTTGGTTAATTCTCCGTTTGACTCCCTATTTTATGCCTGATGCAAAATGTTTGAGTTCCTTCAGATACTTGGGTGTTCAGAGAAATGAAAGCAAAACCTTCCAAGGTGATTTACTTTGGGGGTCTTACGTTAGGCTCACTCCTGTAAGTTCTTTTTATCTCTAGGTCTATGGGTATGCATTCCTTAACATATAAAACAAAAGCCATGTCCTTTCCTCATCCATCATGAAGGTCTAATGGAACCATTAAGGTCCAATATGGACAAAGCCATCCTCCTCCTAGAAATAGGCAACCTTCCCATTTAATCTGCTTGCAAAAGAGGAAGAATGTGAAGTATTCAGAAAATCTGAAATACATACTGTCAGAAACTAAAACGAAACTTTATGCAATAGTAAAAAAACCAGATGTTAAACAGTCACTGATGTGCAGCAGTAAGAATGTCTGGGGAAATTATTAACAGACAGAGACCTGTTGGATCCTATACTTTCTCGAGTCAGCACTGCTCAGCGGGGCTCCATTGCTCTGGCAACACACAGTGGTGCCAACGGTCTCCTCCATCTGCTGACCACAGACAAACGATGCCTGTCTGGCCAAATGTAACTTCAGAAGTCACTGGCTTACCGCAGTAGTTCATGAACTTGTCAACAATCCCTATATCATCCAATCATTTCACTTTGGACTTCATGGTTTTTGGTTTGTTGCCTCTGACCTCTGGAACACCTTTATCTCTTCTCCATTCAGAAATAACCTCCTGGCCTTCAAAGTCTCTCACAGCTGCACTATTTCCTAAAAGCCATCCTTGAGAGTCATTGCTACTGACAAGATGGCAACTTTTTTTTTTTTTTAAGATTTTATTTATTTATTTGAGAGAGAGAGAATGAGAGACAGAGAGCATGAGAGGGAAGAGGGTCAGAGGGAGAAGCAGACTCCCCACTGAGCAGGGAGCCCGATGCGGGACTCGATCCCGGGACTCCAGGATCATGACCTGAGCCGAAGGCAGTCGCTCAACCAACTGAGCCACCCAGGCGCCCCAAGATGGCAACTTTCGACACATGAGGCCCTATGGCCTAGTGGATAGCCCCAAAGGGAACAAATTCAGGGATGTGCTGATTAGCTGTTGTCCCGGCTTGCTCCTATGGGCCTACCCTATGGCTGCCTCCCTGGGCCTAACAAAGTAGCTGAGAAACTTGAGCATAATGGTGGCTTGACTTGTTTTTTCCATGGAAGATATGCCGTGGCTACTAGGGTCTTGACGGTATGGGACAGTGCTCCTCCCTCTCCCAGTACAGAAGAGCTGTGAAGTCCTTTCCCCAAAGCAACAGGGACCATTATTAGAGTCCAGAACTAAGAAAATCCATTTGGCTTTAGCCCAAATTAGTAGAAACCTATTCATCCCATTACTAGCTGCATCATCATTTCCCCCCATCCTACCATCTTTTTGTTAAACAGAACATGTTACCTACGGTTCATAGAGGGTATGACAATACTAGATATACAGTCCTTTCTCATTTTTAAATGCTTTTAGAAATAGAACTTGTGGCAAGAAACATGCAAAACTATGATCATGGAGAAAGAATAATGACCTAATGTATATACTCTTGACAAAAGAGCTAAAGACAATTTTCATTAAGAGCACTCACATGCCCCCTTTATACCCTTGCCTAATACACACACAAATAGTTAAATGCAAAATAAAACACATATCTAATAAAAACAGCTTCAGAGGGCAGGGATGACCAATCTGTAATACAGCCCCCAACTATGCTAGTCAAGAAGCAGATCTTCTTTTTCACTTTTATCCAATAACATGAGTTTTTTCCTCCATAATTGAAAGTAGGAACTATAAGGGGGGAGTTCAAAGAAGTCCATGCAAGTTTCCCAGCTCTGGAATTTCTTGATTATCTAATGAGGAGTTCAGAGGTACACAAAGGAAGGCACAAACAGGAAGAAAGAGGCAGATATTATCAGTCTCAATTGTCCAACTGTCAGTATTAAATCTAGCTGCCCACAGCTAAAAGCAGTGTTCAGTTACAAATAAAATCAGCGTCTGAAGTTTATGAGGCTAAAGCTGGCACTGGCAGAAAATCAACAGGCCAACTTAAATATAATAATATTAAGTATATTTCCAACTGCCTCCTTACAATTCCACTTGGGTATCTAATACACACTTCAGTATGGTCAAAACAGGACTCTGCCTCCCTCTCACTCCTGGCTTTCTCACCTCCATGGGAAGAGCACCATCATCTACTCAAGCTAAAGAGGATATGCAAACTAAAAGCTCACAAGTTACCTTTAATTCCTCCTTCTATTTCCTATATCCAAACCATAAGCAAGATCTGTAGATTCTACTTGCAAAACACACCCACATCCACCTACTTCCGCTCCTCCCTGCCACCACCACTGTCAAGACCACCAGCATCTCTAGCTTGAGTTATCACAATAGCCTCCAATCTGGTCTCCCTTTTTATTTTTTGCTCCCTACAATCTCCTATTCTCCATTACACATCTAGGGGGGACTTTTTTTTTTTTCTTTAAGGTTTATTTATTTATTTTAGAGGGAGAGAGAAGGTAAGCAGGGGCAGAGGGAGAGAGAGAGAAACCTCCAGCAGACTTCCCACTGAGCATGGAGCCTGACATGGGGCTTGATCCCAGGACCCTGATGATCATGATCTGAGCTGAAATCAGGAGTTCACCACTTAAGACTGAGTCACCCAGGGTGAACTTTTAAAAAACATATATCATGATGCACTCAGCTTAAACCTTCCAATAGCTCCCTACTAGACTCAGACTGAGGTCTAAATCTTTGAGGTGGCTTACACAAACCTCTACATCTAGTCCCGCCCATGCTCCCAAATCACCTCCCTGTGCTTTCCCCATCACTCACTGTGCTTCGGTCTCTCTGCCCCTGGAACACTCCATCACTCCTGCCTAGGACAGCTGCATGTGCTGGCTCCTCCCTGGAAATATTCTGCCCCCAGATTTTGTAGGGCTGGCCTTTCCTGACACTCAGGCTTCAGCTCAGACATTGCCTCTTTAATGAGGTCTTCACTGATACCAATTTCAGCTAACTCCCCACCAGGACGCTGCCCAGGCATCTTTCATGTTACTGCTTTATTTCATTTATAGCACCAGTTGTCACCATCAAACATTTAGATTCAGTTATTTGCTTGTTTATTGCTTGTGGCCCCTTATCTGTGATAAGTGCCATGGGACAGAACCGTGTCTCTCATCTATTAGCAGGTTCTCCAGCAACTAGAACAGTGCCTAGCCCATAACAATACTGCATAAATGCCACAGAATTAACAAATATAGGATGTTAATCTTATGGTTTTTCAGAAGTTACTGAGAGTGACATTAAGAGGCTCGCCCAGATGGGAAACCTGTATGTTTGCCAATGTTTAGCATGTGAACACCCAATCCAGTTGTAGAGACAATTGAGTTCTGAAACAGATCCTGTCTAGACAGATGGCTCAAGCCTTTGCTTCCTTTTACATTGGCTTAAAGGGCAATGAGACTCTGTCAGCCTGTGGAGAAAAAGCCAAACCATGCAAAATTGGATGCTATGGACTTTTGTATTAATGTTGTTGAAGTGCTACCCTTTCCTATAAAATGCCAATTACTGTGTGATGCTCACACATGCATCTCTTCACGGATGCAAAAAAAAAAAAAAAAAGGATTTATTTACAAAACAGAGGTGGTACATTAAAGGGAGCTATCTCGGCAGCATTTAAATGACCTCATCTTCTGCTGGAACCAAAAATAATATTTCACAATAGCATCTTTTCTCCAAATGTGAGAAGAAACATCATCCAACTAGAATTTTACTGCAGTAAATTGTCTGGCTCTAGTTGCAAACTTAGATCCTGAGACTGTTTGCCTATCCCTTCTTATTTAGAATGATCAGTAAGAAATAAAAAGATATGTGATCAATGTCACAGTTGAAGTTCCTGAGTCATCAGACTAAAATGTTCAGTTTACGGGTGAGGAGATGGAAGCTCAGAGGAAGAACATGGCAGCCTGACGGCCACAGAACGGGGGATGGAAGAATGAGGGCTAGAACCTGGTGTCCCATCTCTCAGGCCTGAAGCTCTTGGGTGCCTTCATTAATAAACACCTACAGAGCACCTGCAGGTGCAAGGCAGTGAGCCAGGACACAAAGACAAGTAAGGTCCTTGCCGTTCAAGTCTACTGGGGACACAACAAGCCACATGGTAATTGGAATATGTGGGATTCATGCATTGATGAAGATGAGAAGGGGGCACTGCAGGAGCCCAAAGAGGAGACGCCTAAAGATGGGGCAGGTGGCAGAAGGGTCACAGAAGCCTCCTAGAGGAGTGTGTCATGGTGTTTCGTCCCCCAGAAACGGAAGAAGCTAAGCTACATGGGGGAAGAGAGGAGAAACAGGATAGCAAGAGCAGCATGTGCAAAGGCTCAGAGGAGATATTGATCCTAGTCCTTTGCAAAAAATTGTGGCTAATTCAGCCCAAACAGGGGAGGAAGAAAGCAGTGAGAGATGAAGGCAGAAAGTTAAGCAGGGATCATACAGTGAAAGGGTTCCTGTGCTTCACCAAGCTAAGGAGCTTGGGTATTACCCTGAAGGTAAAGCGGACCCACCCAAAGGGCTTAAGCTTCAGTGTGTGTGAGGATGCACACACATGCCTGAGGTGCTCTCTTTAGAAAGGTCTCTCTGGTTGCTGTGGAGACACTGGATGACGGGATGACAGTGGACAGTGGGATGGGTAGCAGAATACCAGGACCACCATGTGGGAAATGAAAGCCGTTTGACCCAGATAGAAAGGGAGAGAGACCCCGAAGGGAGCCGGGGTTGACAGGACTTGGTGATCAACTGGACAGTGTGGAAAGAAGAGGGCAGCATTTCAGTTGACTCCAGGATGCCAACTGTCCCAATTTGCTGGGATGAAGGCATTTCCTAGGATGTGGGATTGTCAGCACAAAACCAGGGAAAGTTCTAGACAAAGCAGGTGAGTGACTGCTAGTTGAATCTCAGGTTTCTGGCTTGGGCAACTTTACGGGTGGTGGAACCTGGAATATTGGAGCCAGCTTGGTGATGTGGGAAAGTCATGCATCAAGTTTTAGGCATGATGTGAAATACCCAAGATGGAGATACACTGTAGGCAGGTGGTAGAAAGGATGGGGTGGGGGGGCTCAGGAGAGAGGTGAAGGAGCAGACATGGACTGAAGAGGGACATTACCACATAGAAGGATAGAAGTTCACCCAGTGACCATGGGGGGAGGACTTACTAGAATAGGACCATCCTCATGCTGTTTCTGCTTGATGCAAACATTAGGGACAACCTAGGAGATGTCCTGGGTGTGACTCTCCTTCTCAGTTTCCTTTTCCTGCATATTCAGACCTGGGGCAGCCTTCCTGAGGTCTCTGCAGACCACCTGCACTGAACGACTCAGACTTCCTGAGGTCTCTGCTGAGGGAAGAGGTCTGATACTGTACAGGCGAATTACACGTGTTAGGGTGAGACCACAAATGGACCCATAGACACATACACCAGCTATAAATCAATTCACCTGGCTGGCAAATGGTAGGATTCTTTTATTTCACTATTATGTGACTAAGTTGTATTTATTTTTTACCACGCTGCATTACAAAAATACACATCTGTAATAAACAGACTTGCAAGAACTTTCCCCTTGGATGAGTAATGGTCTTCACTAGACAGGGAGTAAGGAACTCTGACTTCAGTTCTAAAATTGCCTATCTGTGTCCTAGGAGATTATGTTTTAGACAATGGGACCAACTTTTGTAGTTTCAAAGATTAATCTGGTTGCATATGTATTATTATGTGTTGATATTTTATAGAAACATATGGCTTTTTAAAAAGAAGATATTTATTAGAGGAAATATGTTTCCTATAGTTCTGTTAAAGGGAAAGAGGATATGAAAACAAAGACTGAAGATTTATTTTCATGTAACAAATAACAGTCTATGAAAAAGAAGCATCCGACAAATAAAAATGGTCTGAATGACTATAAGCCTTTTCTGTAATTTATTAAGTCTTTGTAGATATATTAAATCATTAATAAAGCAGAAATGGAACAATGTTTACATGTTTAATCTCCCATTATTCAAATGCAATGGAATTTTTTTCCCTGAGGGCTTAAGAGGTAAATACCTAATTTTTGTTTTTCTGGAAATTCCATTTTAGCATGACCTTGGGCTCATCCTGGAGTAAAAATAAAAATCTGCTTAGCCCAAGAACCTACAGGACTTTCTGTGATGGTCTACTGGTCCCAATGTGGGGGGCCACCTGGATGCAGGGGAAGCTGTGACGACCTACTTCTCGCCAACTCTATCAATCCTGGGTAAATGCATCAAACAATGATGCTTCTGGGGCAGAAAAGGGTGTTAAAATATATTCGTGCCTGAGAGGGTCTGTGGCCTATGCTGACTTTCTAAGATGGAAAGTATAACCCAGGGTCAATACTCGCTCTCCAGATTATGGCCAGTTGTGAAGAATGCAAATTCCAGATGGCAGGTCTCTCCTTTTTATAGGCATGTGGCTTTAAAAAAATGTCCCAAAGGCAAAAGAGCTAGTTTTTTTTTTTTTAAATCACCGTTTCATTTATATCTTCTTGGACATTTGACCTTGAGTGCAAAAACCAGGCAAAGAAACTCTGATATGTGTAGTCTTCAGATAGTCTAATCCAGAAATTCAATTTTACATTATTGACTTCAGTTAAGATGAGCAGAGAATAGTAGCCTCTTAAATGTTTTTTTTTTCTTTTAAAGTCATTTCCAAATTATTTCCACTGTGTCCTAGGTCAAATGAAAGCCTATTTGTTTGGACTGTATATGAGATTCAATCTCTTTTGGTAACTTAAACCTTCAAAATGATTAAGAGAACCAATACTTCCTAATTTATTCACTCTAGGCTTTCTGTGCATTCATAATTTAATCATTAGGAGAACAAGTCATATCCAAGTAGAGTATTACCAATAAGAAACACATTATAATCTTTTTATTGCCCTTAATTCTTTTTTGAGGGGGACCATAAAGTTTGTAGAAAATCATTGATAGAGACATTACTTTTTTCTTCTTCATTTACACCTTCCATCTACAAATCATGCCTCTCTGGGTAAGGCTTTATGAAGATCACTGAGATCCTCAGATGAAGGAACATGGTCCCCTGAGAGAGGGGTTATTTTAATTCCTCTCCTCCCATTATATAGATTAGCTATGATTGCAGAAATATGCATGAAATAGACTTACTAGAAATTCTATTCACTGCCAGGGTACCATTTCAGCAGCCTGCAAAGCTGAACTTGATACTTCTTCTGTGCCCATTTTCTATCTTTCCAACTTGCTCTTTTATCCCGAAAGGGTGTCTCCTGGAGGGACTCAGGAAACCAATCAGAAACCACGTAGTAAGTTACTGCTTCATTAGGAACCCACAAGAGTATCTGCCAAGAGGATTCTTGGAAGGAACATGCTTACCCGAAAGAAATATCACTTCAAGAGAGAATGTTGGTTATAATGAAGGAGATGATTTGAGGCTAGAAGTGTACCCATTACCATTCAGAGTATACCACATCTGCTTTGCCTTTAGGGAAGACCAACCCTGACCATCACAGCTGGATATCACAGTATCAGAGATTTCTGTGAAATTTCCAACCTTTACTGGAATTCAGCAATTTAATAATATAAACCCATAAAAATGTCACTGGTTTTGAAGTGTTAAAAAGAAAAGCAGATGCTTCTCTGCGGGGTGAATATCCTTCCTGTGTAATACTGAGGCTTGAATGTTCATGCTCTCAGCTGCCACCAGGAATTCTTGGCCTTGCTGTGGCAATTCCGCTGGGGATGGTAGTGATAAATAATGATGCAGTTCAAGTACTTTATCTGGGCCTCATATGACTCAAATTATACCACAGAAGGCTTGAATTTTCCACTTAGGATCACTCAACTATCTCTTTATTTAAGTAGGATAAAATGACTTGGATTTTTTTTTTGTTATTGTTATGTCCTCTGACCATTTATCATAATAAATGTGTTGGCTTCCAAATACAAGGCCATCTTAGATATATTTCCTAAGCCGTAAAAGCAACTTCGACAGTATTTCTTTTAAAATTCAGGTTCTATAATCAAACCAAAGCTTACCCGTGCCAGGCAGTCACTTGATTGGAAGTCTGTCTTCCCAGATTTTGAGAAGCGGCGTTTGTCATTGCTTGTGGGTAGAGAAGCATCTGTCTTTGGAATGCTATGCTCTGTCCCTCTGTCTGCTTCTGAACTGTCTAGATGGGATCCGGCCAGCTCCTTGAGAGATTCTGAGCCATTTTCTAGCTCAAAAGCATGACCATTTCCAAGTTCAGGGTCTGGGCCATTGTCCAGCTCAGAGATGGGGTCATTGTCAAACTCACAGCCAGGGCTGCTCTTGGGTTCTTCAGTGGCCTTCTGGGTAGAAGGCCTGGAAATGACCCCAAACTTTCTTGCTCGTTTCCCCTTTTTCACAGTTTGGTCACCCAGCTCCAAGGAAGGTGTCTCTCCTGGTTCAGAGCTGTTGCTACTGTTGCCATTATAAGGAGAATGGACTTTGTGCTTGAAGCGGCGCAGCATGATCAGGTAGATAAAGCCGCCATTCCAGCACTGCTCAGCCAGGTAACTGCAACAAACACAGAGGTGCCGGTTAGAGCCCTCAAAACATCCTTCTTGACCAGTGCATCGGGCTGACACATTCAGCAGCCCACACAGGACCCGTGTGATTAACACCCTGCCCAAGCAATTGAGGTACTAAGCTTCCTAAAGAGACTCAATACTCCATTCTTTTAATCTACATAATTGCTGCTGATGAAAATAACCCCCAAATAAGCCAAAACCCCCAGGAACTAGAAATTACTAATGAAAGTACCCTAGGGTAAGTAGTTAGAAATGGGTTTTTCTATTCACAGAGCCAATCCTAATATATGATTAAAAAAACAATAATTCTCCCTTTCCTCAACAATTTCTTACATCAGAATCATGCTAGCCTCCCATTCACATAGTTTTAAAATTAAGAAAAAAGGGCGCCTGGGTGGCTCAGTTGGTTAAGCGACTGCCTTCAGCTCAGGTCATGATCCTGGAGTCCCGGGATCGAGTCCCGCATCGGGCTCCCTGCTCAGCGGGGAGTCTGCTTCTCCCTCTGACCCTCCTCCTTCTCATGCTCTCTGTCTCTCATTCTCTCTGTCTCAAATAAATAAATAAAATCTTAAAAAAAAAAATTAAGAGAAAAAATTTTAAGTGAACTATGCCCAGTGTGGGGCTTGAACTCATTACCCTGATATCAAGAGTTGCATGCTCTATGGACTGAGCCAGCAGGCACTCCTCCATTCATATAGTTTTGCCATAATTACTCTGCAAGTCCCCAGGGTAAAGAGTAGCTGAAATCGATTGAGAGAAAAGTAAGGTTTTGCTCTTAGGGTCAAAATATCTACTGCACAACAAGAACCTCTGCCTCACAGCATTAAAGTGATAAGAGAGCACAGCGGGGAGGGGTGTTGGCTGGTATCAAAATGCAGCTGGTAAATAAGCGCTGGGAGGTGTACGCTGCATTAAATGAGCATCAGGTTCACTTCCTGATAATGGTTCTAGTTGGGGTTGTTCCTGGAACACAAGGAGTCTCATTTTCAGTCTGGGTATTGCATTAAGAGGAACCCCAACATAATGAAAAACATGCAGACATAGGGTGACAGAGACAAAGAAGGCTTTTGGAAACTGTGTCAACCAGGAGAAGTGAGAGGAAAGAGGGATCTTAGCTCAATGAAGACAAGCCAGGCTTGGTTGTGTTTCATGTACTTGAGGAGTGCCAAACACTCAGAAGCAGGAAATGATAGAAATGAGATGATGCATGTGAAGACTGACACACAATAACTGCTCCAGATCTTAAGGAATAACCATAAATAGAACATCAAAGGAGATAAGTAATTAGTGGTATTCAGGACCATGAAAGCTTTAGCAAAGAAAACACACTTGCTCAAAGTCAGGAAACCAGGCTGGGCTAGACCCTCCACTCATGTCACCCAAGATAAAGAAACACACACCCCAGATGAACCCAGGGAAATGCCTTCACCATGGAATGTTGCCACATTCTACACATCACCCGGTCACAAGCAAAGAATGTCAACAACCAAATCCTTAATGAGCTGGACCTGCTTCCGGTCTTCATGTGCCCCCAGAGAGGGGGCCTGGGGCTTTGTTGCCTATGTCGTCAATAAGTGAAAAGCAGAGAACTTTTTCAAGTATGCCAAGCTCGCTGCTCTCCCTCCAGGCCTGAAGCTCAGACCTGAGAGCTGGGGCAGTTAGTATGCAGGAAGGAGCCAGGCTATAAGGAGAGGTGACCAGCTGTGTTTGAAATGTACTAAATTCTGGGCCAAAGCCATGTATCACTCATACCTAATGGTCAGGTTAATGCAACAGTGTCAGTCTCACTGAAGAAGAGAATAATTCTGAATTTTTACCATGGAGTAGAGTGAACAAGAGAGACGGGTCCTCAAACAACCACCAAAGTCAGCAAAAACTTTTCTTTGATCCCGGGCTATAAACCATGGTAATGAACATACACATGAAAGCCAGGTAGATAAAGGTTACCACACAGACCTCGGGTTGTTCTGTGTAATACAGTGAAATGAACAGGTAAAGAGCAGTCCACTAGAGACTAGTAAATGAAAATTAAACTTGGTTCTCAGCACAATTTTTCTACAATGTTTAGATTTCATTTTCTTGAGTTGTGTATTTTTTTTTCTACCCTGGAAAAATCTCTGTAAAGGTATAAAATCTTAAGAGTAGTTATTAGCCAGGTTGTAAGGGTTTCTTTGAGCAAATCACTGCTCTTAATGTAAGACATATGCCAGATGTTCTGAAGAACAGTGTAGGGTAGTAAAAACAGGACCAGGGAGAGAATCAGACACCCAAGTTCTCATTTTGGCTTTGGCCTAACCGTGTATAACTATGGTGATTATACTAAATTTTCATCAACCTACAAACAGAGAGATAAAATGAAGTATATCCCTATAAAGGAATATTATTTAGCAATAAAAAGAATGAAGTATATGCTCTAACTTACGTGAAGCTTGAAAACATGAGGCCAGGTGAAAGATGCCAGACCACAAAAGGCCATATGTCACTCCATTTATAGGACATTTCCAGAATAGGCAAATCCATAGAGACAGGAAGTGGATCAGTGGTTGCCAGGAGCTGGGGGGAAGGGAGAACTGGGACTGCTAACAGGTACAGGATTTTTTAGGGGTGATGGAAATGTTCTGGAATTAGTGGTGATGGTCGTACAGCATAGTGAATATATTCACTGAATTGTATACTTAAAAAGAGTGAATTTTATGTGATTTGAATTCTGTCTCATTTAAAAAACAATAGCAAATATAATAATTCTGGCCAAGTTTTGAGTTACTTCTTTGAGTAGGTGCTCTGTAAGAACACTCTTTCAGAAGAAGAAACTGAAGCTCAGAAATATTAGTTATGTGCCCAGGTTCACATAACTGCCAAGTGGTCGACCCAGGCCCTCCTGCTTCCCAAACCCCACGTGTACTGTACACTTGTGATGTTTCAATCACCCTAGTGTCCTCATCTGTAACATGAGGGTGTTAAAATGGGTCATCTCCAAGTTGCTTCTACATTTTAATAATTGTGAATGCTAGTTTCTTGGGAAGACTTCTGGGGATTAAAGGAGCAGGCCATCCAGAAGGTACTAACCCAGTGCCAAGGACAAAACAGCACCCTGGAACAACAGAAACATTCCTTTTTTATGTCCAAGTTGTCCTAGGTTTCCTGGACATTTACCATCAGTCAGAAAAAGATGCTACCTGGAGAGGCAATTCCTTTATAATTGCTTTGGGGATTCTATCTTTTGCATTAAAAACTCCAAACAATTGGATGGGTTCTGTGCAGAGACCTTCTTTTCAGTGTCAAAAAGGCAGGCCCATTGACTCAGAGCATAGGATCTTGGATATTTCTACTCTCATGGAAGCTCCAAGAGCCTTGTGACTGAGATTATTTTATTCAGAAATTTCTACAGGGTCCTTGCTCAACAGTATTACAAAGCAAGAGGAGTTTATCTTCAATCTGGCACCATCTCCCCATCGTCGCCTGACTTCCTAGCAATAAATAAGGCTCTGACACCTGCAGGGAACTGTATGACAGGTTATTTTATTCCTTCCTGGATCCTGAACCTTCTAAGGTCATCCCGAAGACAAAGTGTAATGAATGAACTATGGACACCACAACAGCTTGGTGAGAAGACTTTTAGGCAGGGGGTAGTTTTCTTGTAATTCTTCCAATCACCTTATATGTAATGCCTCCACATTCCCTATCCATCCGTACTGAAATGACTTACCTAACTTTTCCAGCACTTTCCTAGCTAATTCATACTTCCAAATCTCTGTTTCTATTCAAAAGAATTCCTACCCACCATTAGACTCTTTAGACTTCCAAGTCAGTCTTTGAGAAAGAAGAAATGGAACACAATCCTGGTCCAGAAAAATAGGTCTCCTCTTCAACAACAACAGGTAAAATTAACCTTTCAGAAGCTTCTCTACCATATAATTACTTTTTGGTTTCTCCCCAAAATTTGAAACTGTCCTCTGGCATATGAAGTTATTAACTCAATTCAATTAAAATGTATTTGATTTTGACCATCTCAGGATAGTCCATATCCATATGGAGCATATCCAGAAATGAAGTTCCAAATTCTAGCCCAAAACCCTCCCTCTGAAATGTGTTGAGGTTCCTCATTTCACTTGGTCTTCGCAAGCACCTTTTGTGACTAAATCCCTTCCCACCTCCCTTTCCCCTCAAAATGTGCTTTAACCAAAAATAAATAAATAAATAAATAAATAAATAAATAAATAAATAAATAAATAAATAAATAAAGTTTTGAGCACCTCCTCTGTTTCTTGATCTTCTATCCTAATTCTGGAGTCTGGGCTCTCCAGAGGTGGGAGGCCTAGGAAGGGTCGGCAGGTGAGGTTGGGTGCTAGGAAAAGCTAGAGGGATAAAGCTTCCTGGAGTTCAAAGAATAAGGACAGGCAGGGAGGAGATAAGGGAGAGGCAAAGACAGATAGGTGTTAGAAGGCCGACACACATTATTTGCCCATGCCCCAATTCTATCAAAAGAAGGCTTGAGGCAGCTGTGCAATTTTGAAATTCTAGACTGTTTTGCCAACGATCTCAGAAGAAGCAATCTCCAGGTGCCTTTGAAAATCCTCTTGGGCATCTGGCCATCAATTATTGATGCCTGGTACATAGTGTGAACCCACAGAGGGGTGTTGCCAGGCAGAACCATTGGTGTATATGTATGTGTAATTCAGAGTAAGTTGGATCACCACCCCTGGGCATTGGCCTGTAGCACAATGCCATGAAAGCATTGCATAACTCAGACAACATAAAAGAATTCTAGAACTCAGACTTTTCTGCAAAGACTTTTACTTTCTGAAGACTTTTACTTCATCTGAGTAAGTCCGGTCCCCAGCATAGACAATAGGAGAACAAACACTGATGGCAAGACGTTTCTAGATGAGTTCCTATGACCGGGTATGAGTTTTACAAAATGGGACTAACTGCTAATAGCCACTCTGTCTAACACACAGGACGAACGGAGATCAATTGTTCTTGCCC